AAGCACATGCGCAGAAGTATGGGTTCATCTTGCATCGTTGTACCAACAGCTGGGGTGCCACTGCTCTGTTGGCTTCTGTCCACAAGACTCGCCGCCGTTCTGCAACAAGAGCTATTGGTAGTACTTCTGACAGTAGCTCTTTTGATGGTTTCTCGTCTTCTTTTTCTCTTTCTGGTAATGGAGCTACTGGCAATTGTCCTGGTGGTGATGATGGCCCAGATGAGGGTGAAGATGACGATGATAATGAAGATTTCCGCAACTCTACTGCTGGTCGCTTAGCTGCATCAAGAAGCGTACACGCAACCCCAATGGTTCCAAGAGACCCTAGTGAATCTTACCTAGACTATAGCTGGAGTTCCTGTTCCTCTGCAGATTTGATGAGGTTAGAATAGAAATAATACGTCATGCGAGTTCTTTGAATAAAGTATTAATTATCATTGCACATCTGTCTGTAGCACTGTAAAGCGCTTCGTTGAATATTACAAGTATCGCTTTGGACCTGCGCTTGATATTGAAAATAATCCAAGCTAGCATTTCATGTACTACGCACGAGCTTGTGATTATGAAAGAGTGCTAACGAAGCGTTTGAATGATGCCAGTCTGGAAGGAAAAAGCAAAGTCAGTTATACAATGATGCAGTGTGTCTATTCTTCTCTTATAGTAGCAATGTGCTTTACAATGGAGGGGGAACACGTTGATGACTTTCAAAAGCTTTCGGATCGTTGGATAACGTATGTTTGGGGGGAGTGGGCTTTGAATGATGATGCTGATGACTATTACTACTCTGATGGTTATGACATGCTGTAATAAAACTTTAAATTTTGTCTATAAAAAGAGTATTTTTTTCGTGAATTATTTTAAATCCTTTTTCTTTTCTTTTCTTTCCGTAATTTCAATTCATTTTCTGGTACAAAGTAAGTAATTTATCTGACCAAATGTTTCTGTTGGTGGCTTTCTTATTAAAAACATATTATCGGCAGCATACGCCAGATGATAACGCAGTAGGTTCTCCTCGAATGTGGCTGTTGCCTATTAGTATCACACCGTTTTAATCATCTCTGTGGGAATAACGGTAGGTAAGGAGCATCATCTGAGAAGTATGGCAGTGACTAAACATTGAATATAGAATAGAACATCCTCCCCTGGTGCTGCTGCTGGAAGATCTTCGCTAACCAGCATATACTAAAGTATATTTGTAAGTTGTCAATCACTCTGTGCATCTTACATCGTGCCGTACCATCGTTGCTCACATTTCCTATCATCTCTTATAGTTTCTCATGACCGCCTCCTATCCTGTTGTTGTTGTTCTGCTTGTGTGTCAAGTTTACGATGATGGTACGTGGCAAATGTGGTATGCTGTTAAATATTTTTCAGGATTGAACTCTATGACTAACATTAGTTTTGCATTTAGATACTCGTGTGGTGGGTGCCAATCAACTCTAATCTGGCTGCTTATCTCCATGTCAATCCTCATCTCTGTTACTCTTGTATGGAACTCTTCGTAATGGGTAAACATGTATAGCTACTGCCGCTTTATCTTTAATACAATCAGGAGGCTCTTGAATGACAGGGTAGCTAGCTAACTGCTGTATAACGAATCAAAAGAATTGCCTACCCAACGGAGCAACGTCCCATTACCATGTGTATAGCACGCTGCATGTATTTGAAAGCAATGATTCTATATTCTGCTGTATTTCCATCAATAAAAGAAAATTTTATCCATCAATAATCCTGCTTTCCATATCATTCTATCCAATAATCGCACGATTGCTGCCCCAACAATTGCCCCAAGAGTAATATATAGCGCATTCTATTAATAAAGATCCACCAACCATATCATTCCAATGTCATAATCCCCATGAGCAACTATTGGTCTTTTAACTAAACAACGTTGCACGGTATAGGATTCAACTGTTGTGTAATGCAGTAAATATCATCGGCTATACAACAGTTTCTATTTTCAATAAGGTTTACCTTTGTGCTGCAATGTTGATGGAATATTTTCAATTTGTACCACTTAGCGCATTGACGCCAAATTTAGAGTGTTTTAATTTTGAAGCCTGTACCGAAAGCACCAACTTTTCCAAATACTTTGGCTGTAAAAAAGCACCAACAAAAACACCTATTTTAGAGCATTTCCGCTAAGTTTTTCGCGGTAGTGAATGGACCGTAAGGGAGCCAACCTTAAGGGACAAAGTATGCGGATTATAGGATGGGAGTTGATAGACAGAGTAAGGACAGGAAGGAGAGACAAAAGCAGTAATACCACCAGAACCACGGTTGAAGGCACCAGGTACTTTCGAACCGTAAAGATGGTATTGGGACCAATCTGTAGGAAAAGAGCCAGAAGTTAGCCAGGTTTCAGTAACCAGCAAGACATGAGTATCCAGGACATGAGAGAGAACATCGTGAATCACTGATTGACGAAGACCATTGGCATTCCAAAGAGAGAGAGAGACAAATAAGGAGTGGACAGGGTTATCATTTTGGGTATACAGTATCAAGGACTCAGTGGTGGAACACATTATTGTTCCATAGCAGAATCTTCATTGGCAGAGTCAGCATTAATCTTGCGACGGATCAAGAAGTTAGCCCTCTTGGGTTCCTTCTTTGCAAAGCGTTGAATGGCATCACCAACAGAAACAGAAAGGTCTTCGTCACAAATCCAGCCTTGCTCAACAAAGTACTTACCAACACCACTGACATTCAGAGGACGTAGGAAAGCTAAGGTTTGCAGACACCGAGCAGCAGTAAATTCCATGATCAAAGCAGTACGTTGATCCAGAGTCAAAGAGTTATACTTAGGATCAGCTATGTTAGCAGGGTCCAAAGGGTCAAAGTCGAAGAAGAATTCAGCCTCACAAGCCTCCAAAAGTGCAGTAAAATCCTGAACATATTGCACATGCACCAGGATGCCAATAACATCGGATGCTGGGAAACAGATGTCAAGCACACGACCCAAATCAACGCCGGCTTTGCGCAAGAGAGAGCGAACTTCAGAGCGTGCAATCTTCTTAGATCTACCAATATAAACATATTGGTAACCTTGAGGACCTTTACGAGCAGCAGTTGTAAAGGCGCGACCAATAGCAAGACGCTTCTTAGCTTGCTTAGCTTCAGTAGCAGGATCAGGAAGAGTAGCAGCAGCCTTTGCGACATTTGCATAGCTAGGTGATTTAGTAGCCTTAGTATTCATAGAGCCAGTAGTAGTTTTGAGGGTTGACCCCTCTACCGCCGTGGGCCGACTCGAACCAGAGGGGACCACGTGACCGGAGACTGCACCCTGCAATTTTTGAATTGCAAGGTCCTTGTCCTGTAAAAGTTTTTTCAACTCTGAATTCTCTTTTTCCAGAGTATCTAAACGAGCAAGAAGACCATCATGTTCGTTGACGCGAGCAGTAACCGAGGTAAGTTGTTCTTGGAGCTGATTAAGAATCATTTGAAGCTGATTCATATCCATACCCTGTAGATTGGTGGCCATGACGGAGAATATTTTTTTATAAATTTGAAAATTTTTAAAAAAATATCAAGGAGATGTTCGACAAATTTGAAACTATAACACAATAAACTGTTACCAAAGGCAAGCAAAGTTGTGTAATTTCGAGTTGTTGGAGTTGGTAGTTATCGAGGAAATACGTTTTTTCTAGTCTGGAACAACTTTTTTCCGAAAACGGTGGCAAAAAGTGTTGAAAAACGGAAAGAGATGCCTAGCTAGCTCAATCGGTAGAGCGTGAGACTCTTAATCTCAAGGTTGGGGGTTCGACCCCCCCGTTGGGCTTACACTTTTACTATTTCTGAATTTTGAAACGTCTCACGTAATGCTTCTCGTTTATATTTTGTGTATTGTGTTGCGTCTGACTCAATTTTTAGTCCACAAGAATAATAAACTACTTTGCTATCTTGAAATCCAAGATAAACATCGAGTATTAAGTATCTACCAAAAATGCTGGATTGTTATACTAGCGTAAGCGATAAAGTTTTTATATATGAACGTTTAGAAATGTACTAGCCCATTACTGTAATTACTAATGAATAGGAGAGATTACCAAGTTTTTTTTTTAAATGCATCTTTTAGCATGTAGTTCACATAATTGCAAATAAGCTAGTGAATTGAACTAAAAGAATTGTCTAGCTTAACACAATTACACGAGATCTACCATAAAACAGCTTGCATGCACACAAATACAAGTTGGCAAGCCCAACTATGATTGTCTTGCCTTTTGCAAGATATGGACCAACGCGGCTGCGATAACATGAATTCCTTGTTTTTGATGGTTAAGCAAGAAGCTTCATTAATTTTCCTTGGTGAAACGGCAAGCCGACATTTAAAGTGTGTGAATGTAAACAAATGAGCCCTCTATGCATAATCTTCGTAGTGACGAAAAAGAGATGAAAGGAACCAATGGCGACGTGTGCAAGTTGTTGACATATTTCAAATATAGTTTTGAAGAAGGGGAAGGGATCACCAATGGTAGTTTAGATTTAATCGACAAAGTTTAAGAGTCATTCTGTGTGAGAAAGAAATGTTGGATTTAGGCTCATGATAATGATAATTCATTTGCTGGATCAAAAAGGACGAGGAGCCTTAATTCATAATTTCAGGAACACAGCATTTTAAGTAAATTGTAGAGTCCAATTCATTATCTAATGAATTGGATACACAAAGAGAAGGGATTTGGTAACAACCACGCTATTTTGGCATGTAATCAACGGCCCTTTATATTTTTCTTATCAGTGAGTATATTTGGTCATTGCCCAATATCTCATGTAGCCCCTCTTCAGCTGACCTGAAGTAGGTTTTCGTTTTTATCTCTGGCCAATAGATGCTGATTGTAATTACATTGTATGTCAAACAGCTAATGCTGGTTGGTTGTGTTACGATGAATGTGTGTAACTGAAGGATATTTGTTTATTTCAAACAGTAAATATGTACAATATAATAATAAAATGTGTGTGAATGATATATAGAATGATAAATATTGGATTAACCTCGTGTTAATCTATGCTACTTTAGATAGAGACATTTCACCGTTCTTATGGCTTGATAAGAAGGCATCACGCACTTCATCTTCTTCAAAGTACTCGTTCAATGATTTCCCGCTTTGTCCCGTAAGTGCTTCCAAGTCTCTAGTAATTTCCAGACGTCGACCACTCAGCTTCTGCTGAAGTCCCCACATTTCCATCAAGAAAATGGCTTGGTCTTCATTTCCAATGCTGTCGCAGATGATTTGCTGTAATGTGGCACTGTCCATACGATTGATGGTGTTTTCTCTTTGCAAGCCAGAAAGAACACGTTGACCCACTTCTTCCAAAGTTAATAAGCTGGATGAGATCTTGTAAGCATTTCTGCTGTGACGCAGCGTAGGCGAATGAGCAACACAAGCAGTTGCGCGAGCAATATCAAACATATTACAGGATTCGACCGTGATTTCCAAATGCTGATCAGGTAGGGGGAAAGCATTGTGTTGAGCAATGTATTTACTGAACACCAGTAAATGCTGGTGAAGGACACCGGGATATCTCAAAATAGTAATGCCGTTGTTATCAAATTGTGAGTGCAAGTATGACTCAATAAGCATAAATTGAGAACGATAGGAGCCGTATATAATAGGTGTGGTAGTAGCAGAGGGAAGTTGTTCACAGCTTGGAGATGCAGGTGGACTGATTGAATCCAGCGGTGTGAAGGGGGTTAGAAAGATAACATGTTCTACATGAGCTTCTTTTGCAGCATCAATAAAGCTAAATGGTCATATTAGCTATCATTGCTACTATATCAACAAAATAAGGAGACTTACGCTTTGCCGTACAAGTAGGCATTGGAACGTTGCATTCTTTCGCTCAATGGATCAATCAGCAAGCAGAGCTTCGTGATTCCAGTGAGAGCCTTGACGGCAGCTTGATGATCGTTGAAGATATCGAATGCGACAACTTGAGCACCTAGGCCATGAAGAGATTTGGCTCTAGGAGTGGTGTCATCGGGCAAACCAGCGTAGACATGTTGAGCACACAGATGCTTGTGTTGAGCAGGTAATTGCAATAATTGCTGGACAATAGCAACGCCCTTGTCTCCATCAGTTCCAGACACAAAAATCGATCCTTTTCCAGCTTGTTGTTGGCACATTTGATTTGAAAAAAATTGTTAAGAAAAAGAGAGGGAAATCGAGGGGAAATTTTGTAAAGTTTTTATACTAGATGGATTGAACAACAGCTATCAAAATTTTACTATAAAAAAAAAGTCTTTATCTTATCCAATGGAAGCAGAGCAAACAAAATATACTTTTAGGATTCATTTTACCCTTAAAAGTGGTGAGAAGCATGATTCAATGGTATCAGCAAATATGGATTTGCGCAAAATGAGATAACGGCTATTCCGGTTAGTTTGGAATTGAGATGTATACACAAACAAAGCATCACTTTGATTATAATGCCATCATCAAGTCCTTGCGACCACTTTGAGCAACATTTGTTGGTTCATTTAGTTTGGAGAAGCGGTCCGAAAATAGCAAGTAAAACTAAGTGGGAATCTGATATTTCTGCCACTGCTGTTACACTACTAAATTTTGATATCAACATTGGGTACCCAATCCAATTACGCAAAGAGTCGTATCGACTGTTTATGAATACTATAGCAAACGCTAAATACATTGAATGTGCACTTGAACAGAGCAAGCCGATTGCTAGATTTTCAATCTTTCAGGAATCGATCTTTTACAGCAGTTGACTACAAAATTGTTGGGGCAAATGGGATCGTAATTGTGTGCGTCCGCAGTCAACAACATTTACTCTAGTGTCATCATTTTGATTTCACTGCCTCAGATTTTTGTGTCGATGACTATGAAAATGCACTGCATTCCTCTATCTTCATAGCATCCCATCAAAAGTTGTTGATACAAACATCGTTACTATGGAGAGATATCAGATGGCAAATCCAAACGTATTTCACATGTGGTGGACCTTTAAAAAATAAATGAGCAAAATCAATTCAAAAGAATTTTCTGGCACTTTTTGGCCATACAATCTCTTTTATCTTTCCCCTTATATAATACTGAGGTAAAATGGTTGCTACTGAAAATAAGAAGGCTCTCGTCTATTCTATTCTCGAATTCCTGCAAAAGTCTTGTGAAGACGGTACCATCAATAAGGACGATACTGAGGGTATCGAAGGTAAAGTTGGCAGTATGGGGAGTTTGTCAGTGGCATACTGATAACGCGAGGAATTTAGTCGCAATGCAATGTATTGGCGAAGCATTCGGCGTGGATGCTGCTGATGAAGCACAAAAGGAGCTTTACTCCACCAAGCCTGCTAATTTGCTTTCTATCTTTGATGTTTATCTCAACACCAAGAAGTCTACCAAGGTAACTTGAAAGTAAAATCAAACACTGTATGGTTGCATATCTGACGCGTTGTTCCTAGCCACCTGCCGCTGCTTCTGCTTCCAAGGTTGAGAGTAAGCTTTGTATGAGTGTGGTGACTATTTGTATAGTAATATCTCACATGAATTTCTTCTTTTGTAGATGTAAATATTATTCAACGGAAAATGAGAATGGAAGCTTGAAAAATAAACTAACAGATTGAAACAGGCTGCTACCAGTGAGGAGAACAAGAAGGCTGCTGAGGAAAAGAAGGCAATGGGTAACCGTAAGGTTGCTGAACGCAACTATCCCGAAGCCATCAAGCTCTACACTGAAGCTATTGCTCTCAATGCTAACAATGCTGTCTACTACGCTAACCGGTACGTTGTAAAATGAGTTTGGGGGGGGGGGAGGGAGGAATCAAATGTGTGCTTGTTGAGTTGTTTATTTCAGAATACTGATGACATGTTTATTTAGTGCTGCTGCTTATAGTCAACAAGGTGATCATGAGAAGGCTGTCAGTGATGCTCAAAAGGCCGTTGAGGTTGATCCCAAGTATAGTAAGGCTTATAGCCGCATGGGGTAAGTTTCTTCTTGATGTTTCAATCTTTGATACTCATAGATTATTATAGTCATGCTTATTTCTGTTTGAACAAATATCAGGATGCTGTCGAGGCTTATGAAAAGGGCTTGGAGCTTGACCCCAACAATGCTACTCTTAAATCTTCTTTAGCCACTGCTAAATCCAAGTTGAATGCCGGTAGTGTTGAACGTTCTGTTCCTGCTGAATCTTCCGCTGGTGGTGCTGGTGGTTTGCCCAACTTTGGTGGTGCTGGTGGTATGCCCGATCTTGGTGCTTTGCTCAACAACCCTGCTCTGATGAATATGGCTCAACAAATGATGCAATCAGGTGCACTTGATAATTTAATGAGCAACCCCAATGTTGCTAGAATGTAAAGTAGAAAGCTGTAGTATGACACAGTGTGTGTATGTGTATGTACATGGACACTAATGCGGCCTTACATAGGGCTCAACAAATGATGGGTGGTCAAAATGGTAGCGGACCTAACCTTCAAGATATGATGAATGATCCTGAAATGATGAAATTGTAAGTGGTATTGTTTCTGTACAAGGTAACATTAATCTAATCAACAACTCTAATACAGGGCTCGTGATGCTATGGGAGGCGCTGGAGGCCCCAAGCCTGATGATAAGCAATAAACAAATCCGTAACTCACTCATCTATACACTCACTTGAATATATATATATATATATATATAAAAAAAACAAACAAAATCATGTAATAAACATTCTATACACCATCATCTTTATTCATCTTCACTGTCTGACTCGTTTAACCAGTCAATGAACTTGGAGCTCTTCTTTTCTAATGCACTGCCCTTTTCAAGTGTTTCAAACCATTCCAAAAAGGCCTCTTCCTCGACCATTTCACAATCGTACCAATGCGACAAGGCGATCGCTGTCTTGTTGACCATGATAGGCTTGCGCACAGTGACAAAGCTATCCCAGGCTTTGAGCAGCAATAGTTGGTCTGCCTTTGTTTTGACAAACTATGCCATAATAATAAAAGATCAATATCAATGCATGCCCCACATCAACTGCATTAACTCACTGTCTTGAAGAGATGATTTCTTGATTTTAATATAGCCAACATGGATTGATCTGACTCTTCCTCCAGCAAACTCACTAACAGAATGTACAGCAGTTGCTTCTTGGATAGATCGTTTCGCATTTCCACCTTGGTAACTTCCTTGACATCCTCTGTGAGCTTCCCCTTTACAATGGTCGCTTGAGGTGGATGCGAAGAGAAGAATTTTTTCAATTCCACAATAATGGGCTCCTTTTGAGTTAACTTGGTGGTTGTTGTGCTGATGGATGGCGACTTGCTGGACTGATGTTCCATTTCATCTTGCTCTTCCTTGGATAATTTGACAATCTTCATCCATGATTTCTCATTGCTTTCCATCGTGACTGTATGCTTCTTTTCTTTACCGTTGCAATTGCCATTAACAGTTGAAAGAGATGCTGTCTTTTTACTGTTATTGGTGCTGCGTTGATGCTCGACAAACGCAGGACGGCGGAGTTCTTCTACTGAAACGGCAGGTACGGGAGTAGTAGTAGGCTTTGGTTGATCTTCCTTCTTACCAAGAGCAACAGGGCTCGGTCCATTGGGTTTCGCGGTAGTGGCCTGCTGAGGTTCACTATTGACAGGCAGTTCAGACAGCTTTTGACTTGTACTTTCAATAAGAGGTTCAGCCTTCTTAAGCGTTTCACTGCTATAATAAAATCAATCACAGATTCTGTCCCTAAATTTCTCTAGACTTACCTGTACTTGTTTCTGTCATTCGCATTTAATCTCCAGTTGCTACATTTGTCAGCTGCAGACATTTCTTCATGGTGGGTATCTACTGCCATATAGCCTGCTGCACTGTCATTAGTCATTGGCCGTTGGAATCGATGATGAGGAGGAGAGGAGCGACGATCTGTGACTGGTGCTGTCTCTTCCCTTTTTGGTGGTCTTGTCTTGAGCTCTTCCTCTCCATGCGCTTGAAAAAAATAAAGTGTTAACCCAAAGTTTATCATAAAGCAAATGTTTTCCCTTTACCAAAATGACACTTGGGACCATATTGACAGAATTTATCCTTCATAAACTTCTCGCATAGCTTTGTTTTGAACAGCTGATTTCCATTTGAATCAACATTAATACGATCGTCGCTTTTATCTTGCTGATGTTGCTGTTGATTTGATGCATCACCTGTAGTTCTACCACGCAATTCAACGACACCATGTGCAAAGTTGCATTTAGGTCCATAGGGACAGCTTCCTTCCGTCTCAAATCGCTCGCATAATCTTGTCTTGTACAGAGGCGAATTTTGTTGCTGAGTTTGCTGTGATGGCGAGGGTGAGGGTATTTGCTGCTGCTGCTGCTGCTGTGGCTGATGATGGTGCTCTTTATGTGCCTCTGCTAGTTGCTGCGGTTGCGGCTGCAATGGGTGTGGTGTTTGTTGATGACGAGGTCTATAGACAGACTTGTTACCCTCATCGCCACTGATAGACAGGGATTTCACTTCAGATCTGTCTTGCTGTGAGTTGGCTGCACCACTACCGCGACCAGCAAGCTTTCTTCTCTTCAAATCAATAAACGACTGGGCATGTTTGAATACCTCTTGCATCGTCTTAAAGACAACCTTTTCACAGCAGGTAGATTGACTAAACCACTGCATATGAACACCCTCTGCATTGGGTAGCAATCGAACATGGCTATCGACCAATTGAGCCAAGTGATACTTGACCTTCTTTGGTCTATTCAAAGCGCATTAGATCAAACAGAACACGCTCTCTGATAGAGCACCTTACTTTGTTCCCGATAGATATTTCAGCTCTATAGCAAATCCTTCTTCTACATGGAGTTCCTTTGGCCGAAGACCTGTGGCCTCTAAGGTTTCGCGAAGTGCGCATCTAGAGATTGGTTTAGTTAAGTTGAAGACAAGATACTGAGATGCTACTTACTTGATCTCATCCTCATTTCCAATTACCTGTCCTTTGGGACAAAACCAGTTCTTCTTGTTTGCAAAAGAGTCGTTTAATAATAAAAACTCTACGTTTCTCTGTATACGATATATAACTAATCCAGCGTAAGGTTTGGCTTGAGAAGGTTTGTCCATGTGTTTGTTGATGATTGTTTTGTCCTTCTCCGTAACTGTGATAATTAGATGGTTGTTGTAATACGGTGTCTAGCTACTGTTGTTGACGTATCGAAAGAGCCGTTGGTGAATGAGTCCTTGTACACTTGACTTGCAAAGAAAGAAAGAAAGAGAGAGAGAGAGAGAGAGAGAGACAGGAAAAGGAAAGAGCTGCTTGATTAGATTGCGAAAAAAAAAAAAGTTTATTTAAAATCTCGCTCATCCACAACAGTGGATAAGGAACCAATCAAAACAAGATGGCAGTGGCAGTTTACCGTAGAAATCAACAAGTGAAAGCGTAGTGATGCTCTGGATATGCCCTAATTTGACAGTACTCGATGAGAGATTGAGTGCTGCAGATGATACTATGCCCACTAGTTGGCAGCATATTCAACATGCACATTGCAATAGGCCAGTGCCATCGCAGATAGCACTGCAATGCGTACTATCATTCAGCTCAGAGATGCGTATACTCTTATCAATTGTCATTGGCTCTGCTAACTCAAGTCTACAGAGGCTATCCAGTTGGTTAGTTGCAATATCAAAAACGATCCATTCAGTTATTGACTGGTGGATGTTCATTCCCGAACAGGCCATCATTTGATGTGACAATTAAAACCGCAGGAAACGAAAAAAAAGACCTCTTTTCTCATCTTGTTCATCCACACCAACATTCACCATGGAGTCAGTAACCAGTTCAGCGCGCGATAGATCTGCCGAGATTGACAGATGTCTGTCCATGATTGTGCCATCTGCTTCTGATGAAATGAAGTTTGTGGGCATGTTGATTCTTCCTAAATTGCTAGAACAGAACAATTTGCAGGACATTGAACGAGTGTTTAAAGGGATGAATTTCAAGTTTATCGAGCGATTGCTACGAACGAGTGAGTATGGGCGGGTTTGCTGTGATGAACAGTGAACTAATCAAAGAGTCATGTCAGCACACAACGTAGATGCAGAAGTGCCTGATCCAGTTCTGAAGGAAATTGCAGTCAACGTGTTGGCTTGTTTTGCTCGTTTTGACAACTTGGCAACTGAACAGCACATGGTGGATAGAATCCCAGCATTATCACGCTTGTTGACACCCAACGACACATCGGATATCACAAACGAAGCCATGCAAATTCTGCTCCATGTGGCAGTGAAAAAAGAAGGTCTTGTCAAAATGCTGGATCCAGATGTATTGAAAAACATCTTGCACGTCTTACTGGAATCAGCAAAGGAGGAGGAGAGAAAGATGAGCACGCAATTGCTTACTTCCGTATACACTCGATCCTGCCAGCTGCTGCATTCAGACAAAATTCCCAGCTTGTATTCAGCCATGAAGTATTCTCTTCTTACACTCATCACCATCTTGTCAACTACATTGGGTAACGATCAAAGGATGCTCAAATTCGAGGCTCTGGATATTTTATCGGTTGCATTGCCTGATATTCCTATCGAAGTGAGTGCCATCGAGGTCTATTGAAACGAGTATCTCACTCTTATTGCTGATGTTTAGATGATGAAGCAGCTCAAGCAAGAGCAGGAAAAGAAAATGGAAGAATGGCTGGATCATTTGTTGAGTGGGTTACGGCAAATCATGAGCAGCAAGCTTCGTAAGTTGACTATACATGATAAGATTGCTTGTATTTACCATTGGCTTAGATGACTCGCAGAGAGGTAAAGCCATTCTGCTGATTGCCTGCTTATTGCGGTGCTTTGGAAACGAATGGCTCTTCAAGAGCTTGCAAGATACAAAATCCGCCAAGCGCAGAAAAGAAAAGGCTTCATCTGACAATGCCAACGATCCCATCAACAAAGCTTACGCTGAAGCCAATTTCCCAGCATTGTTGATTCATTTGGTCGCTATCGAAGCAAAAATCATGATTGACGATATCAATGACCGAGTGATCCAAGAGCACAACGAGGAAAAGACGATTACCAACCAACAAAAGCAATTAGTGCAAGAAATGATGGTGCCAGTCTACTTTGAAATCTTGGAGGCAGCAATGGAGTACTTGGCTGTGAACTTTGAGTCCAATGGCATGGATTCTGAAATGCTGCTGAAGCTTCGTACGACACTGTCTGACATGATGGACGTCGTAATGGAGCTATTAAAGTTTATGCAGGGAACCAAAGAGAATTTAGAGGACGATATGATTGCACAAGCCTGTATCCGTATCGTATCTATATGGATGGCAGAAGAAGGTTTTGAAATGCCTGAATAGGCAATGTGATTATATAAAAAATAAATGTTTATTGAGATGCAATGCTGCAATTACTACTATGATATACACTTGGCTCTTTCTCTTGAATTTTCTGCTGAGGTAGCGTAGATGGCGCTGCAAAGCAGGTGGGGCAAGTGCAATGGAATGTATCGCTGATATGAACCTTATGAAATGATACATTTTTAATACAAACGAGACATGTACATAACGTCATGACCACAAGCAGAGTTAAGGTTAATGTCATAAGCAACAAATTATACCTTGTCAACTGAAATAAAGGGTTAGTGAAAAGCAATCCAAAATTGCGTACATTGCAATAACATTTACTATATACGGGTCTCTTGTAACGTCTCTGGGAATACCAAATGTAAACAGTCTGTATCCAAAGTAGCCGATGGACCCGAGTAAGCCGAAAGAAAAGAGCCACATTACTCTGATATTTTCAGTTCGGATACCTTGAATAGCGAGCAGAAATGCTAGCAAACCAGTGCAAAAGACGACAATGCTTTCATAAGAGGGCACAGTGTATGCCATCATGCGCGAAGGCACTAATTGAGCGGCATAAGCAAACAGAAAGAAGAAATCGAGCTTCAAGAGTCCCGTGAGTATCGACCAAGCCATCAGTGTCGTACGCAATTGAGTGTCATCGGCACCATCCGTCACTGCTGCTGGTAGTGTGTGGCTCTTGTAATGATTCCATTTAAACAGTGAATACAGCTTTATGATGCAGCCTGTCATGATGATGAAGCAGATGGGAACAAGCACCAGAATGGCATATTCAAATGGCTTTATATTAGAAACGTATTTATCCACGGTATCTTGGAAAATCAGGCTGGTGTTACTGATGATTACAGACATATGTAATAGCTTATTGCTTGTAGGTGTTGCCGTTTCATTGCTTAAATTGGGCAATGTTGTTGCGTTTCCATCTGCTGCTGATGCTGCATCTACCAAAGGAGGAAACTGACAGCCTGCTTTCTCAAACATCAGATGCTGGATTGTTTGGATTCCTGTATATATAACAAGCAGAATACCTATTTATAAAGAACTAAGCAAGCTAAATATATTACACCATGCTCTACTATCACTTGCCATAAAGTAACAGAGCCATCAATTGGAAAACATTGCGTTGCCTTAAGCAATCTATGCATAGAAACACCTGATACACAAAAGCCATGATTAGGATGCCATGGTAGATTAGGTCCACTTGGCTGAGGCCCAGTGTGCGTAGAGAGAGATTGCATTGCGCAAAGACAAGTGTATGGTAATAGATGATACAGCCCTGCATAGCAGTGATAGCCAGAGCTTCAACAAAGAGGATAAAGAGCAAGACCATGCTAGCTGGGCAATGAATGATGCTCTTCTCTTGTGGATGCTGTGTTTGGTTTGGTGTGTCATTCTTGATGGACGTTGCATCTTGTACAAGCTTTGAATTGCTGTGGTTTGAGGGCTGTTGCTTCGTTTCTCTTAGACCTTGTATGAATTTGTGGATTTTGTTGTTGAGTTCCATCGTAGACAACAAGATGTGTGCGGAAAGAAAGCGCCTTTGTTTCATGGTACGGTACTTTTATGCATACACTCATTTCAATCAACGTATAAAGGAGAGATGTATGTCTAGTGCTCAATCACGCTAAAAAGGAGTGATTTTGCTCACATTATATTGCCATTTGGTGATAGAATACGGCTGGATCACTGGTTGAATCACTGTTATCGCTAGTTCAATAGGTTCTAACCCAGAATTTGACATTTCGATTTTCAGGTACGGGTTAGTTTAATACAGATTAGCTTTAGCAAACGGATAAGTGCTCTGTTTGTTGAGGCAACAATATTCACATATTCAAAGCTGGATTGATATCTAATGTGTTCAAGCCGTTTAAACCTTGCTAGTAGTGAAGCAAACTCGATTATCCCTGCAGGATGATGAATAAATGCCAAAATTTAATCTTGTACAAGAAAAAAGGCATATTACTTTATATAAATGGGGGTAAATATAGATTATGATACATCTAGTTGACGACAACGGACCAAGGATGCTCAATCTCACCGTATTGAATAGCGTTGATAGCATCATTGAAGCGTCTAGTGTAAGGACCAGCTTGGCTTTGAGCATCCTTGGGATCAAGAGGAATCTTGATATCTTCTCCCATGTAACCAATTTCCTTGATGGGACTGACAACACAAGCAGTACCAGCACCAAACATTTCAACAATACGACCAGCCTTTGCCAAATCACGAAGCTCAGGCATAGTCATGGTGCGTTCCTTGACTTCGAATTCGTTCCACTCCTTAGCCAAGCCAATGATAGAATCACGAGTGACACCAGGCAAGATGGAGCCATCTAAAGGAGGTGTTACGAGTTCCAAATCACCGTTATCGTTCTTGAGCAAGATGAACAAGTTCATGGTACCCACTTCGGTCAATTGATGTTGGTCACCAAACAACCACAAGTTTTGTTGGTAGCCTTTTTCAGCAGCTAAACGTTGAGGCAATAAACCGGGAGCATAGTTACCACCAATCTTGGCTTCACCTGTACCACGAGGCCATGCACGGACATATTCAGTAGTAGCCAACAAGCGAACAGCAGCGAATCCAGTCTTGTAGTAAGGGCCAACGGGACAACCAATGACAAACAGCTTGGCCTTGGTAGGAGCGTTGACACCCAATACTTCCTGTGTACCGATCATAGTAGGACGCAAGTAGAGGGAATAGCCCTTTCCTTCGGGAATCCATCTCTCATCTGTCTTTAAATACTCGCCAATGATCTTGATCAACTCGTCTCCATCAAATTGCTACATTCACATTTTAGAGTTAGAGGACGAGGAATTACCGTGAGAAAAAAAAACAACTTACAGGAAGCGCAATACGTGCAGTCGATCTGTTCATACGAGCCATGTTCATTTCGGGTCTGAAAAGACGAATCTTGCCATGCTCATCCTTGTATGCCTTCATGCCTTCGAAACACTAAGAGTCGCAACTTGAATATCAAATGCCTCTCACATCCATCTATAGCAAAAAAAAAAAAAAAAAAAAGAAAAAAACTCACCTCTGAAGCATAATGAAAGACAACAGCACTGGGAGCCAAACTCAAGTTTTCATAAGGGTGGAGTTGAGGAGCAGCCCAACCGCTCTTTTCGTCCCAATCAACAGAGATCCTGCATTTGAGGCATGAGTCCATCTCCCTCCTTATTCCAAGGTGCCTGACAACTTACATGTGGTCGGTGAAGGTGTTACCAAAGACAAGCTCGTTGTTAGCAACCAAAGGCTTGAGTGTATCTGCCTTTTTGATTTGAAGTTTGCTTGCCTATAAACCGATTGGATATGTTAGATCACACCAGACTTTTTCATACTCTATCTGAGATGACCTACACTTAATTCAGATGTGAATCGCTTTGCTTGAAGAAAGGCACTACGCTTGAATGATGGCAGGATTCTTGATGAGAACATGTTGTTATGAATAAGGGAATGAAAGCTTTCAAAATGTGGATGATGGAAAGGACGCCCTTAAATAGGCATCTCATAGGCCCGTCAGTCACGGTGATTCACTCGGAGTCGCACCCAAACATCTCGTTTTCTGTCTCCTGGGCATTCGATTGAGAGGACCAAACCAAACTTCCCACGGTGTTCAAGCTGCCAAAGACGCGCCTGTTGGTCCGTGGAAATGCTATGTTTGAGAAAATTACATTTTATATTATTGACATGACATTTTCATCTGCCCGAATCCAAGCATAAACCAAGTTGAATCACAAAAATGCAGCTTGGCCAATGAAATACAGCTGATGATCTTGTATACACCTGAGGTCAGGTCCAATCCCAACGCATTGTTCCCTTTGTGTGCCTTGAATACTTAAATTTTATCCGCACAAACAGCATTTGATAACAGAGAAAATGAGGAGTTTGTTGTTTATTTATATGCTTATATGTGTTGCGTGTGTGCGTATTTATATATAGAGATGAGAGAGAGAGAGAGAGAGGAGGATTAATACTTTGTGTCATCCTCGGTCATAATAGGCTTTCGTTTTAATTGTTGTGTGGAATTGATAAATGTAGGCGTCGGAGAAGGTGCATTTTCAATGTCAATGATGTTTCCATCTGGACCTAATCTAAATCCAATAGTAAACTGAGAGTCTCTTGCGCCAAATGGCACATGCAACTGGTCCATGGCTGTGTGTTGCTGCTGCTGCTGCATCAGTGGTTTTGTTGCTGATGTGGAAGATCGCTTGATGTTTCTAAAAGAAAAGGTATCGATGCGTCTTTTGGTCTTTGATCCCGGCTTTGCATTATTGAGCACAATGACTTGGCGATCATTAGGCGGGAAGGGTCCACCACCACCACCTGCAGGCGTGTTGATCATGGCACTGGGTGGTAGTGCAACACCGGGTGGAGGGGGCCCTCCCATCATGGGCACACTGCCACCGCCTCCATTACGGAGAAACACCTCTGTTGCAAATCCTCTGATTACCAGCGAGAAACTGTAAATGCACAATGCCCAATACGACTACAAGAAGAAGTTCTCATATAAGTAGACTGACTAGCATGAGATGCACTCGTACTTACATAGAATGCAAATTGAAGCACATAGAATATGATGCCAAATTTCAGCTCGTCTTGCCATAAATTGTCGCAGTTGTAATAATCGTTATTGTAGTTGAATGATGTCTGAGTGCCATTCATGGCGTTATTGACATTGTTGATGATAGAGGTCGATGCTTCGCTGACACATTGGTTGTGGTAGTTGCTCTGGTCGGTAATGAATATCACTAAATTGGCAAATGCGTCCACGAGCACAATGAACACACACACGAAGATGGCATGCGAAAAAGTGTGGACATGTCGGTCGGCCCGCTATAAAGAAGACAGGGTGAATACACATGTGGTAACTCGTTGCATTGTTGGATATATTTACAGTAATGAATATAAAAATGCCGCCCACCGAGACCAGTGATAGGATCAAATTTGCCACACCGTATACCATAATAGGCGCATTGATCATATAAGTAAAGAAGACTGTATGTATGGTTTGTTAGCATTGCTTCATCTTTGGGTGTACGCTCAAAACTTACGGCTTGAATTCTGAAACGACAGCACTGCCATGTACATTGAAAATGCCTGCTTTTGAATCAATACTTGTGTCTCGTTTGCTTCATGTATCTCTCGCTAACTTTACCGCCCATATTAGACAAATCAACACACATCCCAATCTCAGCGATATGCAGCCACAGCATTTAGGTGCTGAAGCAGTAGGAGGTGGAAACATGGACATTGGACCATACATTTTATATATATATAGAATAAATAGTGGTAAGAGATAGAATAGAAGAAACAAGAAGAAACAAGAAGAAGAAGAAGAAGAAGAAAAAGAAGAGATGAAAAAAAAAAGAACAAGACAAGAGGTATTATATAAACCAATATTTTGGGCAATAACAACAACAACAAAGAAATGGTAAGAAAGACCAAGTGATTATATATGAAAAAAACGAGTATATTAGGCAATGCAAATGTTGTTTGCAGATATCCTTAATTGTTAACGTTGTAACACCTCAGAGCCTTCTTCCTAATGAAGCACTACTGACTTTATCTCGCTTGTATCTTCGGTGTGCTTCTCGTAAATGCTCTGGTCGGATAGCACCGTTGTCTCCCCACTCTTCCATGATCTCTTTGGCTAGTAAAGTGTGTGAGCAAACCAACTCTGATGCTCAACGACAAAGGCTCACCTTTTTCTACAATCTCACCGACATACACCTTTGAGAAACCTGCTACTACAAATGCCATGGTTTGTGAGCATTGCTGATTCAATACCTGACTGACAAGCTGTTGCAGGACATCAATAGCTGCTCTACATACACTACTCCATCCCCACCTACCCTTTTCACATTAGTGCGATTCAGCGCTGAACGTCTGTAGCCTTCATATCGCTGTAGTTGATCGTCTGAAAAGTTCTCCAACAGCACTTTCATGTCCTCTTTTGCCTTCTCCATCTGCGCTTGCATGTTTGCATTGAAATCTACCACGACGTCTTCCTTTTCATCGTCGTCTGCTTCTGCATCTTCCTTGCTCTGTGCTTCCTTTCCTGCTGCTGCTTCGTCTTTGCTGGCTGCTGATGTGGCTGCTTCATCCTCTGCTTGCGTGCTCGCTGCCACGCTGCCTTCGCGGTCTGTTTCCACAGAGCCTTGACGTGATGGTGGTGCCGTGCTGTTGCTCTGTCGTCTGTATGGCGTTTGCGACGCTTGCTGAGAGGCATTTGTACCTCGTTTCATAGCAGCAACAGCCGCTGCTGCTGTAGTCAGTGGACGATTTTGTTGTTGCTGTTGCTGCTGTTGTAACGAATAATGAGGTGGACTTGTAGCAGACATACGTGGAGGCGAGAAGGCATGTAATGGCGATCGCTTGGATGGTGGTGGCGAAGTAGCATGTGTGCTTGACTTTCTTTTGCTATTATTACTCATGATGTTTATGTAGGAAGCGAGAGGGAGGAGAGTTCAAGAGCTGTAAGATATCATTTAGAAAATTATTTCACGGAGACAGACAAAATTTATTCAAACTCAAGATGGACGATATAAATCTGATACTAGAATCGACTTGGAAGGCAGTGAAATGGATCGATTATGGCCCCTATTGGAAGGATTGATCATGGTAGAAGGCCGCTTTTTCATGCTAAGCATACCGTTTTTGGCGGCTTGTTGCTGATGTTGCTGCTGCAAAACTTGCTCGTTCTCCTGCTCGTCTTCTTCTTCATCATCTTCGTCGTCTTCGTCTTCATCGTCGTCGAATTCATCATGCCAGGAGGGCGGGTCCTCTGTGCTCACTGAACTGCGACTCATGTCTGTACTCTTTCTGAATGGCCAAAATCCACCAACAATGGACTTTTTGCTCTCTTCATCTGTGGTGTCTTCATTAGGCTGCTGCTGATGTGTGCTACTACTGCTGCTACTATTAAATCTAATAAATGAACTTGCGTTACTAAGAATGGAGCCATTGTTATTAGTCGCTGTCAAAGGTGATGTGGTCGTGGGAGTGGTGCTGTTGTTAGTCAAGGATGTTGTGATGGACAGATTGACGTTGGAATCGCTGTTGTACCGGCTGGACGTTGGCGACGAGATGGATCTTGGCTTGGGTGGCTCACGCAGATTACTGAGCGCATCAATCACCTTTTCGCTGACCCAGGGCCTCATCAGCAGATACTGGATGATCAACTGCTGCTCCAGCTCCACCTCGGTCTCCTGGCGCTGATCTTCACCCATCAGCGCGGCTGTGGTTGTTCTGTTGCTGTTCTTCTTGGACGAGGAGCCAAAATGCAGTGCGTCTGACAGCATGGGACGGAACAGATGCTTCTTCTGCGCATGGACAAACGAAGGCGGAGGTTGTTGTGGGTATACTGGAGCTTTTTGAAACAGCTGAATACAGCTCAACACATCTTGCACACGGTTATCTTGCTGATTTCCTTTGGCTGCTGCATGCAAATAAGTGACATCGTGGATAAAGACACCTAAAAACGGCACTACAGGTTTAGACCACAAGCGTTTTCGTTCCAGCCCCATGTGTTCTCGGTATTTGCGGTAATTGTCGCATTCAGACATGAGCGTATTCAAAAGTTCCAGCCTTCCCATACGCTTCTTGGGTATACATTCCCATGTGCGTCTCAGGCGCTGGATAGGTGGTGTACCCAGTGCAGAGATTACAGCCTTGAGTGTCTGATAGTTGTTGAGGGCAAGCAGCTTGGTGGCAATCTTGATCCAGCGATGAATGATCTCTGCTCGTCTCGACGCTTCTTGTGGCAGCAAAATGGAGTGTTCAATGGATCGAGTGATAAAGTTGAAAAAGTCGGTGGATGCTACAATCTTCTTGTGCGGCGTACGAGCAGAATGGGACAGCAGAGCTTCTGGCGGGATGCCGCGAAAGATGGATGATTCGATTAAGGTTAGCTGATACGCTATCAGTTGTGGTGGAAACTGGAGAATGCTTGGAATCGTCATGGCACTCATGTACAGCGTGCGCACTTTTTCCAGTGTTTGTCTAGCGCAATATACCTTGTGTGATCTCTCTGACCTGAGTAGCAAGCCATCCGTCTCTGTGGAAGTGGATTCCAGCTCTGCTTCAAGTTCGTTCAAACGCTGTTGCAGTCTACGATGTGTTGCTAATAAAGGTGGTGCTGGTATATTGGGGACATAGTTGGGTTGCGATGTGGTGGCTGTGAGGGTAGGCAGCGAGATGCTGTCGCCTGTATTGGTTTGCGCTGGAACAAGATTGCGTGGATCAACCACTGTCTCCAACAAGACATCAATGGAGTCTCGCTGGCTTGTATCATCGCTCTGCACTACCCATGATTGACTCCTTTTTCTCATATGGGGTTTCATGTTGTTTGCATTGCTAAAAGAGCTTGTCGCAGGCCTTTTTGCTGGTGGTGGAGGTGGAGGTGATACAGCCTTTGTTGTTTCAAAATCTACCATCTCCTCTTCTTCGTCATCATCATCCTCATCTTCTACAGTTGTCGCCAGTAGCTGATTGGATTCTGTATCCATCATCTTGTCCTCCTCATCGTCGTTTTCGATAATGGTCATCTGCAACAGCTTGGAATCCTCTGCAAAACTCACAGAATTGCCTCTTCCTCTCTTTTGCATTGGTAGAATTGCTGGCGGCGTCCTGTTAGCTTCAGTTTTAGGCATAATTTCTTTCGGTTTAGGCGGTATCATCGGCTTTTGATGGATTTTCGTTGGTTTGGGCGGTACAGGTGGCGGTGGAGATTTCGCTTTTAAGTGCTGTTGCTGTGTAGCCATGCTTGCACCAGGCAATTTATGGACAACAATATTTTCTAATTGATCAAGACTTGATCTAAGTAAGGCAATGGATTTATCGTACTCTTGAGGTTTGGATACGATGGCTATAGTATTGCATTAGCTCGCTATATCCTTACAATGCGACATGTAGATATACATTACTCTGGTGAACAAATTTGACTCCGTAGAGTTGCTGGGTGGACAATTCGACAACAGAAAGGAAAGCCGCATATGCATCCTGTTTAGTTGCGATAGAAATAGGGATTAGCGTTTTCTTATTTTTAGCTTTATTTTTCATTTCAATACAACAAGATGCTTACCTTTGCTTTCCCCTGCTCTAGAAGCTGCGTTGCAGTGGTATAATTTATTGTAGAGTTCATTCAATACTATGTACAGGTATATATACAGTATATATATATATAAAGATTGGTAAGAGAAAAAGAAAAAAAAAAAAAAAAAAAACTAAACAAATGGCGAAATATATAGAGAAATCGGTTTCAGTCTTGTTTTGATTACTGGGTGCTGTGCTACACACTATACTTGATGTCAATAAATGTTGTTTAAATGAAATTTGATCTGGTTGCCATGGAAAACTTAAATGGAAGCCTTGTTGCGAATATATTTTAAATGTAAAGAGAGAATAAAAAAGATGTAATGATAATAAGAAGGAAGAAAAGTAATTAAATGCGCCCGTTCTCTTTTGATGGGCTGCTACTGTTTCGCTGCTGGATATTGTCGATTGATGATGATGGTTCAAGAACCAAACGCCGCTACCCAAGCTAATACCAGTTTGATGCAACTGGAATCGACCCAATGATTCAGCCTCCTTGATTCCCATTTTCATTTAGTCAGTCAAGTAGCCAGACAACACTAACAAGCAGTACGTTAATTGATGCTATTATAATCATGCATTGCATCTCTTGTCACAAAAGGCTCGTTTGCCTCAATTTGAAGATTCCCGAATGTGTCCATTTATCTCTATCATGATGAATGCCACCAGCTTGTGAATACATTTGAAATGGACATTACCTGACGCCGGGAATCCCCAACCTGCTTGAGTATTGGCCTTGAATCAAACCGTGTTACGGACATCAGATGATGCATGTATGATTACAACAATCAAATCTGATTATGCGGTGAGAGCCTACCGCTTCATCGACTCATGATTTCATTCGCCCTACCATGGGGTCATTTTGCTTTTTTTCTTCAAATGTGGGGTGCATGCCCTTTTGCAAGAGGATTCTATTTGTAGATTAATCGTGACCCAGATCAAGGCATATACCGAATCGTGTTGGTCAGTTGAAATAATAGAAAAAAGTTCTCTTGTGCTTATCCCAATCAACAATATGCGTTGTTTGGAGAACCAAGACATAAGGTTTGAGGATTTGATAATCATGGTCGTTAGAATTCAGAGAAAGGCAGCCTGCTCCTCACTATAGCACAGTGAACAAACTTGAATGATAATATCGTTATTTTTGCCAAAGGACGATTATCCTTTTTAGAATTAATCCATTTCAACGTTCGGATCATCACATTCATCTCAAATAACATTTCAAAAAACCTAATCAATGAATAACTCATAACCAAAAAAGCCCACTCGGCCTTTCCTACTAAGCTGGTTGTTGACTATTGATTCAACAGAGGGAGCTAAGGTGTTTGGTCAAAGCTTCATGTCGGTAAACAGCCAGGCATGAATTACTCCAGCTATGCACTGGCTGATGCTGCTGCTGCTGCTGAAACCCAATTCAAATTCCGCTTTTTTTCTCTGGATCTGAGAATTTGATTTGTGATCAATTTGACAAAAAAAAAAAACTTCCATCGAGGATTCCTCCAGAAGTACTATAGCTAACCTGTTTTTTGTATTAATTGTAATAAATACTTCTTTGGATTGTCTATCGAACGATACCAATTATTTTTATATGTCCCACCAAAAATAATTCTAAAAATGGCAAAATATGCAAACGCTATTTTAGTCGAAAAATCAGAATTCGAATTAGGAATTTCTCAAATTGGCAATTTCATATGATAGAGTGGATCTGTAGCTTTCGTTTACACTAATACTTGCCATGTAAAAAACGTCGCTTTTGGGTTGAAAAATGTGGTCGATTGATTTTTGACGATTTGGCCTTACTACCCCTCATGGATTTTGACCATTTTTTTGAAGATGCAAAAAAAAAATGAGATAAAGTAAAAGGAAGTAAGTATTAGTCAAGAGAAACCGTTTGGTGCCACTCTGACGGTCCAAAACGGCATATTCAAAGAGATATAATCAATTCAATACTATCAAATTCTACTGAATTCCGATGTATTGGTGGCTCAAAACTGGTGAAGCTGATATAGTATGTAGCTTGAGTATGCTGCATTGCATTGATTTAGATATTGTGTCTTTGATAAAGTTGAAGGCATGCTTTGTAGTTTGATTTAAAGGCAAATTAGCAGGACCAAAAGCACTAAATATTGCTGACTGGGCAGTAAACAACAGCCACCGTGAGCGATCCTGCTGATGACTGAGCCTCGTCCAAGAGAAACTACATAGCGCATGCTTTCCATGCTTTCAGACCTCGTAAACTATCCATGAAAGCTCGATGCTCTATGCAGGTCTCTTTTATGTAAGAGTTAAAGCCGGACCTAGTAGCGCTGCTACTGTACTGCCTCAGTATAAGCTCCATGTATGCGATATTGCCTGTTATGATCCTAAGCCTCTGCTACCCCTGAGAACCTCCTTTCCACAGCATCCCCTTCTTGAAAAAAACAGTATCGAAATCGACCTCGGAAATCGATGCAAATGTATTAAACATCATAACACACCTGCCTGTCGCGATAAACAAACAGGTTCTCTTTCTTTCCTTTATTGAATCGAACATTATGATCAAAATTGTTCTTCTCAACCTTTTAGTGTTATCTTGCACTCCATTTGTAGCGCTAATAAACGTAACAACCATACAAAACTGTCCAGCATTGTCACCAAGATCAACACCACCAAGCGACGTTCGTGATCTCAGAATAGACGATATCGAATTCATTGCAGCTTTGGGTGATAGGTTTGCAATTTCTTTATCAAATCATTAGATGTTTGTGTCTCAAGACTTGAATAGCATTTTCGCAGGTTACGGCATAAAAAATGTACCAGAGGGCCCGTTGGGACTCTTAAACCCAAATGCCTTGACAGAGTATCGAGGACTCAACTACATGATGGGTGGTGATCCTGATGCGATATCCATAGCCAGCTTTATAAAGCATTTCAATGCAAAGCTTCTGGGTTCATCTACAAACACCCATCCTTTGGTGTCTATCGCTGGAAACGTATCATATGCAACCCGTAAGCATGCATTATCAGCAGGAAGATAGGGCGTATGCTCATACAATTTGGTAGATTTCCCTCCTGTTGATAACCTGAATGCGGCAATTTCTGGTGCTATGGCCGTCAATTTGGATCTAGAGCTAGATTACTTGCTGCAAGGTATACATTATATCGTTGTACAGCAAGGAAAATGCTACTAAAAGCGTACGTGCAGAACTGAATAGTCCATTTGCATCAAACTTGAATGCAAAAAACGAATGGAAAATGATCAACATACACATTGGAAGTAAGTTTAGTCCCACAGACAAAGTATCATTTAATCATGCTTTACAACGTAGGCAATGAAATGTGTCAATCCTGCGACAGCAAGCTCACTAACTTGACTACACCTGAGGTATATGCTAGGGAAATAGAAAATGCTGTTCAACGTATCAAAAGATCGATCCCCAAGACCTTTGTCAATCTGAGTAAGCACCAAACATAGCATTCAAAAACTATCCCTGGCAACTAACGAAGCCATATTGCGCAGTTGGCATGTTTAGATTCTCTGTCATCAACCAAATGGCAAAAGCAAACCCACAATACTGCGCTAATAGAGATATTATCAAGCCTTGTGAATGTTTTCTTCAAAACAAGATGGATCATATGGACAGCTTGATGGAGCGTGAGTCTTGGATTATGCTTACAAACAGCGCGATAGTAACATTTTTGTATCAGAATTCAATACAAAGCTGATGGCCATTGCCAACAAGTATGCACCTCAGCCAGGATCCACATTCGGAGTAGCATACACTCCATTTCCAATCGATTTCCAGTCATTTCCTATCAATGCATTTAGGTAAGCACATTCCACGATGGCTTGCAGTAATATGGTACTAATGGCGATATGTGAATTTCAATAGCAACATTGACTGCTTTCATCCTTCTGTCAGCGCTCATCAGTGGATGGCAAAATCAATCTGGAATCAGCTATTTACAAAATCGAAGCCGTCTACCATGTTATTCAACTTTTCTGAAGAGGTAAGAAAAATGCGATTGGCTTGCATACTTTACTGACTTGTGTTTATGTCAGATCTATTGTCCCACAGACATTGATAGACTAGCAATCTAAGGCACTACCATCAGATACTTTAGTCGGAGAGGCTTCCTCTAATGTATATGATCATCTAAAATATATATACTGGAAAACATTCAAAAAAAAAGCAAACAAATTATATCCTTTCAAAAATTTAAAGAATTGAGTGCCATACAAGGTGCAAAACCATGGCTACTAAGCATGTAACCCAGTATTTGGTAATAATAATCTTTAAGGGTTTACCGTAGCGAAACAAAGGTGCATAACCATAGAATTCAAGCAGCAAATTCGGGGTTTCATTTTCATTGTTAATAAGCTTATCACCAACAACATAATGCATCAAAATTTGCATAAATCAGCTTTACCAAAATCAATGTGCCTCCTATTCGAATTAAAAATTGCTCAAACTACATAACTGTCTTTCCAGTAATTTGCAGCTACCAAAAATGTGATTCATGCCGTGTAAATAAAAGCTATACAGCAAAAATACAACCAAATTGGACAGATTTCAGGTCTTTATATCTTGACATGTATACCTTTCTGAGCCACCGGAATGACGCCAAACAATTGTACTCGAGTAGCAGTAACTTCCTGACACCTTTGCTCAACTTTTTTGAGCCAAGAAAAAACATGGTCAAAAATCGACTAAAAAGCATGAGGGGTACCTCATGCTTTTTGACAAAAATCAAACGATCGCATTTTTCACCTTGAAAATGAAGACTTTTACTATGGTATACGAGCCTTTCAGCACTTCGGGTGGTTTCCTGACCTACGCTTCGCTTCGGTGGAAACCAACCTACGTTCAAACGGCTCGCGCTGCCGCGGGCCTTTGGCTAATATCCCAAAATTAATATAGCTAAAATGTTAGAAGAGGAACCCTGATTGTTGATTGATATGTAATCACTAATCGTATGAGTGTTTATGCTTCGGATGGTTCTCACCGAAGCGTAGCAAAGGTAGAGAACCAACCTGCGCAGCGGCAGCTCGTGCTACTGATTGCTCTTGCGTATTTTATCAAAATACTGCTACTTTCATTTTGACCCTCCACTTACACATAGTAACCCTTCATATTATCTGTGGATCTGATTCTTATGTGATGTTCTACATCCATATACACGTAGCTACTTCATATACGGGCAAGCAGCATACTGGTATTCCCACTTTTTAGTCCTTAGTGTCCCTAATACAGCAAAATATGAGTGCATTTGAGCTGCATTTTCTTGCGTTCAAGGCCGTTTTAGATCGTCAGAATAGCCCCAAATGGTTGCTTTCATATGGCAGTTACTTTCTGACACTTTTGCTCGACTTTTTGGGGACCAAAAAAACATGGTCAAAAATCGACCAAAAAGCATGAGGTATCCCTCATGGTTTTCATCGAAAATCAAACGACCGCATTTTTCATCTTGATAATGGAGACTTTTACTATGGTATATCTTGAATCAAAATGTTTCTATCAATCCAAAGCAACCTCTGAAATTATCTTTGTGGGACTTTGATATGTAAAATTTCGACATTTTGGCCATAAATCTCTTTTCATATTTTTACAAATCATTCAATAAGTGAATTCAAAACATCTATTTTACTTAGTACCATTGGAAGCGCCTTGAAAAGTACTCCAGGAAAGCTTAAGGAAGCATGGGGTGATTATCATACTTCACTTAGTCGAATCTGCAAAAATAGCTCGATCGAGTCCAAAATTATCAAAATATGTCCAATCTGGAACAGACTATGATTCTGGGTTTGAATTAATTTTGGCTGGTAGGGCCAGCTGGAAAACTCATGCCCTTTTCATAAGGCAATACAGTAGTAAATGCCCTTGAAGCGTATAGAAAGTAGGTGGCAGGTCATAGCACTATCGTTTATGATGATATTTTATTGCCTTCTATATCGTTCATAATGATATTTTATTGCATTCTATATTTAATAACGTTAGTCTGGACATTGACAATGCATGGGTTGCATAAAATGTCTGCAGTAAGTAATGAAATCTCTGAGGCTCTGAGACGTCGCTCAAATAAAACATTGACAGCACTGAGCAGAGGAAAGAGGGTAGAAATTACAGTGGTTTTTGTTGATTGATTGTAAAATCATTATTCTCATATGAGCCAGGTCTGATAGATGCCTTGAAACTCAGGTTCCATATTAGGATTGTAAAGTGCAAAAGTACTGAACATTTATTATGTTATGATATGAGCCAGGTCTGATAGATGCCTTGAAACTCAGGTTCCATATTAGGATTGTAAAGTGCAAAAGTACTGAACATTTATTATGTTATGATATGAGCCAGGTCTGATAGATGCCTTGAAACTCAGGTTCCATATTAGGATTGTAAAGTGCAAAAGTACTGAACATTTATTATGTTATGATATGAGCCAGGTCTGATAGATGCCTTGAAACTCAGGTTCCATATTAGGATTGTAAAGTGCAAAAGTACTGAACATTTATTATGTTATGATACTGAATCAAAATGTTTCTCTCGATCCAAAGCAACCTCTGATATCACTTTTATGAGGTTTTCATATGCACAATATGGCTATTTTCGCTATAAACCTCATTTCAAATTTTATTAAATTGCTCAATAATCTCATTCAAAACACTTATTACAATTAGCGCCATCGGAAGCGCCTTGAAAAGTACTTTAGAATGTATTAGGAAGCGTAGGGCTAACATCACACTGTACATAGTCGGATATTGCAACATTGATCAAAGAGGTCGAAAGATGACAATATCTGTCCAATCTTAAACAGAAAAAATAATCTGAGTCTGAATCAATTTTGGCGGCGGCTTGCTGCTGGCTGACCTAAATGCCTTTCTGATGATGACAATGCTGACTGCAATGCTGATTAAATGGGAACAATGGAGTTGAAAGGACAATTGATTAGCCCATATATCTTTTTTTGGAGAGTTTTGTCACATGAAGGTGTCTTTTGCAATGACAATATCTCAGAAAATCGCTGTAGATCTTACACAAATCCTGTATTTGCGCATGGCTAGCTTTATGTCGCCATATTAAGAGCAGCAGCAGCAACAGCAGCGAATGGTATGACAATTCTACTATCAGAAAATGGAAATTGTGGTGTACACATGCTGAATGTTCTTTCACACTGCCTCAATGATAGGCTTCGTTTGATATCAGTGTAAGCAAAAAGGGAGCAGAGGTAGCTATCTCTTCTCCTCTTCCTCCTGGCTCTGATATAGCCTTTCTTTTACTAACAAGTGATTGTTTAAAATCTACTTGATATACCTGATTTAAAATGTTTTCGGCGAGAGCCCGCAGGGCGACGTCGACATCGAGCGCAGCGAGAGAGATCAGCTAGTGAAACTGCTCAATAAGCTTGAATTCATCCAACTAGGCAACTAGTAGTTCTGCGATCCAATGTCTGGACTCCGGTTGTCTGGCTTGATTTGACGACAATAAAGCAAGTTTTACTTAATTTTTCTCTTTTCTTTACCACGTAACCATGTCTGGCGTCAAGAGAACATTTGATTTCCAAGGAGAAGCATCATCTAAACGCGTTCGATTTGACAGCAAGTCAAAATCAAAAAGGAACAGTGGGGAAACTGATTTCGAGTTTAATCATGAAGACGAGCTAGAGGACAAGAAAAATCGCCGTGGAGCAGTAAATTTTGACGTCTACGATAGCGATGATGAAGAAGTAGGCGGTGGTGTCTACAGCAGCGATTCAGACGATGAGGGAAGCAAGAGGAAGAAGGACGAAGAGGAGGAGAAGGTGCCCACTGCACCTGGAGAAGATTTTGATATGTTTGGTGGCGAACCAGAGCCTTCCACAGAGAAAGGGAAGGGCAAAGCCAACCCCAATCAAGAGATTGAAGGCCAAGAATTCAATTCGTACGACCGTGAATCGGAAGACGAGTCAGACATTGAGGATGGACAAAAGAAAGAGTCAAAGATCTCAGCATTCAATATGAAGCAAGAGATGGAGGAAGGTAGTCTGGATGAAAAGGGAAACTATATTCGCAACAAAGTGGATCCGCAAGCATTTCATGACAAGTGGATGGAAGGCATTTCTCGCAAGGATATGAATCAAGCAAAGGCAGCTCACGAGAAGCGTGAAAGAGAGGAAGCGTTGAAGGAAGCAGAACGTCAGTCAAACGTACCTCAATCACAAAATGATATATACAAGGCATTGGTGGAATACTTGAAGCCTGGACAAACAGTGCAGGAAGCATTAACATCGCTGGCGAATTCATTGCCCAAAAAGCTACCTGCTTGGAAGCAAAAGATGCTAGACAAGAAGAACAAGAACAAAAAGGGCAAAGAAGCAGCAGGGCCCGCCCCATTGACAGAGCAAGAGGAGGCATCCAGACGCAAAACAGTAGAAACCATCACAGGGTTAGCGGATCAAATGATGGCACTGGGACATTTCAATATCTATGAAGACACATTTGAGATTATGGTGCGTCACTTAAGGAAAGAAGGCGTTGTGCCTCAAGACTGGATGCCTGATTCTTTTCAATAAAAGCTTTATTTTCTTTAAATTTGGCCGTTGAATTTATTCTCAAGCTTCTCCCAAGCCTTGTAGTAGTTTTCTTGCACTTTACCGCAGGTCTCGAGGCCCCAAGGCGTGAGGGAAAGCATAAAACTTGTTTCAAACATGAAGGCTTGGTTGTTTTCACCCACATACACTGGCTTCAACTCTGCTTTGGATGCTCCTTCAAAGACGGCGGCATCAGGTCCATGAGGTGTCATTGCATTGTGAAGAGAGCCACCGCCTGGAGAGAAGCCATCAGATTTGCCATCATAGTCGCCAGTGATCAAGCCCATGAATTCAGACATGCAGTTGCGATGGAAATAAGGTGGACGGAATGTCTTTTCAGTAACAGCCCAACGAGGAGGGAAGATAACGAAATCAGCCACTGCAACACCAGGTGTATCAGATTTCGCTGTCAACACTGTAAAGATGGAAGGATCCTATATACACAAGCATGAGTTTGAAGGTTCTTGGTTGTCACACTAGCAACTTACAATATGGTCAAACGAAACGCTGTTGATAACACAGAAATTGGCCAAATTATACTTGTAAGGAGCATAATTGCCGTGCCATGCAACCACATCAAACGGCGTGTGCTTTTGCTTTGCACTAAACATTTGGCCATTGAATTTGGTCACAATCTCCCAATCTACGTTGTTTTCCTCCTCGAAAGCAGCCTTGGGTGTCAAGAAATCTCTGGGATTGGCAAGGCCATTGGCACCGATGGGCCCCAAATCGGGCAGCTCAAAATGGGCACCGAATACCTCCAAGACATAACCTCGAGAATCACCATCGGGAAGACTTACACTATAGCGAACGCCTCTCTGAATAACAGCAATCTCGTTGGGAGCCACCTTCATTTTACCAAATTCTGTAAAGATATCCAAGACACCTTGTTGAGGCACGATTAGGAAATCGCCATCCGAGTTGTAGAATGCAGTTTTACCCATATCTGTGTTTGCAGCGTAGATGTGGATACCGAGGCCACTGCGACATGCTGGATCACCCGCACCAGCCAGTGATTTGAGGCCTTGCACAAAGTTGACCTTGTCTCCAGCAGCAGGCAAATCAAATGGACTCCAACGGATCTGAGTAGGTGTGATCAGGATGTCTTCCCCGCCAAATTTGGACACCAATAAATCATTGACGGTTTTGTTACGAGCGAATGGTGTATGGACGACAGATGGGCGAATACGGTAGAGCCAGCTTCTTTGGTTGTGTGTACGAGGCACTGTGAATGCTGTTCCTGACAGCTGTTCGGCATACAAGTTGTAAGGACACTTTTGTGGGGTATTTTGACCTTTTGGAAGTGCGTCTTTCAATGCCTCCGATGAAAAGTGGTTACCAAATCCTTCTTGATACTCGTAATCGTTGGTGGCGGACATGATTGAAATAATTGTAGAAAGATAAAGAAGAGACGCACGCTATAACACTTTTCAGCTTGTTTATATACAAATCACTCGGATTCAACAGGTCGTGGGAATCCAGAATACCCCCCATTATGCGATTTGACAAACCGATACAGCATGAATTTATTTCCTGTTGACCGCAATAGAGGCCCTGACGTATCATACGAGAAATTTAAGAATACCTACAGGACTTAATGGAAGATAGTGATACACGCATCGCATACGGTGTTATGAGCTTGGATCCAGGTGGCATATATCAGATCCGACAGGGCCATTTTCATTCAACACACTTGGTTTATGTAATAGCACCTGATTGGGAAGGGCATTGTAAATGATGGAATAGGCTCATTATGCTTACAGATGTCTGAATTATTCCGGTGGTAGAGAAATGCGGGGTAGTAGTAGTAGTAGTAGACATCACGATATGCTTAATACAGATATGCTTTTTTTTTTATTATTCAGATAAATAGAAGATTTCAACATAAAATATTCTGCAAGCTCATATGCTTGGACTCATCTGAGGAAAATGACAATGACGATGCCGTGCTTCTGCTGCTGACGGTAGGCTCAAAACTAGCAGGGTTTGTACTCTCTTGCTGTGGCTCCTGTGGAGGAGTTAAAGGGGTTGTACCAGTAGAAATGATAGATGTGCCAGATTTAATGATATCCATTGGCTTTAAGCCTTTCTGATGTTCCACAACAACAAGATCAGATCGTCGTCTTTCCTTATCTAATTCCTGCGTTTTTGTTGATGTTGTTGTTGGCTTATTCTGATGAACAGAAAACTGATTTGTAAATGGCTCTACTTCCTTGGGCAGCATCGATTTCTGCATCTTGACCTTGAGATGGTCTCCCTTGAGCAGCTCATCGCCTCCACTCTTTTCGTCTAGTTTCTTGACAATCTCTTTGAGATAAGAAATGTAATCAATGGCGCTTTGTAGAATGGACATTTTGTGAAGGTTGTCTTGTTCGACGCAAGACGGTATCAGCTGTTTCAGTTGCAGGATTTTATCATTGATGCGCTCTCGTCTTCTTCGTTCAATGGCACTGTGCGATACTTTTCTGGCTTTTTCTCTCTGATCTGCTGTAGTGGCTGCTGCACTTGTTGTGTTGATGGTACCAACATGGCTCGGTCCAAGTCCAGGCGAACTCGATATAGAGTTTTGTCGGCTGGAAACGTAAGGTGATGGCATCAAGGTGGGTGACATTTGTATGCTGTATGGATGGTAGAATGATGACATGGGTGATTGCTGTGGTTGCTGTTGAGGATACATGCCCGGTGATTCAGAGCTTTTGGGAAGGATGCGTGGAGTAGATGACTTCTTGCCTGCTGTTGCTGAAGATGTCTCTGGCATGGGCGGCATGGTAGGGCTTAGGAATGGATGTTGTTGAGGGCTTATGGGGTAATAGATGGGTTGTTGTGGATGATACATGTGGTAGTAGGGCTGCTGGTGTGGATGATGGACGACAGATACGAATTGGCCGTTTGGATATTGCATTAATGGTGGTGGAAGAGCTACTAATGGTGGAGGCACTGTTGCTGCTGACGCTGCTGTTGATACAGGCACGGATGATGCTTCAGTTGCTTGACGTTTGGGCATTTGATCCGTCTTTTCGTTCTCGCTGACAGAGCTTTTTCTCTTGTTATTTAGGGATGCAGTAGGTGATGTTGACATGAGGGTAAATGGACGGTGCTTGTGATAGATGCAGAAGAAGAGGAAGAAGCGAAGCGAAGAGACGAAAAGTAGATGGGCAAATAAATACGTGTGATTATCGTATATAAATACCTAAGGGGTTAAACATATCATTACCAATGATCATTTAGAAAGAAATAGCATGGATATATTGTCCCTCGTTTAGGTAAACATCTACACATGCTCTCACAAGTTTACATTTGATTGGGCCCAGTTTGGGTCACGTTTTGTGTTGTATTTGCGGACACTTGAAACTCTATTCAAAGTACCTTAAATGGGACATTGGGTTGGCTATTGTCCACCTGGCAGAATGTCAACTGTCTCGTGCTTTACAGATTGTCGAATCAAAGGGGCTCTCTAGTTCATTTACCCAACAAAGACTGGCAGATCCGTCGTTTAGCCTATCCTAAGGGTCGCTGATACATTTACCTTCATCATGCAAGCAATCTAATCCTGTTATGTGGCTCGAATCCAAGCACGCTCATAAATGAAATTAGGCTGTTTGAGATATGAACGCTATTCTTTAGTAGGTTGTCGTAAAGATTTGGCAAAAGTGTTGACTATTCATTATCGAAGGGTGTATTACATGTTTGTCCATTTAAATGACACTGAAATCTTTATAAGGTACAGTAATGAGCGCGACATTGATATGCATCTACTACTTTCACGTCAACACGTTGAAGCAAAAATTTCACCATTCTGACCGAGTGCAAATATTCTATATCACCTCTACACTAATTTCCTCGTGATAGTGCTGCGTTGGCCAACTGTAGTCATTTTGATATTAAAACCACCAGAAAAATGCACGTCGTTCTCGAGATGAACAACGCGACAGATTGTTTTTGCGTTAGGAACCAAGCGCTAGGCGAGGCTGACCATGTGTTCTTATCCTCAGAACTTAGCGAGGGCCTACAAGAGAGATATTAGCACCAAACATTGCAACATTTTGATATATCATCGCTAAAAAAAAGGCTTGCTTTGGTGTGATTAACAAGTGATGTAGAAAGAGGTCCTCTTTTCAGTGACCAGGGCGTTTCCAGCAGCATGCTTATCTTTCTGTTTCTGCGTGGTCCCAGGAGAATGATGTCCGTATTGCAAAAAGCGCAATCTCATTTGGACAGCGATCACCCAAGCACAGCAGGCAATGTACAAAAAAGGCTGATGGTGCGATGATGATCCATCTCCTTGATTTGCTTTGGAATGCCGATTTAAGGCTTGTTGTTCAGAGCTACCACGCACAGCACACAACTTTATTCAATGTTACACTTTCCCTATTGTTCAAACAATAGAAAATACACTTGCATAAAAGAGATTGCCACCCACTGAAGCATGCCTTGCTGACCCATTCGTGAGTATATCAGACAAAGAATCCGTTGCCAATGTCGTTTCTGGTGACTCGTTGTCATGAACGTTGTGTCGCAATAGAATGCGTTGTTTCTGGCGTGAGCGAGATGAGTTTCCCCCCCCCCCTCTCAATTTAATTGGGGATCACAGACATTTTTTTTTCCCTTTTTCCCTTTTTGTTTACAATTTTTTTTTTTTTGCGAGTGTTTTGGTACCTTAGCTTTCACCAAAAGTCAACTCTTACAAACACCTCTACACTAGATCGAAATCGACATATTACAAGATGAGAGAGGTTATTTCGCTTCATGTTGGTAAGCTTTATGCAGGGAAAATGGTAGAAAAAGGATAGAGGATTGACAAGGAAAATCCTTTTTTTTTTTTTTTTTTTTTTTTTTTTTTTTTTCAGGCCAAGCAGGTGTCCAGATTGGTAACGCTTGTTGGGAGCTGGTAAGTGGTTACTCTTCAATGCGATGCAGTAGTGTATTCAATGTTCATTGCAGTACTGTCATGAACACGGCATCTTGCCTGATGGCCGTTTTCCCGAAGGAACACATATCAATGATCGTTCGTAAGTATATTTTCGTTTTAGAGGGATGATACCACGCACTCACCTCCAGCACAGATTTGAGACTTTCTTCTCAGAGACTGAAGGTGGTAAGCATGTCCCTCGTACTGTCATGGTGGATTTGGAACCTTCTGTCATTGATGAAACTCGCACGGGTGCTTATCGTGAACTTTTCCATCCTGGTAAGTGCAACGTAGGATATGTTTTTAACGGCTGATAATAATATCGCATACACACAAAGAGCAATTGATCAGCGGAAAAGAGGATGCTGCAAACAATTATGCCCGTGGTCATTACACTGTTGGAAAGGAGATGGTTGACAATGTATTGGATCGCATTCGCAAGTTGGCTGATAACTGTTCTGGTCTTCAAGGCTTTTTGGTCTTCCACTCGTTCGGTGGTGGTACTGGCTCAGGTTTCGGGGCTCTATTGATGGAGCGTCTATCTGTTGATTACGGCAAAAAGTCCAAGCTCGAATTCTCAGTGTACCCAGCACCCCAGCTTTCTACCTCTGTTGTTGAGCCATACAACTCTATTTTGACCACACACACTACATTGGAGCACTCTGATGTCTCTTTCATGGTAGACAATGAAGCCATCTACGACATCTGTCGCCGCAATTTGGATATCGAAAGACCTACTTATTCCAACTTGAATCGCTTGATCGCTCAAGTGGTTTCATCCATCACTGCTTCTTTGCGTTTTGACGGCTCTCTCAATGTTGATTTGAACGAGTTCCAAACCAATTTGGTGCCTTATCCTAGAATTCATTTCCCATTGGTAACCTACGCTCCCATCATCTCTGCTGCCAAGGCCTACCACGAGCAAATGTCTGTACCTGAGATTACCTCTGCTTGTTTTGAACCCAACAACCAAATGGTCAAGTGTGATCCTCGCAATGGCAAATATATGGCCTGTTGTTTGTTGTACCGTGGTGATGTTGTGCCCAAGGATACCAACGCCGCTATCTCTGCTATCAAAACCAAGAGATCCATTCAGTTTGTCGATTGGTGTCCTACTGGTTTCAAGGTGGGTATCAACAACCAACCACCCACTAATGTCCCTGGTGGCGATCTTGCTACTGTCCAACGTGCTGTTTGTATGTTGTCCAACACTACCGCTATCGCCGAAGCTTGGGCTCGTCTTGACCATAAGTTTGATTTGATGTATGCTAAGCGTGCCTTTGTTCATTGGTATGTGGGTGAGGGTATGGAGGAAGGTGAATTCTCAGAGGCCCGTGAAGATCTGGCCGCCCTCGAAAAGGATTATGAGGAGGTTGGCCTTGATTCTTTGGGTGATTCTGAGATGGAAGAGAATGAAGAATATTAGGCTATCTTGTTCTCTCTTTCATTACACCATATACATATTATTTCATTCTACTACCATCAATTATTTCTATATAAATCTTTGCGAAATGTGTGTACTGTATAATAGAACGTGGTAATGCTCTCGATCTGATGTTGCGTTATTATCAAAAGAGTAGCCTTGAATTTAGTGGCAATCACATCAAGGATAGGCATCGAAAAAGGTATTTCAAACCACCGGCGATAAGAATAGAATGCCATCATCATAATTATCTAAATGATCCATTACATACCCAAGATTCTCTTGATTGACCAAGTACTACCTAATGCATGGCTCTAATGGATCTGTATTCGGACAGACATCATTTTTGCATTCAATTGGTCCTTCTCAAAAATGCAAATTGGTAAGAATTACAAAACTCACTGTCAAAATTTAAAATTGTCGTCCTGTTCAAATTGCTTATAATACTTTTAATAGGGCTAGTGAATATATACAAATAAGCCATGATCTAACGGCCATGTTCTCCACCGAGAACATGGCCTTCTCCTCCACCTCTGGTGGTAGTTCCTTTTAGGCCAGCTTCTGCAACAGAATCGTATACTTGTTGATCCGCTGTTTGCTCCTCTTTACCATCACCACTCTCCAAACTGACATTATTCTCCTCGTCTTTTGTATCGTCGTTCTTGGCGAATGACTCCATTGCTCTTCTAAAGGCTACATCGAAATTGGTAGGCAAATGATCCAAAAGGATGGACATGCGAAGAATGAGCTCTGTAGATACTTTTTCAGGTGTAGTTCTTTCAATGACAATGCGGGATTCATTTTTGGGAATAGGGTCCTGTATTTGTGGTCAGAAGAGCTGATGAATACAATCTACGGTGCTGTACTTACCAGCCAGAATTGATAAACAGTACCAGCAACATACAACTAATAAAAGTAAGGTCAGTGATATGTCTACAGCATCTTCTTGGATCAATGACATACCCTTGGATTGGACATGGTTTCGAGGCACTTTTTGCGACACTCTGCCACTCTTTCAAAAGCTGCTTTCCATGCTTTGTTGTCTAGTTCACCTGCCCAAATAAGCTGGCCCAGCCCTATATTCTTTGCCGCTTCAGCACCAGCAATGATCAGCTCTTTGACGTCCATCATGGATCCATAACTCAACTTGCTGACAAAGTCATCTGCAAAAACAATGGATTGAATTTGGTCCTGAACTGCGTGTTAGTCTGATTTACTCATAAGATCACTTCTTATACCGTGTCTACAAACCTTGTATTTGTTTGCTAAATTAAGGCTCAAACCACAGGCAGGAGCATAGCCGATACTATAGATTGAAAAGTCGCCGTCTTTGCCCTGTCTGAACTCTTTGATATAGTCCTGCAACATGATGGTCAAAATAGCACTTGTAGAGGCACCGAGACTATGGCCGACAATGTACAGTGAGGTTGTAGAATGCTTGTTGACATAGGCTATGAGTTTGGGTGCGATATGTCGAAAGAACCATGTTGCCGAAGACTATTGCATGTTGTTAAGGAATGCATTCATCACTGATAGCCCGTGCTTACCTTCATTCCTTTATGAACAAGACCGCCCTTCCAAGGCTCATATTCACACACCAGGTCTGTCATTGTATCAAAGGTGCTCTGCGTCATAGGTATTAATACTCTTAAACACAAATTGGCGTCAGAAACATGCTTACCATAGTGCCTCGAATACTTAATACAATGGCATTCAATTTTCTGTCTCTAGCGATAAAATAGCTTGGTCTAAACGCTGCATTTGTTCTAAATTCATAAGCCAGCAAGTCTTCCTTCGGTATCTCCAGATGCTCAATAATGGACAAGGCATCCGATTGGGATCGTACAGCGTCTGAAAAGATACCATTGCCTTTGCCAATAAAGTTCAGGCCTTTCCAACCATAGGAAGCCATGGCATACCTCCACATGTAGGAAGCCATCTCTATTTCAGAGACATCCTCTACTAGATCCCATGTTCTCTCTCGTGGCAGATCGCTGTAAAACTTTTCCACTACGTTGAATCCAGACAATATCTGCAAATTGGATAGTTCAAACCCTTGGCCCTATGTTACGTTTCAGTGCACATCGTACAAATCGATTTATATTCGTGCACTTACAAAAGCTACCAGCAGTTTACCAATAGCACGAAACACTTGGTTGGTTTCTTTTGCCATGGTCCAGGAGCCGATGGTGTCCAAGATGGGGAACGATTTGAGCGTATCGTCTTCTGTATCAATGAGGCTGCTTCCAGATTTCGATGGCTGTGGCTGCTCCTTTTGGACAGATTTGATATTGCTGCTTGTTGTATAACCAAAGAACGAAGACACTGTCTCCAGAATACCACCACCACCACCACCACCACCTCCTCCTCCTCCTCCTTCCTCTGCTTTGCTGTTGGATTTCGCATTGGTTTCTTCCGTTAATGTTGTTGTAGTATGTATGCTAATGGTGCTGCTTGCTCGCGATACCGAATAGGACAGAGGCATTTTGTTTGACGACAGTATCTCGGCCTGTCTTTCATCATTGCTATCACTGTCATCTGGATAGTCCTCTGTTGCATCGTCCTTTCCATTGTTGTCCTTGTTCTGCTCAAACTTTTTAAATCTGATATCCTCATTATTTCGCTGGCTTTTCAACTGCTTCTGAAACTCCTCGTCTAGTTCCTCATCCTCGTTTTTATCGTCATGTGTAGTGTCTATATTGTCAATCGATGTGGAGGACATGGCTCTTTTTTGCTGATCTATGAGCCAGTTCATTTCCGAGAAATCGACAGACATAGTTCTCTCCATCGAGACGGATGGCTGTTCCTTTGTGAAACGGTAGTGATATGCAATCTCAGCTTGGATAGCACCTACACCTGATGTCATTAATGCTTTACGGCTCACTTGTGAAGTAGCACCAAGGGATAATTTTTTCTCCAGCACTTCATAATAGCTTGTAAAGATCTCTGGCATGCCCTCCAGGTTTTTAAGTCGAATCTCTGCTCTGCCAACGTGCTTGTCTAGAAAGAAACTATTGCTGTCGTATAAATCAAGTTGGATGGTATCGAACAATTGATTGTGGTAGGTCACTTTGAGCTCGAATCCCTCGTTCCATGATCCTTGCGAGTACTCGGAAACGGACGTTTTGTGATATTGATCTAGTGGAAAGTCGATTAGAGCCACCAATACTACAAACAGGCGTTGAGTCATACCTCCAAGGGTAACAGTGACATAGGGACGCTTCACAGGCGAATTAAGGAAACAGCTATTGATTGTTATCTACATCAAGTGTGTGAGTCAATCACTGCTTTTCGTGAACACTTTGTGTGCTACTCACTCGTAATGTGCCAGGCGGTAGTGATGGCGAATTTCTTCTATTCAGTTTGGGCACTTGCTTTATAGCGGCTGTCATCAGGGAGGGTATAATATGTACGAAATGATGAAAGAGAGAAAGAAAAAAAAAAAAAAGGCTTGCTGCAACATTCAGTAGTTAAGAGAATAAGATTATTTGTCCAGATATAGGTTGTCTAGTACCACATGAACGCATCTGCACATCACAGATGAGCTGCCATCTTTAGTGCTGATGCCATTGGTCAAGAGGATGTTGCTGTTTTGAAGGGTTTGCATGTAGATCTTTTCTACCATGATTCTTCTCGTCTTTCAAGCAGAACCGTCCGGTACAAAGCCTTGACCCTTTCAACCGATGGCATCCATGCCTGTGCATGTTTTCGATTCCATCCTTCTCGCTTACATTAGCAGTGCATTAGTTTAGTGGTTTGAATTTAGTGCTCCATTCAAATCGTGCATAAATACGTAATTTATTCTATTTCACTTATAGGGATATCAATTAGAAAAGAAAAAAATAAATGCAAAGGGCTAGGATATAGTATTAATATTTACAAATGAAGCAAGAAAAGAATCCCGCATTACAGGGCTTCAAGTACTGAAGAAAGGCCCACCAAGAATATTCCCAAAAAGAAAAACATGAGCACATAATGTTGGTGAGAATCAGCCCTGATTGCTTGTGGCAACATGCTCTGTTTAATAGACGATAAATGTCAGTATATCAGTCCCTTATCAAACAACAACCATCATGAACAACATACCTGAATGGTTATAAGGGACATCATTCCGCTTACACAACCAAATACAATACCAAACAAAAGATTTTCGCTTTGTTTAGAGATGTTTTGAATCAAGAATAACCCAATGAGTGCACCTAATGGCTGAGAGAATCCACCCATAATGGCAGCATAGGTGAAAGCAGTAGTACGTGATCGTGTAGCGTAATACAAGGGCAAAGCAATCATGAAACCTTCAGTCAAATTATGAATCGACATGGCGATACCAACGCTCAAACCAAGCGCAGCAGAGGCTTTGCTAGACACAAACATAATAAGACCCTCTAAAGGGACAGTAAGCTTCCGCTTTTCTTGGAGCAACCAATGTACATGCACTTACCAGGAAATTTATGAACACAAATGGCAATAGCAGTCTGGATTCCAATGCTATAGTAGTGTCCAGGATCATTGCTGACAGTTTGCTCCACTGATTCGTGATGATTGTGATGCTGAGTGCTAGGACATTCACTGACCGTGTCATCGCCTTGGTGGTCTCTATGATTTAAGGGTCCGTTGCTATGGACAAGATCATCATGATGAAATCGAAAATGAGATTCACTGGAGCGGATTGTACCGTATTCGACGTCGCATGGATGATCATTCAATTTGCGTCTTTCTTGTGGTGAGACATGGTGATCATGGTGGTGACCATGGTTATCTTCTGCATGATGGCAGCTCTCAGATGCATCGCCACAAGCATGAATGGCGTCCGGCATCAAATGATGGATGAGCTTTGTCAGAAAAAGTGTAAAGGTAGCACCGCCGAAATAGCATGAATACAGCAAGGCATCGTTGTCTAATCTCTTTTGCGCTTGTGGGAACAGGATCGATAGTGACGAGAAAAGCAAAACACCCGAGGCAAGTGACATAGAGGATGCCATAAAGGCTCTATTATCTAGCAAGGATATGCGACAAAACTTGTCCACAAATACGATGGAAGCTTAATTCATGTCAATAGGAGAGCACCTTACATTTGTTAACAACACATGGCTTACCTCCAGCGACACAAGCTGACGACGATAAGAGGACACCCAGCCAGCCATTCAGATTACTGTCAGTTGTTTCCATGCTGTTGTTTATGAATAAAAAGTATAAAGAGAGATAGAGAGCAAATGGAACACCAGCTTTTTTTCCTTTTTAAATGGGCATCCTCAATTAAACATCATGGCAATGCTGGCTTTCCATGGAAATTTTTGTGACGGCGCCACAATCAAAAATTTCTTTAAAATATCATGCTCACTCATCTCACAACCTCCTTTCCTCTCGCCCTCTCCCCTATATTCCACATAGCATACGAAATTTATGTATAAAAATTTTTAATGCACATTTCTAATAGGAGAAACCATCCATTGATTCGGTAAAATTGTGGCTCTTTTCCTTTATTTTAGCAGAGAAATTATTAGGCAGGAATCCCATCATCAGAAGATCAAGACGGAAACGGACAATGCATTTTAAATATGCATTTGGAGTAACACCACGAAGAAAAATGAATTCTTTTGCTCTATATGTCTACTTTTAGTTTTTGCAGAGTGGCAAATCTTCAATGTGGTGTCGTTAGTGGAGAACGCTTCGCCGGCATCCAGGTGCATTCCTGATTTACAACAGCATATCTGATGAAATCTTTGATCTTACATTTGAAAACACCATGAACATGATGGAGCACACTTCGTCATCTGATGTCCTAGCACTAGCCAGCAGATATGCTGTTATCTTGAACTTTAATTGCTGTAGATGATATGTGTACAAAAAGTGGTCATCTCCAAATTCCCTGAATTATTGCCTTGAGACAAAAGCTGCTGTAACTGTACATATTTCAATTGTGATGATATTAACTGATGGCATACATAATGATAGAGAGGTGGGTAGGGGTTGCAGCCTTGGCGTAAATACACAACATCATCCTTCTTCTGTCTACTTTTTCATCTCATGAGTCTCTCATCAAGCGCTTTATTTGATAGGGCGGGGCATTGATAAGATTGCATGTTCAAATTTGATTGCAGGTCAGCGAGATTTCCTGGGATGTTTGTAGAGGACAGCTCTGCAAACTTGTGAATACCGCAGGGAGACAACTCCATACCGTAAAACTTGATGCCAGAGCCTTGAGATGAAAGAAATTAAAAAAGTGAAATGACAGAGTTTGTTTAGTAAACTTAGCAGCTACTTGAAACCCGATTGACATCTGTACGTTCATGAAAATACCCAGTCTGTGCAAGTCTCTAACAAGTAGCTTGCTGTTGTTGGTGTTGTCTGGCTTCATCTCTTCAAAGACAAAGGTTGAGTCATATTGACAGTGCTATATAATTTGCCACCTACGTTCCATACGCTTCAAAAGCATCTGTTACTGTATTGCCTTCATGATGGCAAGGGCATTGAGTTTGCTAGCTGGCCCCACCAACTGTCAAAATTAATTTCAACTCAGACACCTGGTCTACTCCAGATTGGCCAGAATTTGAAAAGTTTTCGACTTGGTTGATCTATTTTGCCGGATTCGATTATAAAAATATGATGATCATCCTATGCACCCTTAATTTGCGTCCCTGGTGGTAGGGCGAAGTGGTAGAAACTCCCGTATGCCAACGGGAGGATCCCGGTTCAAATCCCAGTGAACGCATTTTAATTAATTATTTACGGTCGTACTGATGCCCTCGTTTGGTGAATGTTCTTTTATCCAGTATCCATATTTTGACGATTCGCATAATTGTATTGGCTCTAGATGTCGCACCTGATTAGTAGTAGATTTCTTTCCCAACTTAGTTCATTATATATCTTATTCCCCATCATTGCAAACATTGGGTCCACCAACAGTCTTTTCTTTCCCTTAGTATGACATTTTAAGGACTTTAAATAAAACCTGGAACTCGACTCCCCTACAAAAAAATGCTTCCTTGATATTTTTCGTAGTGCTTTTCAAGGCGCATCCAATGGTACCAAGTAAGATGGATGCTTTGGATAAACTTATCGAACAATTTACGAGAATGTCAAAAGAGGTTTCAGGCCAAAAAGTCGAAATTTTACATATCAAGATTACACAAAAATGATTTTAGGGGTTGCATTGGATCGATAGAAACATTTTGATGTAATATATACCATAGTAAGAGTCTTCATTATCAAGGTCAAAAACGCAATCGTTTGATTTCGACGAAAACCATGAGGGATACCTCATGCCTTTTGGTCGATTTTTGACCATGTTTTTTTTTGGTCCCCAAAAAGTTGAGCAAAAGTGTCATAAAGTAACTGCCAGATGAGAGCAACTGTTTGGTCCTATTCTGGCAATCTAAAACTCCCTTGAACGCGAGAAAACGCAGCTCAAATGCACTCATATTTTGCTGTATTAGGGACACTAAGGACTAAAAAGTGGGAATACCAGTATGCTGCTTGCCCGTATGTGAAGTAGCTACGTATATATGGATGTAGGGCAACACATAAGAATCAGATCCACAGACAATATGAAGGGGCTTCCTGTGTAAGTAGAGAGTCAAAATGAAAGTAGCAGTATTTTGATAAGATACGCGAGGGTAATCAGTAGCGCGAGCTGCCGCTGCGCAGGTTGGCTCTCACCAAAACGAAACGAAGGTAAAGAGTCATCCGAAGCGTAAACGGTGGTATTGCAGAACAAAATTTTAATAAATCAATGCAAAAATCAAGACCCAATTGATATATTCATTTACCAGTGGGGGACATCATTGCGACTCCTAAATGTTGTGACGATGATGGGATATACGAAGCTAATTGACAAGTGTGCCTCGGTTCTGTACTGAAATAAGCTCGGGCTGCCAGGCATCGTCGAAGGAGAAATCAACACAGCGAACTTACTGTAGCTTGCCAATCGAAGGAGTTCATTGACTATCATTACCAAAGGCAACGGTATGGCAGCAGGAAGAACCAGTTGATCTTAGAAGGCACGTAAGATATAATCATATTGCAAATTATCAGACATGTTTCTATCTCTACATCAGTCAAATCTTTGCAAAACACCTCGAAATTGGCTGGAGAAATGGTCTTACCCTAGTTTTCGAATAGCGTGCTGTGCACAATAGCTATAATACCTGACTTTGGATTCGCTTTCTTGAGGCATCACCTGTGTCATCTTTACCTTTATCAGTGAAATTGTCCAGTTCTACAGCTGCTGCAATATTGCTATCCTATACTTGGAATCCCAGTTTAGCCATCGCATTATCAGGCTTCTCTGCCTCATTCTCTTTCATCTCAGATACCTCTTGTCTTTAATAAGAAATGATGGAGCTGCTAATCTACGTGCGTTGTGTGTTATTTACTACTGTTTAGAATAACGTAATATAGACAGAGGAAATACAATTAAAACAGAATATCTTTATTATAGATTGAAAGAGGATTAAGACTAGTGTAAATTTCGAAGAAGGTATTTATAGTTATTTGACAGTGCTGCAGCAATAGGACCTTGATCTTGAATACGGGATAATTGTATAAGCCTTGAACCAGTTAACGAAGATGTGCTGCATGAAAGCTCATAGATCACCAGTCAGGAACGAACAGCAATGAAAATCCAGAATAGAATGATGTCTTTCATAATAGTAGCTTTTGCAGTAAAAAGGGGGTTAAAAAAGCAGGTAGAATACTGTTAAAATCCTTCTTTATTTGAAATTAGGATAATGTGCAATAAAATGTATATTCTACGTCTCTATTTATATTATTTGGTTTATATCTCTTATCTGGCAGCAGTTTAGTAGTTGCCAGTGATTCCATTACTTTATATATTTTTGTTGGGTCATTTAGTTGTTGATCTGATGGATCAAGAACGGTATTTCAATATATGGTTTTTGAATCATGCGTAAAGAATAGCTCTTTATTGTTGAGCCTGTATCCTTTTTAGGTATATTTATGTTACAACACATTACAATACCCTTGACATTTACTTTAGTATCTGTCATCTCTTATTTTAGAGCATTTAACCCTTGCTATCATCATGCAAATACTATTATTATGCATGCCTATCTGCTGATGGTAGCCTGGTTTGATTGAGATGACATTTATTTTGGGTTTTGTTTATGATGGGAATCTAGTCTAGTTCACTTCAGCTTTGACGGAAGAACATTTGTCAAAATTGAAACCCACTTTCAGGGACGAAAGGTCATAGGCTACCACACTCTAAGAACCAGGATATAGATCAGCGATTTGAGGGCACCACTCATGTTCCTTTGTACTGTTTGAATAAAGAAATCTCAATATACTACGCATCTCTGCTCGTTCTCAAATCTTCTCCTGTATTATACAACGTAGTATAATATATACATTTGCCTCTCAGAGATGACCTATATCCTCAACATGTTTAATGTCGTGGATAGACTTTAAGTCTAGCTTCACGGCGAGATACGGCATCTCTGTTATGAACAACCATCAAAAGGTCCTGCTAACCTGATAAGCATCTCGTTCAAACTGAGCAAGTTATTAGATTCAAATTTGCACAATATCATTGATGCTCAATTTAAGAAATTACTGTATTCGCGCATTTCAAAAAGAGAGATCTGAGCCTTAGAATCTGAATAAAAAGGTCGATGGCTCAAGTGTTGGGTTTCGTACGATGCAGAATATCAGAGATATCAGACAGAGTTGTAATTTAGTTACTTCCAAGGCAACACAACCAACTAGGACTTATATTTAAGCCAAATTATGCCCAATTTTAGCCATTTTCAAGCACGGATAACTCATGCTACAAAGCGTTGTAGACGCTTGGAATAGGGCCAAACGTCTCCCCTTGGTTGCGTTTTACTTTACTGATGCTTTATCTCAAAATTTTTTAAGTCATTGCAAATTCATGAAAATCATCGTTTTTTCATGTGTACTAGTAAGGGAATATTCTTGAAAATCAAACGATCCCGTTTTTCACATTAAAAATGAAGATTTTTCCTATGATACATATTAGGTCAAATTGGTCGTAAAGATGAAATGCAACATTGGAAACTCTTTCTAAGAGACTTTCATATGTGAGATTTTGACATATTCATAGAAAATCTGTTTTCATATTATTGAAAATTGCTCATTATTTTCAATCTGAAAGCTGAATGTAATGAGCACCATTCGATGCAACTTCTTTAGTTATGTAAAGTTATATTAGAAAGCGAGGTGTGATAACGAGAGTTTTCATAGTCAAATTTGGCAAAAACGTTTAAAAGATGTCAGATCAAGTTAAGTTTGAACACGAAAATATCCACTACATAAATTCATATTAAATTGCCGCAATTAGGGCTACCGCGACAGAAGACTGAGACCAAATCTACTGGCCGTGACGTCGGATGGGGCGTCCTCTCATTCTTCCATACCCTCGTTTTTTTTCCCTTCTTTTTTGCCAAACGTGTTCAGTACCAAACCATGGCTGTTTTGGAAACCGTTTGATTGATAATAACACTCTATCTTCTGATAACACTGTCATGCACTGTTAGAAGTATTTCATACTGCTTCTTTAAAGTGAAATATATTAGATACCATTCGATAACGAGCACTGGAAGGCGTAGAATTAACACTAATTGAATTTGTTTATTAGGTTTTGATGATTCTTTTTGTCTGTTTGACGTGGGTGGTGCTGCTGCCAGTACTTGTCTGCTGTCTCTGCTGCCTTCTTCTTTGGTTTATCATGTCTGGTGATTGCTTCTTTGGTCTTTGTCTGGTCTCTGGCGTCGTTCATTCTTTGTTTTTTCTATGGTGCTGGTGTTACTGCCGCTAATCTGGTCTTTCCTGGTCTGCTGTATTTGTTGCATGCTTGTTCTCTGGTCTATCTCTGGTGATTGCCTCTACTCTTATGGTCTATCTGTGGTGGTGACAAGTGGTAAGTAACTTCTTTGGTCTTTGTTTGGTCTTTGCTGATGGTGCTCGTTCTTTAGTTTTTCTATGGTGCTGGTGTTGCTGCTGCTGCTGCTGCTGCTGCTGCTGCTGCTGCTGCTAATTTGATCTTTCCTGTTCTACTGTATTTGCTGCATGCTCGTTCTCTGGTCTGTCTCCGGTAATTGCCTATACTCTTCTGGTCTATCTGTGGCTGTGGTAAGTGGTAAGTATCTTCTTTCTTCTGGTCGCAATGATATAAAACTTCTTTGAACGCTTATATTTTTGCTTCCTCTCTCGTGATAATGCATTCATGATGTTTGTCTTGTCGCGCTTTTTTCTTCTTCTTTTTCTTTTGTTGGTAGTGTTTCCTCTGTAGCTTTACATGAAACAACATTAGTCATTATGTTGTAGCGCAAACTTATAATACCACTGTTGCTTTTGCAGTTGTGCGTATTTGTGTTATCATGTTGCTTTACATCCGACTATTACTACCATGCGCGTTGCTCATGTATGCATTTTTCTTGCAACAGCAACGAGCTTTTTTGAACATCTTTGATCTTGTGTTTGTTATGCTTTTCTTTGACTCACTTTGTGTGAGTGTCTCTTTTTTGCCTACATACTACTATACTCTTATAGTATTATGTTCTTTTCTTATTACTATTATGTTTCTTTGAAGCATACCTTTTTTTACGTTGTGTGGATGTGCCTATCCCTGAAGCTCAACAAGACTTTATCCGAGGCTAGGAGGTAGATAGGCCGCCTCCACTTGGTTATCGCTACTTACTTTAGTGATGATTGAGGGTCTCAATGCCTGAATTTAAAGCTAGGTGATGTAAGTAAGGCATGCTCTAGCACCTGGGGGAAATTTGATGATAGCAGCAGCTATCTTGCTATTATAGCGGCGCTTAAAATTTTGCCTCACACCAAAACAGGGGGAAACCCTCGCAAATTTTTTTTTAGGTCAGCGGAGTTTTCAAGCCATCTGATTGGCTAAGAGGTTAGAACAACGAAGGGGTATAACTAGTTGATTTCCTATTGATCTGTCACGTATTATAATTTTGTGTTTGTAATAAAAATGTATTCAAATATTGATACAATTTAAATCCTTCATTATTGAAAAGTAAGATAAGGTGTGATGATTGGATCCATCATCTATTAAACAGTTTTTTGTGAGGAATGTCTTTTAAAGTTATTAGATGCGAAGGTTATATAGTAAATGGTAGTACCACTTCAGCATAGTGTTGCTTACGTTGTTGTTACAACAGTATTATTCTGGCTGTCCTGCCACCAAACAATCGTTTTTGTTGTTGTAGTAAAAAGGGATGTGAAGAGCAGATAGATTACTATTAAAATCCCTCTATATTCGAAATTAGAATAATGTGCAATAAAAGTATTATATTCTACGTCTCTACTTATATTATTATGTTTATATCTTTTAAATGGCAACAGTTTAGTAGCTGCCAGCAATTCGATTATTCTGTATATTAGTGTTGGGTTATTTAGTTGTTGATGTTATGGATCAAGAATGGTAGTTCAATGTAAGGCTTGTGAATCATGCGTAGTAAAAAATAGCTCGTTATCACTGAGCATGTATCTTTCTTCTAGGTTAGGTTTATTTATCTTACAACACATTACAGTACCCTTGGCATTTACTTCAGCATTTGCCATTTCTTATTTTTAGAGTATTTTACTTTTGCTATCATCATGCGCAATACGATTATTATATAAGCTTATCTGTTAATGGTAGCATGGCTTGATTGAGATGATATTTATTTTAGGTATTTTTATGATGGGAATCTAGTCTAGTTCACTTCAGTTCTAACTTTTGAAAACTAAGTGCAACGTTTTATAAATGAATCTAGTAGACAGCTGCAGTAGCAGTATTCTCTTCAACATTGATTCTGGACTACTACCCGCGATAGAATAACGCCTAACAAGAACGATTTCGATTTCCACGTTGGGCCATTCAAAATCGAGTTTTGAAATAGTTTGATTCTTGACTTTGGATGATAAATAGGATGGGAGAGTCTATTTCACTTTAGCCTCTTCTCAAAACATCACGCTAAAATATGATTGAATTCAAGTGCTCTGTAATGATAATCGCAGGTCTTTTATTTCTTATGTGATTAGAGATAATTATGCATCCATTCGTTCTCATTGTTTGATGAAGATGCTGTGGATGTACTTTCATTTTTTTGTGCTGATATTTGAGCAGCTCTCCTCTGTTCCTCTTCAACGGTGGTTTTCATACGAGTGGCAACATCATTAAACATACGTATACCATTGCCTACAAATCCTTCGCCAAATGTCTTGACATTTTTTCCAATCTCCAGCACCTTGGTGAAATCGAAAAGCTCTTCGTCATCATCCTCATCTCCACTCCCTTCTTCTTTTATCGCTCTCTTGTCGTTCATCTTTTTGTTGCTCGGTAACGTGGATGATGGCTCAGGCATAGGTCCAGCTAATGCTGAGAATAAAGAGGATGGTGAAAAGGATGAGGTTGAGGTTTGTGATGAAGATAACGGCACATTTGTGGATGTAGATGGTTCCGGTGTCGCAGAACTTCCTCCTCCAATTTGATTCATAAATCGAGCGATAGTTGGCACTGCATCCATAAGAGAGCTGGTTCTTCTGTGCAATGTAGGGGGTGGCTTTTGATCGAAAATGCTGCTGTTGGGATTACTTGCACTGTAAGAGACCAATTAGTGCAAAATAAACTATGTGGCTCCACGACATACCTAGTAGATTTCACTTGTTCCATCTTCTTTAGTATTTTTTCAGCACTGATTTCTTCGTCATCCTCTTCATCAGAATCGATGCTCATGATAATGTTCTTTTTAATGAATGCTAGCTTCTCGGTAAAGTCATCAAGTTTGTCCCCCAATATGGATTGTGCTATGGATGCTCTTCTATCATCCTTGACAGATTCTTGTTGAGAGTTAGTGCCTCCTACAGCTGGTAGATGCTCTTCTTTTGCAATCGTGTTCTGATTTTGAGCACTATGTGTTGAACTTGCAGTGCTTTGTACATTTAATGACGATACTCTCCTTTCTTGCTCCTCTGCTTTCTTCAGGGCTAAATAATCCTCTTCTGTCATGGAAAATCGCGAAATTCGACTACCTTGATTTCTACTAACAGACATGAGGGGTTGCTCCCCATACATTGATTTTTCAAACGATGCTTTTTTGTGAATCATTGCTGGTGGGATTTCGTTAGATAATTCTGGTAGAGGGAGTAAATGCAGCACCTCCTCCTCAATTTGAGGAACTTTGTCTTCCTTCTTCTCTGTCTGAACGTCTTCCTCCTCGTCGGTTGATCTAGCTATACTGCTGCTGGTATCATGCGTTTGCTCGGTTGATATAACACTGGGTTCGGCGGTATGAGTGGTCTGGGTATTCGATGCATCCTTTGAGATGTCGCTTTTTCCATCATCTTCAATGTCTGCTCCATTATCTTGTATTTGAATGCCTTTTATAACTGGATCAATGTGTTCATCATCTTTATCACCGTCGTCCTTATAAGCTTCGGTCCAATCAGGTTCATCGTCATATTTTGTAAACCGTGATCGAGTAAAGTTGGCAAGCTCTTCTTCTCCAGACGCCTGCATCAAAACCGTTAGTTATTAAAACTGTGTCTCTAACGGCGAATACTACCTCTGAGATAAAGCTATCGATTTGGTGCTCTGTTTGTGGTGTCATCTGTTTATCTGCAGTTTTGCTTTGACGCTGTTCGTCCACTCTTGCGAAAGGATTTCGAGATAATGCTGTTTGAGACCGTGCTTGTGCTTGTGAAAAGACATTGGGTAAGTTTTGGCTCTGGGTATCTTCGCTGTATGCAGTATTGAATGGAGACGAGCTAGGTGGATTGTATTCCTCATCGGCACTATCATTGTCTGAATCATCTGGTAGTTGAATTCTGCCTCCACTTTTACCAAGACTGATATGACTACAGCAAGGAATAGACCAGCTGCTTGATGACTTTCTTGAGAACGTATGTGGGCGCTGAGATGCACTGTTGCTCTGTTCTTGATCTGTTGATAGCTGGATGCTAGGCTTTGGCTGAAAGATTGACATGTTTATTCCTGAAAGAGCAAAGAAGAAATGAAAAAGAAAAGAGTGCTCGAGGTAAAAAGAAATTTCTCGTTTGCTGCAACGTATCACAAATGATTGATGTAATACAACCATTATGGAATAGGCAACATCTTTAATTAAATGTGCATTTCAAAGCATGATAAACAGTTCGCAGTGTACTTGAGCCAATGTTCAGATGCTATAGTATTTTATCATGGATAGTCCGAGAATAAAAATGATCCATAGAACACCTTATTCAGATAAGCATAGCCAAGTGAATTTGTATCATCATGCTTTTGATGAGAGACAACTCCGCCTTTCCAAGGTTGTAATACTTCGTTCTCGATGATCTCAACAAAGAGTCTAGGTAGTTTAATCCGGGTTTGCAACCTCTGATGGAAAATCGAAAGGCTCGGCTTGCTTATGGATTTAAATGAAGCAATGCTGCAGATTTCAGCCAACATTGGTCAAGCATTTTGGAATCAGTCGAAGGCTATTTATTGACAAAGTATGATACAAGTTTAATTCACAAAAACGAAGGGAGGTAGTAAAGTTAGAGTAGACATGGGTATAGTGAGTATGTAGAAAAGTTATTTAGATATTTAAACAAGTTGAGGTTAATGACCAGCGGGCACACTATTGCTAATATCCATCTGTTCATCTACCTCGACTTCTTCACGAAGGCCTCTAGAAGCGACAGCAGAACGTACGGCCTCATCACTACTCCAATGGAAGAAGGGATAACGATCTTTAGGCAGTTGAATACCATCCAAAGTGGAATAGTTCTCAACGGAGGGTGACGAAACCTCGACGAATTCGGTATGTTCCTTTTGAACTTCTTCAGAGTCAGAATAGCATTCATCATCCGTGGTGCTGCTGCTAGGAATCTGGTTTTCCGCATCAGTTGCTTGGTGTTCAGGAACATCTCTTTGAGGTCCATCACGAGAAGCGGGAACAACTGGGAAGACTTCCTGGCGATTCTCTCCAGGTCTAGGTTGATTACCAAACTGTGCAACAATCAGGCAGCGACGAATAGCAGGATTTAAAATGTTGACAAAGTGAAATTCGACGTGCTGACCACTGTAACGATTAAGGGCATTTTGAGCATCCACAATGGCTTGAAGACCGCTAGAATCCAATCGATTGACACTGGCAAAGTCCAAAATCAACGCATGCAAGCGAGGTAAGCTTTCACGGGCAGCAATCACAGCAGGAGTAGCATCGTCGTTCCATTGGCGATCACCTTTGCTCAAAACCTTACCACCAGAACGAGTGCGCTTTTTACAATAGGTGATAATCTTGTCAGAGATATAGCTAGAGTTGGGATAAGTGAAGGATTCATCGACTTTGCACATGAGGATGCCGTCGGGCAGCGACTCGACCAGTTTGCCCAGCGAGGGGTGGCCTTCAGGAACATAGAGATAGTTTTGCAAATCAGAGTGAACGGCTGGAGGCTGCTTCTTTTCATCTTCATTGACAACAGAACTGATGGCAGTGCTAAGAGGAATACGGCCTAAACCCCAGAATCTGGGACGAGCAATACGGAACAAGAGAATGACAATAGACATCCCAACTGAGGCATAGATACCATACTCGACAGTGGTGAAGAAGGTGATGACAACAGTGGCAACAAAGATGAGTAGTTCCCAAAGACTCACAGCAGCGAGACGCTTGATGTAACTAGGGCCAGAAACCAAATCAGCGACAGCATGGATGACTACGGCAGCCAAGACAGCATCAGGAATATAGTAAAAAGCAGGAGTCAGAGCGTAAAGAGCCAACAAGACCACAAGTGCAGAGAAGATACCAGCGATGGGGGTTTTGACACCAGATCTGGCTTTGATGGCAGTACGAGAGAAGGAACCGGTAGATGGGTAAGCACCAAAGAAAGCAGCCCAGATATTAGTGAAACCGATAGCAATGATTTCTTGGTCAGGATCGATTGTATAGTCATTGATGCGACCGAATGACTTGGCAATCGCAACGTGCTCCAAGATCAAGATAATCACACCGGAAGGCAGTGAGCTAGCGATACTTGCAATGACATTTGTGCGAATGACAGGCACGCCCATCGCAGTGAATCCAGGAGGCACAGTTTTGAGGATGCTGACGGGACTAGTGGACTTGCCAATGTTGATCAAGAAGGCGATCAGAGTGCCAAAGATGACAAGAATACCGTTACGCATGATGCTGAAAAAGAAGAGATGCACGGAATACTTGGGATAGCGCTTGCCGAGTACCTGACATGCATAGCGAACGCCATACAGCCAGACCATACTCACAAGACCAAACGCGACATCCACTTTTGTATCAGGAAGATGCTTGAAAAAATTGCCAAAGATCAAGTAGGAAGACTCTTGTGTATTGATGCCTTTGATGCCAAACAATTTGGGCATTTGACCAATGGTGATGGTGATCGCAGAGCCACTCATGAAGCCGGCAATGGCGGGAGCTACATATCATGTTGGCAGATTAAGGTTAACAAAAAACAAAGCTTATTTGGATCATGCTGCCTTTTATTTGTACTGTACCTGGGATGAAATCAACCAAGATACCTAACCGCACGAGACCGATAAACATGGCAATGATACCTGCAAATTCATGTTAGTCGCCATACATGGGCGTTCGAGTGCGCATCTCACTGACCTGTGAATAGGCTGAGAGCAACTGCAATTTCGGGACCTGTGATAGTTGGATCCGCAGAAACAACACGGGTCACAGTTTGTCCCACAAGAAGAGACATCACGGCTAAATTAAAATATGTTGTTAGCCAAAATGCGGGGTATACAAGCGATGCCATACCTGTAGGGCCAATACTGATATCTTTAGAGGTAGCAAACAGACAGTACACGCACAAACCGACAAACGCAGTGTATAGACCGTACTGAGGAGGTAGCTCAGCAATTTTTGCATAGCCCATGCTTTGAGGAACAATCACAATGCCTACGGTAGCACCTGCAATCAAATCACGAACTAACCACTAGCGAGAAAGGGAGGAGAGTCAATTTCAACATGTAGATCAATAGAGGACAACGGAAACTACCTGCAAATTATATCTATGCAACCAAGTTGCAATTGGAAATAACCCCACAATGTATTTCTTGGTGTAAGCTGGTAAATGTCTCATGAATTCTTGCGTCTGATGTTGATAAGATTCGTTTTCATAGTCAATGATGATCTCTCCATGCTGGCTGTGAGACGGAGGCCGAGGAATAGAGTGCATTTTGTAAGAGACAAAATATAAAAAAGAAATGAAAAATGCAGAAAAAAAAGTTTGACATGGCTTGTTTATATACCATCTGGCGATGCTTTTCGCTGCCTGCTGATGGAGTAATCAGTCAAAACGATGGCGCAATAATCCCTTCTCATGAAGCGAATTGCGCAAGATTTTAAAAGACAGTTGAGCGTATCAAGTAAATAGCTGCAAAGATTCGCAATGTTCCAAATCTTCTATTTTTTTTTTTTTTTTTTTTTTTTGGCAAGACAAATTGATCATTCATTTCAATCCAATGAGATTAAGGTTCTATGCTATTTCCTTCTACTGCTGCTACCGCTGGATCTTGACACAGGTGAGCGTGATCTACTATGACTACGGCGACGACGACGATGACTATGACTACTGCTGGTGGAATGATGACTCCTAGAGGACGAGCTACTGTCTCTGCTACGACTTCTTCTTCTTCTTCTTTTTGACCTTTCGTCCTCTCTATCTCGACGGGATGATGTGGATGATCGGTCACTATGGCGGCTTGAACTTTGACTTCTATCTCTGTCCTCCTCCTCTTCTTCGTATTTTCTCTTGGAGATCTTTTTGAATAAGCTGGTATCTTTGTATTCGTATGCTGCACGTCTATTTTTGTACTTTTGCTTGTCATCTGTCTTTATATCTGCGTCTTCTGGTTTGGCGCCTAGCCCAAGCAATGCTTCTCTTTGCTTGACAGGTGCTGGAGGTGGAGCTCTATAAAAGGCAATAAAATAAGAGTTACCATGTCAAGTGTATCAAATCAAATCAGATCAGATCCACTCCACTTACGGCGCATTCTTTCTATTTCTTCCAATGCCTTCACCCTCGTTCCATCCTAGACCTCTCAATAGTGCTGCTCCGAACTCCTCTACTGGGATGTGCTCGTATTCTTCCATCGTAGTCTCTTCTGGTCGTTTCTCATAATCATCTCTGAACGCCACTGTTTCATCGACATGGATTACTTTTTTAGGTCCCTCATCTTTATCGTTATCACCTTCACCCATTGAATCTATAAATTGCAACCAATTGAGCACATTGCTATACAGTACATGTAAGAGTCATGTTTCTTACCTTTGATGATGGCTTCAATGGCTCGCTCTTCCAATGTCTTGGGTGCATTCTCATTTGATGTAGTACTGGTAGTGGTTGTTTCCTCCACTGTGATGGATTCCACGCTGCCATTGACATCTGTTGTCTCTATTTGCTTCTTCTTTTGTATCTGCAGCCCAAAGGATGCTGCGTTCTGCTGCAGCACTTCGGGTTTGCTGTCCATGCTTCCATCCACCGGCTGTTTGGCTGAAGCTGGTAGAAAAAGCTCCTTCTTGTGCTTGGCGCTAGCACGCCAATCTGCATTGGGTAGAGGCGATATCTTGAGAGGAGCAGCCTTCTTCTTGGGCTCGGCTCTAGAAAAAGAACAGTGATCATGGTCAGAACATATAGGACTCGAGACAAACATTACAATACACACTCACTCTCTCACTTTATTGTCTTCGATACCCAAGATGCGCTCATCGTTTATTTTTTCTTCTTCGTCTTCATCATCACCAAAGATGGCTCTTTTGTTTTGAAATTTGGGTCTAGCTGCTCTGGATTGTAGTGGAAGTCGAGTCGACATGGTGTATGTTGGGTTGATTTAACGTTAGTGAAAGGTAAACAGAGAAAAAATAGGATGGCATTTCATTTACGGTAGTCACTCATCTGTAGACTGCGGCAGGAATTAGCTTCAAATGTGCTATAAATGTAGCAGATTATTTACTTCTGCAATACAAATTGGATAGATCTATTAGCCAAGTGGGCTGGCATGTAAATTTAGGATCTTTGGCTTCGTTTATACGCAATGTGGCATACTTCATCATCGTATAATCACTTTTTTTTTTTGTCTTTTGTCTGCCGAACATAGTCCTAGTAGTATACAAGCTGCTAGATGCATTCAGTCTTCGTCGTAAAGCATAGCAAGCAAAGTTAAAGTGAAGTGGCAAGTAATGTCTTTTTACAAGCAATGGAAATCTAGTTTCATCGCCATGGAAATGAACTATGCGAAAAACTTGAGCATGCTCAACATCCATATCAAAGGCATGCAATGTACTTTTGTCCGCGTGTTATTACAATATGATATCATTCTCAAAACTTCAATACATCGTTTCAACAGTTTATTTGGGCATGTCATATACAAATTAAAAATTGTTCCATCAAAAAACATGATCAATAGCATCGTTAAAGAGCGGCAATATGAATAGAGCCATTGGTACCAGCTTGGAAACCACATAAAATCACAAAAGATGGAACATAGCAGCTATATTGGGCTTGGAAACAAAGATTCAGGCTGCTCAAGTAACTTTTATCTTTGGTGCTCGATCAGTGACCTCAAACCATTGTCTGGAGGGCATAGTCTTTTGCCTACGTACATTCTTCTAATCTACTATTACTGAATACGAGGGCTTATGCTTCGAATGGCTCTCTACCTTTGCTTCGCTTCGATGAGAACCAACCTGCGCAGCAGCAGCTCACACTACCGATTGCCATTGCTTATCTTACCAAAATACTGCTACTTTCATTTTGACCCTCCACTTACACCTAAAAATCTGTAGATCTGACTCTTATATGGTGCTCTACACCCATATACACGCAACTATTTCATATAGGCAAGTAGCATACTGGTGTTTTCCCTTTTTAGCCTTTAGTGTCCCTGATACAGCAAAATATGAGTGCATTTGAGGTGCATTTTCTTGCGTTCAAGGCCGTTTTAGATCGTCAGAACAGCACCAAACAATTGCTCTCATCTAGCAGTTACTTTCTGGCACGTTTGCTCAACTTTTTGAGGACCAAAAAAACATGGACAAAAGTCGACCAAAAAGCATGAGGTGCCCCTCATGGTTTTCACCGAAAATCAAACGATCGTGTTTTTAACCTTGATAATGAAGACTTTTACTATGGTATATATTGAACCAAAATGTTTCTATCGATCTAATGTAATCCCTGACAGCATCTTCGTGGAACCTTGATATGCAAAGTTTCGACTTTTTGGCTAGAAATCTCTTTTTATATTTTCATAAATTGCTCAATAAGCTTACTAAAAATATTTATTTTACATGGTACCATTGGATGCGCCTTGAAAAGCGCTCCAAGAAAGCTTAAAGACGCATAGGATGATCATCATCTTTTACATAGTCGAATCTGGAGAGATAGTTCAATCGAGTCGAAAACCTTTATATTTTGGCCAATCTAAAGCAAACTATGAGTCTATGTTTGAATTAATTTTGGCTGGTGGTACCAACTAGCAAACTCAATGCCCTTGTAATAATCATGAAGGAAAGTAGGTGGCAAATTACATAGCACTGTTGTCAGCCATGCTATTCTTCTTGCATTCTATATTTAATAATGCCAGTCTACCTAAATACTTGTCAAATCAACTTGTTTCCTTTTTGAGGCTTTGAAAGTGTCTAGGGATCATAAATTTATTACGTTACGATGAGCATTTTGACTCTTGGGTTGGTTTTCTGACCTACGTTTTGCTCTGATGGAAATCAACTTACGTTCAGATAGCTCGCGCTGCAGCGGGACTCTGGCTAATATTGCAAAATTAATACTAGTCAAAACGTTAAAAGAAACTTGACTGTTGATTGATAGTAATTTAATAAATAGTTTCTAGTCATATATGAACCATGTCTGACAAATGCCTGGCAACACAGTTTCCATATTAGGATTGTAAAAGTGTCTAGGGACTATAAAGTTATGTGTTATGGTATACAAACCGCTTTTGAATTCGTTTACAGAGCAAATGTATGAATATAAGGGCAGTTATTAGTGACACGTGTGGATAATGAGATTGCATATAGTTATTTATTGCTCCTTGCACGCTTAAATTAGCTGGAGATTCAAATGACATTCGGTATCCGATTACTGCACATTTTACAAAATGATTACTCTTTCGTAAAAACAACTACCGTTAAGGCTACTATGAGTCACCAAGTAGACATATCAATCTACATCCATTGATGGCAAGCGTGATCCAGTTGTTTTATTAGTATAGATATGATGGCTCCGCATGGGACGCTGAATCAAATGAATGCGTGTTTTAGTTTTGACATATTGATCCGAGGCTAAACGCTGGAAAGAAGCGAGCATGCTAATTTTGTGTACATAAATCAAGATTGAAATCAAGGGTTTTCACGGGACACACAAACATTAATATTTATCGAGCATTGGAATACGGACACAGCATTAATCCAAAACATACATAATAGGTAATGTCATTTAATTTGTGTTCAAGGCAGAAGCAGTTTTTATTTGTAAACGCACAAAAGACAAACCCCATAGATCATTGCCTTGGCTATTCGAATATCATAGGCCTTCTCCTGGTCAATCAGCCTTCGTCGCACTAGGCATAGGAAATCTTCAGCAGCAAACCGAGCCCGTTGCTTAAGCCCAGAACCCCAGCTGCACGATGGCACTAAGGATATTCAAGCAGAAGATTAGTTTGGACCACCAGCTCTTTACCCCATTTCTCACACAAACTGCCCCCGCCGACGTTATTGTTGTTGTTTGTAACTATGCGTTGTTGCTTCTGCATCTCCTTCTCCTCCTTTCCCCCGAGCATGCATTTTCCTGATGCCGCATTAGCTACACAATTTCATCGTCAGCGAGAGAGCGAGAGAACGGGATGGACACGAGTAGGATTTCAAGGGCCGGAAAACAAATGCCAAACAGAGCAACCAAGAGGATCTACTATCAGGAAGAGCCATCGAAACCTATAGAAGGCAATGCTTCCAAACCGAACAAAAGCAAAGCTCCAGAAGAGCTCGAAGCAATGGCCCTAAACGTCGGGTTGTCGAACGAGATGTTGCTGAGAGGGGAACAAGTGGATTGCGATGGAAATTGGTGGCAAGATAATCATAGAATGTGGAGGAAATTCGGGATATCAAAGGACAGTAATGTTTGGGTAATTCATGAGTAGTTTTTGAGAGTAGAAAAGAGTGTTTCCTATATGAAAGAAGAAGGGGGAAACTATTTATCTTTTCTTTGTACATTACTTATAAGCCTGCGTCACCGAACGAGTTTCAAAATCATTAGGCACACAATCTCTCTAGTTGGTTTTAACACTCAGTTAAACTATCAATTATGAACTCATCTCATTTTACTTAATTTGATCTCATGTAAACATTGACCGTACCTTGAAATTTGATGATGGCTGGCTAGTCAAGAAAACAGGATCAAAGTAAAGGGCATTTTCAAGTAGTAAAGTTACTAAACTGGAGCTGAATGGAAAGATTTAGAGACATTTTGAGCAAAGACAAAGAAGTAAATAGAAGCTCATGATGTACATTTGAGAACTTTAATATCAGTTATCAGATTTTAGTGCAGGGTTCTCGCTTTTATGCTTCTCACATGACTTAACAGAAATTTTACTAAATGAACGAGTGATTTTCTCCCAAGATATGTCAAGATCAAACAATGTAGGATTTTGCATTGATGGGTCAATCCATGATTTGGATTCGATATGTTTGGCTTTCATACATCTTTTTGAACAACCGATTTAAACTTGCTTCATGATGAGATCGAGGATGGAGTTGCTACGTGGATATGACATATACAAGAGAGGGAATATGATGGCATAAAAGATAATGTGGGGTCATTGTTTTTGTTAGCAACCCAAAGAGGAATAGTTACAAATTTAGATAATCAGTTGAGGGAGGAAAATCACTATTCATCTAAAATGCTGGTACCTGATTACCATGGTTACACTCTTTTATCTATGGCGCTGGTTTTCAAGTGCTCCTTGTTCCTCCTGAAGAAGGCCACGATCTGATAAGTTTTAACGTAAATTAAGATGCTACATGTTTTTTTTCGCTATCTGATATGGCCGTCTTTGCAATTGAGTCGTACGTCGGATTTAGTAGCGATGGAAGCTGGCTGTATTGATTTGCATTGGATTCAGAGGTTTAAAGGTTTTCAGGACCTGGCGTACGATGTATCAGCCACTTCCAAAGAGAAGCTAAAATCCAAACCCTGCTTTGCTACATTAGAAATGACTGCCTTATAAGGTTATATGAGTATCCCTTCGCTTCAATGAGAACCAGCGTATGTAGCGACGGTTCGCGTTGTTGATCGCGTTCACCCATTATGTTAAAGTACTGTAAACATCAACAAAAAACATATTACTGTAAACTTCCTAACGTTCCATTACTAAGTGAAAGCCCTCTATAACTGTGAACCTGGCTCTGCTATGATGCTCTACGTTTGCATCAATGTGAACGACTCATTTATAGGCAAATAGCTTACTGGCATTACCTCTTACTACTCACAAATATGCAAAACGCACCAAAACCCGGGTGTATCTGAACCTTATTTTCTCGTGTTAGAAACCGTTTTGGGCTGCCAGAGTAGTACCAAACAATTGCTCTCATCCAGCGCTTACTTTCTCATACCTTTGCTCAACATTTTTGGGATCGTCAAAAATCGACCAAAAACCATGAGGGGTACCTCATGGTTTTCATCGAAAATCAAACGATTGCGTTTTTCACCCTAAAAATAAACACTTCTAATATAGCGTATATTAAGTCAAATTGTTTCTCTCGGTCCAAAGCAGCCCATGAAACTTTGTTTGTGAGATATTTATATGCAAACTTTCGACATTTTGGCCAAAATAGGTATTTCGTACTTTCTGAATTTTCTCAATAAGCTTGTTCAAAACACCCCTCGTATTTAGCACCATTGGATGTGTCTTGAAAAGTACTATCAGGAAGCTTAAGGGATTATAGAATGATTTGTACAACTTATATAGTCAAATCTGGTAAAATAGATCAAACAAGTCGCGAATTGATCAAAGATCAACGAATTGAAACTTATTAAAATGTGGGGCTTAAATTTTGTTGCTGTTAGCAAAATCTATACTATGCTAATTGTGAAGGTTACTGATACTTTTGAAAGTTCTTGCCTTAGGGATTGCAAATAAATAGATACTATAGCTCAGCCTGAATACTCTATTTTAATTTTTTATGTAATTTCATATCTGATAACGTCGTTCAGCTTGATTTATCGCTGAAACACTAGTAAGCTCAGTTTTTTCATGAGGGTGTTGCCGTGAATTATCAGGTACAAGTTTAAGCAATCCTCTCTAAACCTTAGGTTGGCTGGCATGTATTTTTTTATTTGAACTAGTTGTAATGATAGCTAATACCTTATCAGTCTCACCTGTGAATGTAGCTAGATGAAGAGATGTCCATCTTAGACAGAGAACAATTACGCATATGATTTTTGTCTTCATTTTTAGCTTATTACACGCAAATGTCAAAGCCAGAATATTTGAAGATTAGTATACGCGCTCACATGCCTTGTGCTTTATAAATAAAACTAGAGTCTTCTTTTAACGTATTCTACATGTATGAGATATACAGACAATATAATGATCTATTTTTATTGGTATGTATATGTGTGGCCCTATCAGGGGGGGTTTTTTTTTCAAAAAATAGCAAGTGAAGAATGCAATGAAATTGAGATGGAATGATATGTGTGTGTGTTTGTAAATTAATTGAATAAATAAGTGAAATGAATAAGATGCATATATAAATTTTAGTGTTGGTCGTTGGTAGACATTAAACTCAACAATTGCTCCTTGGCTTGAACTCCTTGTTCACGTCTTCTCTTTCCTATTCATTTTGGGTTGAGATAAGTATGTGTGTAACTCGATATTTATCATTTGTCATCAAAATACAATACCTTCCAGATATAAAATACTCTCAGCATAGGTTCTAGGCAAAATTTTAGGCACTGGCTTATCTTGAGCAGCCAAGGTGAAGTGGAACGTATTGGTAAGATCAGTGGTGCCAGCCTCAGGGTCCGTTACCTCGGCAGTAACGCTCACTTGGAATGATTTATGAGGGTCACCTTGAGCATAGATGACTTGGGAAGAGAGGTTTAGCAAGGAACCAACAGGTACAGGCTTCTTGAAAATGATCTCATCCAAGGATAGCAGATTTACAGGCGACTTGGCATAGACGGAGCCAGTAGCATGTGCTAGTTCGTAAGCACGTCTCATCAGATACCCACCAAAGACCTTGTTGTGAATGTTGCGATCCTGAGGCTGCATCAAAAAGACACTTTGCAACTTGGTATCTTCCATCCAGACACTGGGCTCTGTTGATCCAGCCGCTTTTTCTTGCTTGGAGTAGTTCATGTAAATGTCATGAAGGGTCAATCTTTCATCTTCAGTAGGAGGAGCCTTGCTGAGAGCTGATTCACCGACGAGTCGTTTGTGAGCTTTGCAATCTTGAGCATATTCTGAAATCTTTTTTTCCTTGTCAGTGCGTGTCACCAAAGGGTTAACGCGGACAGATTTCCCAGTTACTGAATCAACAGCGACCATGGTGATACGAGCGAATAAGACAGTATTTGCAGTAGGTTCGGCGATGAAATCTTGAGGAGGGAAAGGGGATGCTTCTACACTCTCTGGATTGTAATTGGGCATTGTCTCTAATTTGACAAATACTGTAGAGAGATAACAAGAAAAAATTTATTAGCGTCAAAAATTTTTCATTCTCTGATCTGTCAAAGATAACGTACCTTCCATACTGCTTTTACCGACATAGGCGACATGGCCAGAAAGCTTGAAATCTTCCACGGTGTTGGGCATGAGCAACTCCATACGATCTACGCTGGCAGTAACCACTGTCATGGGAGGACCAGCCGCAAATGTGTCCATATGCTTGTACGAGATGGCACCAGCCAAAGCATCGAGATCTTCGAGAATTTTGCCAATTCTGATCTTACCACCTGTGGTGACATATTCATCCAACAATGTGGGTGAGGATTTGAAGGGAAGGTATTCCTCCATGTAGCTGTCAGACATTGTCTTTTTGACAGTAACGTGCTCATATTGATTGAAGGGGATGTCTAATGATCGCTTGTTTTCCTTCTCCAAAATTTTGTCCATCCAAAATGCGACAGGGCGAACAGTGTATACTTTTTCTGGATGCGACATGAGTACAAGAGCAATTCACGATTCTACAAGGCAAAACTTACTGGTGAAATTCTGGAACTGGGTGAAATCGTGATCTGCCTCAATTAAGGAGGGTTGTGCACCACGAATTTGACGGGAGCTTGTAGTTAATCTAGCCTTTTGGCTGAAGGTCAATGCTCTACGAGAGCCGGTACGCAAGTGCATCAAGGATCTCAACATGGTATTTATGAATAAAAGAAGGAAGAAAAAGGGTAAAGGGCTAGAGATAAGCTTGTGGCAGAATACAATATTTATAATCAATCAAAAAATCAAGGACAGGTTACCAAGTATAGACTTTTAAGCTCGGATGAAGGGTCGGTTTGATAAAGCAGCTGTAAAAGGAAATGACTCCGGATCATGTTGTCTAATAAGAGTTGCTATAACGGCCAATGAGCACCAACATTGGGGCAATAATATCAGTGACATTCAGATAAATAGGAACTCAACATTGGTGTCCCATCCCCACCCGATGTTGGAGCAGATAATGCTGCCTGCCTGGCTACTAAATTGGGATTGTGGAGCTGCCAAGCTAAACTCAGATCCACGGATGTCCATCGCGCTTGTTTGTAATCTACAAGATAGGCAGCATGTCCAAAAAGAGGGTCTTTTTCCCTGCCAGCGGAAATTGACACAGAGTCGAGAAGAATTCTTTGCACGCTCTTGCTTTACATCTCAATGATGTAGAAATCTGACGTATCGACAGTGTAATGAAAAATTTCCAAAAAGAGCATAGATGTTTGGGCTAATCCAGCGACGGTGATAAAAACGACACTATTTATGCAGATTTTCATCTTCTTCTTTTCCTAAACACAAACATTAATGGCTGATATCGTCAAGTTTAATTCTGAAGACCAGCCTGCGCTGGAAATGAAAGAGGCTCCTCATGAAGAGAAGGAGAGACAGCAAGAAAACCAGCAGGAGATCGAGCACATTCAAAAAAAGGCGCATGTGCAAGAGACGGAATCCCAAGTATTGCAGGAGGAGAAGGAGAAGGCACCTGGCAATGTACTGGACGCATCAGGACATGTGCATACAGAACCTCAAAAAGATGCATCTGAAGCGCATCAGCATGAAGGTGGTAATGTGTTGCCTGAACAGTCGAATCCACATGCGCATGTTTGGTCCAATGATCCCAATGAGCCATTTGCCGGCCAATGGGCACCTTCCATGACCAAGGAGCCTGATACTTACGACACGAAAGAAGAGCAACCAACTGCCAATGCTGCAGACCATAGCAAACAGAGACGCCATCACAGACTGGGCAGCCAGTCTTCTGATCTGGACCGTATGTTTGAATCCACCATGACAGATTTTAAAAACATCTTTGACACAAGCGACGAAAGCTTTCCTCAGCAGAAGGATCACCACAAGCTACACAACCCTACTCCATTGCACCCAATTCAGCCTGATGAATTGATCTGGAATTTGCAGATCAAGGCCATTAAATATATCCTGGTTGCGTCTCTTGTGTGCTATCTGGTCGGCCGCTTAAGATTTGGTTACATTATGGGCATCATCATCATCTCCTTGTGTGCATGGGCTTATTGGAATCTCGGAAGAACGAGTTCTGCAGGACTGGAATGGCAACTTGAAAAGCAAGAAAACATGAAGACTGTAGGTGTTTAGGGCATGCATTGGATAGCACTGTACTAATGCTACTTGTGTATAGTTGTACACTTCTGAAGGCGAGTCTGTCGAGTGGCTGAATTACATGCTAGAAAAGATTTGGCGCAGTGTGGATCCAGACATGTTTGCTGTCGTGGAGGATCTGCTGGAAGACACATTGCAAAGCGTCTCGCCTAGCTTTATCGTACGTCTTGTAATAATAGTTCATCCACGCGCATGACATTACTAACTTGCTTTGTGTAGCAAAATGTAAAAGTTTCTGATTTCGATATTGGTGTTCAAGCACCTCGTATTCAGATGTAAATCATACATACGTCATTGTATAAATACATGATCCAAGAGCCTTAATGCTAACCATTTTTATATAATGCAGGATTCGTGTGTTCCCGCCATTGCCTGGCCAACCTGAAGAGAGTATTGTAAGTTGTGCATACATTATCCAGTTCAGTAGGCTTATACAGTTGTGCCTAGTTTGGTGAAGCTGCCTTTAGCTTCCATGCTCATCCTGTGGCCTCGCTTGTCACCAACCGTAGTCCTAAAGCAACACCTCCTGGTTTAGCTATTCGATTCCAGACTGCTCTGAAGGCACCATTTGAAGTCAAGGCAGAGCTCACTGCAGTATCCGGAAAGATCAGATTCAAGATTCTAACCTGTCCTGATTTACCATTCATTTCGAAAGCAACCATTGCCTTTACCAGTGTCCCTAAAATCGAGACTGGCGTTATGCCATTATCAAAACATCTGAACATCATGAACGTAAGTCGTTGTTTTGCAAGTATGAATGCATGTATTAAGTGTTGCCCTTTATAGCTTCCTACCATCAAGACGTTGGTCAATGAAGGTGTTAAACTTGGCTTTGCTGACTTGGTGGATCCAAAGAGTATGACGATTGATGTTAAGGCTCTGGTGGGCGCCTTTGCTCAAGATACCAATGCCATTGGTGTGGTCAAGGTAGAGGTCAGAGAAGCTTCAAGAGACGCTTCGATCCAATTGCAAGACATGGAAGACTCTTATGCCACGCTGTCTCTCAGCACACAGCCAAAGAAGAGCTCGTCCAGCACGCGTGTCTTGACCAATGATAAGAACCCCAGATGGAACGAGAATCTTTATGTACTAGTCTATAAAGGTAATGCTAGGTGGATGATTAAATGCAGATCTCTTAAATCTTAACCTTTTTGCTGCAGATGACATTGTATCCGAAACTAAGGTGGACGTAAAAGTCTGGGACGCTGATAAAGTCAAATTTGACGACATGTGGGGCTCTGTGTCCATGTCTGTCAAAGACATTGTGCAAGGCAAACTGGATAAGTTGGGCAACGTTTCTAGTTACTGCATGGAGGAGCGTGTTGTGTTTGATGGCTGGACCCCTATAGACGGCAAAGAAGAAAGAAAATCCAAGGTCAAGCTCAACATGAAGATGAGCTTCCATCCCAAGTATCCCACTCCCAACATGGAAATCTTCTCAGGTGATGCTATGGCTAAAAAGAAAAAGTCAGAAGAAGCTCAAAAGAAGGACGAAAATGAAAAGAGTGCTGTACTGGACGCCCCTGTGGATGCCGCTCATACAAATGGCATCCTCTCGGTTCAAATTCACCAAGCTGTCGACTTGGAAATCGGCGATCCAGAAGTACTGCCAACCGACGACGAGTTCAAGCATCCTTACAGTCCCAACAAGGTGGTGAGTCCTTATGCCATTCTCTACATCAATGACAACAAGGTGTACCAAACTCGCACCAAGCTGAGAAACCCTAGTCCTGTAAGTGCATATCTTCTTTGTACCATTATTTTCCATTCACACTATATAGCACTGGAATGCAATCACTGAGCATTTCATCAGAAACTATGAAGACGCCTCTATTCGTATCTCTGTCAAGACGGCCATGGACATTGAGCGTGATCCTGTTCTGGGCACCAAGTCATTGCATCTGAAAGACTTGTTTATAGACCAAGAAGACAAGTTCAAAGAAGTGCAGCAATGGATTCCTCTTACAAATGGTATCGGCTTTGGCAAAATCTTGTTGTCCGTCAAGTACAAGCCTGTGAAGATGACACTCCCCCGTGAATTGCAAGGAGCTGGTAAGTCTGCTTTTGCGTTTATCTCCATCATCCCCTAATATCGCTGATTTATTGCTAGATGTTGGCACTCTGATTGTCGAAAGAATCAGCTTCACCAATCTCAAAGAACCTTTCAACGACAATAACATCAATTCCACCAAGGCTACATTGGCTCTCAATGTCGACCCTGTTATCATTAAGCGTCTCAAGGCCAAGAACATTTCTAAACCTCAGCCTGATGGCGAACAGGAGAATGACGAAACCAAGACAATCGAACGTGTGGGTCCTTATGGCTGGTACAATCAGCATTTGTATTTCCCTATTATGATGCGTTATCGCACTGCACTTTATGTCCATATCACACAAGGCTCCATTTCGACCACCAAGTCTACAGGCCGTTTCTGGTTGAAGGAGATGGTAGACGACCAATGGCAAGACATTGTTGTGGGCCTCCATCCCCATCTCAACGAAAAGACCAAGGAGGCGAATCGCAATGAGGATTCCTGGCCTAAAGAAGGAGAATTCGGCCAAGTGACCATCCGTATGAAGCTGATCCCAGGCTTCTCTCCTGTGCACACCCATTTGAGAACATTCAACAAGGACTTTGTTGGCGCAGATCCCTTCTACAATGACGCACTCAAATTTAAGGCTCAAAAGTGGATCAAGGAGCAGAATGACAAGAAGAAGGAGAAGGGAGAGGACGATGATGACACTGACGAAGTGCCCTTTGATTACGACATGCAAGCTGCCGTGCAAGCTGAGAAGAGTCGCCAAATTGAAACTGAAGAAGCTGACAGAAACGAGCGCAGAAGCTCGAGCTTGTCCTCTGAATACGGCGAAGATGAGGATGAGGACGATACTGACATGGATGACACTGAATTCCAGGCAGACATGATTGACCAGCGAAAGAAGAAAAACATCAGCAAGCACCGTGTGGTTCGCAAAGTAGCATGGAGCCTTGATAAAGTCAAGAATAAGGTTGATGTATTAAGAGAAGGCTTCAATTCAGAGGCCAGGGCCAGTAGATCTGTCGCAAAAGAAGTTTAAACTTTAGCATTATTACTCTTTCTTACGTATTTTGAAACAATTTATGTGCTACCTGAGGCTACCTCTCACCAAATCATGTTCTGACTGATAATAATTTCTCCACATTTACTACGATATCTTCCGTTTCGATCCAAATCACTCAATTGTCAATAAAATAGTAATGCAAAATGTATACTCTAAAGCTCAAAAGAGAAAACAGTGTAGTTTTGGAGGTGCGCTACCATGATGACACACACACACACACACCCTCCAGATGGACAAATCCTGGTAGTGATGAATCACCATCAACTGGAGAAATATGGCGTAATTGACTGAGTTGCAAGTTCTAGTCAATGAATTGGAGAGATGGAAAAACTAGGTTTGAAAACATCAGCTTATATTAAGCTGTCTCTGTGTCCATTCATCATCATCTTCTTCTTTTTCTTTCATCTCATCTTACCAAAATGTTGTCTGTACGTACCCGCCTCTCTTCTGTCATCTCAAAACGTACATTCGCCACTGTTGCTTCCGAAGCCAAGAAGCCTGTTGATCAAAAGTTCAAGGTTGTCGTTGTCGGTGGCGGACCTGGTGGTCTTTCAGGTAGAGTTTCTATTGTTCTCCATGTTTTGATAGCATGCTAAATTGCAGAAACACCGACTAGTTTCATCCACCATCTCCAAGTTGCTTGGTAAGAATCAAGTGGCCGTCATTGAGCCTGCCAATCATCACTATGTAAGTATTTCAACATGTCAGAAAGTACAGATGTCAGACATCTCACGCATGTGATATCAGTATCAACCTTTGTGGACTTATGTTGGCGGTGGACTCAAGAACTTTAGCGAATCTGTCAAGCCCATGGGCGATGTGATGCCCAATGACGCTGAATGGATTCAAGACAAAGTAACTGAATTCGACCCCGAGAACAACACTGTCAAACTCGCTGATGGACAAACTGTTGGATACGATTATTTAGTTGTTGCAGCTGGTATTCAGATTAATTGGGATGGTGTCAAGGGTTTGAAGGAGGCTCTTGGCAAGGATGGTGTGACATCCAACTACGATGCCGACAGTGTTCAAAAGACGTACAAGTTCATTCAAGAGTTCAAGGGCGGTAATGCCTTGTTCACTTTCCCCAACACCCCTCTCAAATGTCCCGGTGCTCCTACCAAAATCACTTTCTTGGCAGAAGAGGCATTCCGTCTCAGCGGTGTCCGTGACAAGACCAATGTCATTTACAACACGTCTGCTGGTAAGATCTTTGGTGTTGATCATTACGGTCGTGTCCTTCAACAGTTAGCCAACGAGCGCAACATCAATGTCAACTTCCAGCACGAATTGATCGAAATCAACGCCGATAATCATCAAGCTACCTTCAGAAACAACGCCAACCAAGAGCTCAAGAGCTTCGAATACGATTTCATCCATGTTGCTCCTCCTCAAGGCCCTCCCAAGTTCATCAAGGAGTCTAGATTAGCTGACGCTGCTGGTTTCGTTGATGTCAACAAGGACACTCTTCGTCACAACAAGTACAAGAACGTCTTTGCCTTGGGTGATTGTTCCAACCTTCCTACTTCCAAAACTGCTGCTGCCATCACTGGTGAATCAGGTGTCTTGAAGAAGAATCTGATTGCTGATATCCAAGGAAAGAAGATTGAGCAAGCTGTCTATGACGGTTATACCTCTTGCCCCTTGATTGTTGGTCGTGATCAATTGATTTTGGCAGAATTCTCTGGTTACACTGGTAAGCCTTTGGAGACCTTCCCTGTCGATCAACGCAAGATCAGTAAAGTTTCGCAGTATTTGAACAAGGAAGTCATTCCTTCCATCTACTGGAACTTTTTGTTAAAAGGTACTTGGACTGGCCCTTCTACCGTCCGTAGCATCTTTGATCCCGTTCGCCCCAAGCGCGATGAATAATCGATCCGCAAAAAAAAAAAAAGCCATACCCATACTTCTTTCTTTTTCTAAAACCCTTAAGTCAATCCTTTTATATTGTGAAAATGCTACAAGAAAACACACACACACACACACACAACTGACATCCTCTATATTTATTATCTTTTAATTTTCAAATAAAACCTATTGTTTATGTTTCAATCTATCAATTCGACTCTCTGTCATCTATCCTATACTGATACACACTGCAATGTCAGTCTATAACTTGCCATTATCATGTGAACCCCCTTTATAAACGGTCGGCACCAATGGTTCTAAGTCTTCTAGGATGCCCCACATCTATATCAATGAGAATTGCTCGTATACGAGCAGGCAGTGCGCTTGCATTGCCTCTTATCACTCTGAATTGAGCAAATTACAGCGTCATCGGAACGCATTTAAGCCATGCTTTCTCGCGCTGGAAGCCATTTTGGATCGTCGGAATAACGCCAAATAACGTCTTTCATCTGCAAGTAACTGTCTGGCACCTTTGCTCAACTTTTTAGGCCAAAAAAAAAAACATGGCCAAAAATCGACGAAAAGCCATGAGGGGTACCTCAAGGTTTTCATCGAAAATCAAACGATCGCGTTTTTCACCCCACAACTGAACACTTCTACTATGGCATATATTAGCTCAAATCGATTGTATCAATCCACAGCAACCTCTAAAACTGTGTTTTTGAGACCTTGATATGCAAAATCTCTACATTTTTGCCAAAATAGCAATTTCATATTTTATGAATTTGCTCAATAAGTTTGTTCAAAACACCTCTTATTTTTAGCACCATTGGATGCGCGTTAAAAAGTACTCCAAGAAAGCTTAAGGAAGTATGAAGTGGTTATCACAGTTTATATAGTCGAATCTGCCAGAAGAGATTAAACAGGTCGGTTTTGATTAGAATTTGACCAATCTGGACAGAAAGGCAATTTGCGGAATTTGAATTTATTTTGGCTGGCAAAACCACTTCTATACACTTCCTGAAGACAATGGGTGCTGTTGGAAGCTCATGAATAAAAGATTGCGAATCAAAAGCTACTAATAGTTGGCCTGCTTACCTTAACTTTTGTTTCCAGGCACTATCATGTCCTATAAAATTAATCGTTGCAAATTGCTTTTCCAAAGGCAGATCCGAATGCCAGATGTCCGTTGACATCAAATGGCAGTATTTAAAGCCCATCTTTTAAAGCCTGAAGAGATCAAACTGCATAGTATCTAGTACGAAAACAACTATCAGGGAAACTAGCTTGATGCCGATCCCATTCAATGAGCATAATGATTTGATGAAATTAGTTGAGATTCCATCAAGAAAATGTGTCATTTCATCCAGATCAGACACATTTTAAAGAGATTCTCGATGTTGGACTCGGATCATACATGCAGACCATACTCAAGTGAATTAGAAAATGTTGAAAAGGAATGTACAAAACGGCCCAAGGGATCCAACCCTATTTTAAGTGGGAAAAGTGGACCACTCGAAAAGGAGATGTTTTCAAGTGAATCATCTTTTTTCCATAACCCGCCAATTTTAAGTATAAATGTGACCATGGCGAGAGAGAGAGAGATAGAGAGAGAGAGGGATTTCCACAGTCTGTCTAGCTTATCTCTTGTGTTGGTGATGGACTGCTCCAGCTACATTTGATGCTGATGGCAAATGCATGTATCTCATGCATATTTGATCTGTTCTGAAATCACTCTTTTTGACAAATCTCTCCCATTTTGTTCCTTACACCAAGACTGATACATTCAGTCATCTATCGACTGGATGAATCACCTTCTCAAGATGAAAAATATAGAGTACTCACCCCCGCACTACCTATAATAATCATACGGGGTTCAAATACGCAGAAGAAGGTGATGTGGTGAAGCACCTCTAATGGAAAGAAATAAATAATTTCAATGACTCGGTGGAATAGAAAAAAAAACTAGATTTTCTTTTCTATTTCAAAATAAATCTCGTTTCTGAATTTCCAATCTCTTTTTCCTTTTACTTCTCCATCTCTTCTCAATCTTTAGATTAACGTATACAATGGCTCTTAGACTCTTGACTTCTCGCGTTATTGCCCGTGCTTCTTATATGCCTGTTGTTCGCAAGTCCGCCACTATGGCTGCCTTCCGTGGTTATGCCAGTAAGTTGTTGTAAAATATGGGGTTGTGAAGTCTTAATTGATGGCTCTTCTCTGACTATTCAGCCAAGAAATATACCTCTGATCATGAATGGATCTCTGTTGACAATGGTGTTGGTACCTTTGGTATCACTGACTTTGCTCAAAAGGCTTTGGGCGATGTTGTCTTTGTTGAAACTCCCGCTGTTGGTGATGTTGTCGAAAAGGAGGGTAAGTTTGTCTTGAGAGAGAATGTCCCTTGCGTATCATTCCGCTAAACTTTGGTATGGCATATCAACTAGAGCAAGTTGGTGCTATTGAATCCGTCAAGGCTGCTAGTGATATCTACTCTCCTGTCTCTGGTGAGATTGTCAATGTCAACGAAGCTTTGTCTGACGAGCCTTCTTTGATCAACTCCAGCCCTGAGGAAGATGGTAAGCATATCGTGATTTCAAATAACGTGTGAATTTGCACTAAACATTTCTGATAGGTTGGTTGGCCAAGATCAAGATCAGCAATGAATCTGAACTTGACGGTTTGATGGATGAGAGTGCTTACCAAGCTCACTGTGATGCTGCTGAAGACCATTAGATATTGTAAAAAAAAAAAAAATGACTCTCAAGTTTCTTTCTGTTGTAATTTAATAAATATATATTTTTCTGATAAATGCCTATTGTATTTTGATGGCTAGACGTTAGCATGAGCATTGAAACACTATACAGCTCTTTATTTCGGTATTGCTCAACGTTTGCATTACTCGGTGTGCTTTGAAAGCAGACATCCACTGTTTGTCCCTGCGTGTTTGATGTAGCAATCATAGCTGCTAGCTTTAGATGTACCGAGCTCCTTGATTATGATATTCCAATGTTTAGCTTTGGTTTTGTTGCCAGAAGACAAGGCTTCAACAGTAGCGACATGAATCTTTGCTACAAGCAGTTTCTGCGTGCCTTGGCTGGAGTAATTCTGTGCAAAAAAAAAAAAAGCTGTTGATGCCCAACAAAAGACATCTGATTATATTGGCTGTAGTTGATTTGCCTGGAGAAGATGAAAGAGCATCAAGCGTCATATTGTCATCACTATTGCCGCTTGAATATATCAAAACTCTATCACTATTAAGCAATGTTTCTAACACAGGAACAAGATTTTATTGCTTGCAGAGGAGAATGAAGGCCTTCCTATAACGCCAGTGCTTGTGTTAACAACACTTGAATCAAGCAAATGAACGAGCCTCAAACACAATTGCTGGGTTCTTAAATGTGTAGATGTGGGCAAAGGATTATATTCTAGCTTTTTTTTTTTTTTTTTCTTTTCTTTCATTTCTCTTCTTCTTCTTCAGCAGGTGCATCATTTTATGCCTTCATGAAGCACTCTTTAGAGACGAAAGCTTCTCAGGCTGACCATATACCACTGGCACATTATTTGCGCACAATTATTCTACTCAAATCCTCCAGCCAGCAAACTCAAAAACTATACGCTGAAGCATATTCCAATGCGCTCCATGCTGTCAAACTAGATACCTCAGCTAAATACACAGAAGCTAAGCAAGCTTACCAAAAAGTGATAGACGTAAGCCATTCATACATCTAGCCAGGTACAAGTACTGATAGCGTTGTATAGAATTTTGCAGAGTTGCTCAAAGGTAATCAAAGAGTTTGAAAATTCGTGGCTAGACATCAAATTTAAGAAACCATCACGATATTAGATAAAAACAATGGCATGGATCAAAACAAAATGATACAAAAATTGAACGAGTACAAGCATAGAATAGAGCAGTTAGAGAGATACATGGAGACGACCAGAGCTGCTTCGACATCGCTGTACATTAACGAGAATTCACCATATCAGCAACGCCGCGACTCGACTGATTCCGAGATAGTTAGAACAGAAGAAGACGACTATAATGATAGAGCAAAGGTGAGTCCTATAGTAGGCATTTATAAAACCCAATACTTATATCTGGCATCTTTCAGTTTTCGTTTGATCAGGGCGAATTAAATGAAAGCCAAGGCAACACAGACCATGCACTCGAATATTATTCGGATGCAGCTGAGCTCTTTCTCAAAGCATTCAAGCTGTACGAAAACGATTCAGAAGAGAAACTGAAGGCTCGAGAGAATTTCACCAGGGCATTGGACAGAGCAGAGATGCTAAAGAGAAGCATCAACTTGCTCAGTGTCGACAAATTATCGCCACCGTTGCGTACTCGGTCGTCATCGTCCGCATCAGAACGCCCAGCTCTCTACAGTATGCACCATCGCTCTTCATCCATATCCTCCATCTTGTCTATCGAACCACACTGTCCCACAGACGACATCATCACTCAGAAACTATCCTCTTCAGAAATCGAAGTCCTGAAATATACCTCCAATGTCAATGACAAAATGTTTTTGCCCTGGATTGACGAGACAGACTTGAAAGAGCAATTCTCGTATGCAAAAAAATATCTGGACCCAGAAGGGTCTCTTCGACTGTCAGAGAAGCAAAGGGAGAAATTTGGCGGTTGGAAGAGGCCTGCTGATATTATGAAATACCCAAAATTGATTTGTTTGATATCAAGGTACGCATGTTAATTGGGCTTTGCTAGTTTGGTTTCTGGCATATAACGTACGGGCTTTCTCTTACAGCACAAGTATTATCCAAGACATTGTAACGGATTGTTCGTTTGTGGCATCCTTATGTGTAGCTGCTGCCTACGAGCAAAAGTTCAAAAAGCAATTGATCACCTCTTGTATATACCCACAAAACAAGCAAGGCCAGCCGTGCTATAACCCTAATGGAAAATATGTCATCAAACTTGTATATAATGGCATTGCTCGAAAAGTTGTAGTGGATGATATGCTGCCAGTATCGAGAGAAGGGACGTTGATGTGCACGTTCTCAACAAACAAGGGCGAATTATGGGCGAGCATCATTGAGAAGGCCTACATGAAGCTGATGGGAGGCTATGACTTCCCTGGATCGTAAGTAAATCATTGCATCATTTGAAAGGAGAATAACGTGCTTAACACTGTATTGTAGAAATTCAGGCATCGATTTGCAGTGAGTATAGTCCAAAAGAGTATGTGGATCTAGCTAGCTAATGAAAGTTGATAGTTGTTTGACAGGTTGGATTCCAGAGCACATCTTTATTTATGAGTAAGCTTTCAGGATTGACGGATATTTACAACCTGCCATTGACACCATACCCCTTTATTCTAGTAAAAACTTTGTGGCGGATAATGTGTGGGATCGTATTCTGGATGGTATCAAATACGGCGATGTGTTGGTGACAATCGCTACAGGTGAGATGACAGAGGAGGAAGCCATCAGCTTGGGTTTGGTGCCAACGCACGCTTATGCCGTGATTGATATCAAAATGGTGATGGGAAAACGACTGCTTCAAGTGAAAAACCCATGGAGCCACAAAAGATGGCGTGGACCGTACAGCCATTTGGATACCAATGTGTGGACAACAGAGCTCAAAGAATCGTTGAATTTCGATCCTGGTGCAGCCGAGAAGAACGACGATGGTATTTTCTGGATTGATTTCGAGTCTGTATGCTCCAACTTTACGTCGATTCATCTCAACTGGAACCCAGAGCTCTTTACACATCGCTGGGTGTTGCATTCAGTATGGCCAGAACATGTGGGGCCAAAGAAGGATGTGTACAGTCTGGGCTATAACCCACAATTCAGTTTGCGAGTCAATGTACCAGACAAGAAGCCTGCAGCAGTGTGGTTATTGCTATCCAAGCATATTATAGTGACTGAGGAAAACACAGACTACATTACTTTGCACGTCTACAATAATACCAATGGAGAGAGAATCTACTATCCAGGCACGCCATTCAAAGAAGGCACCTATGTCAATAGTCCGCACATTCTCGTTCGATTCAACGCACCACCTGGGATCAGCGACTATACCATTGTTGTCTCTCAGCATGAGAAGGAGCGCTCGCTTTACTTTTCACTGAGAGCTTATTCACTGGCACCGTTCAAGTTGAATGAAGTGCCTATGCGATATTCCATCGAGCAAAAGGTATGATTAGACGGCATGTATTCCAAAATGTGTAAACTTATGCTATATTGGATAGATGCATAGCCAGTGGACAGAGCAAACTGCAGGCGGTAATGCTTGCAATTCGACTTATTTGAATAATCCACAATGGAAGATCACCATCCCAAATACAGGGTCTGTTCCTGTCGGCCTTTTATTGCAGTTGGAAGCACAAAAGGACTTTGCTGTCCATCTATTACTGGTGGAAGGTGGTAAACGAGCATCAAGTGTATCCGTGCGTGACATATTGGCAGAATCTGGTCCCTACAGGCATGGATTTTGCTACTGTGAATTGCCAAATATCAAGCGTAAGTAGTCTTTGGTATGAAAATTGATACGGCATCTCATGTGTGTCTCTAGCTGGTGATTACACTGTTGTTGCCTCCACATTTGAAGCTGAATTACTGGGCAAATTCATTCTCACTGTAGCAAGTACGATCAATGTTCAGGTGGAAGCTATTCCAGCTGAGGGAGCTGTAAGTGTTGCAATTAGATTGCCTCTAAGAAAATACGCCATTTATACTGTGTATATAGGGTATGTTCAAGAAGGTTCTTCATGGTGAGTGGATCATTGGATACAGTGCAATGGGATGTCCTAGTTTTGGAAACTATGGCAAGAATCCGCGCTATCTTTTAGAGATACGAGAGCTCACTACAGTCAAGTAAATATCTCAACATACGTATGCATCGCTGAGAGTTCGATACTAACAAGATGTATTATCTAGAGTGAGGCTTCAAGCCAAAAACGACTCTGATTCTGTGCCATCCATGAATGTGACAATATACGAAAAGCATCCAACAGAGCTTTTCGGTAGAGAACTGGCTACTTCTGGGCCGTATACCAATGTGATTCAAGGTGTTGCCACTGGTGATGTTGTATTGAGTCAAAATGAAATGGGTAAACACAGCATCTCTGTCGGTATCATGAATGTAATATACTAACGCAAGCTTGACGACTAGGCTATATTATTGTACTGGCCACACACGACAAGGATGTTACAGCAGAATTTACTGCCATTATATATAGTGATCGTCCTGTAAATGTAAAAAATGATAGATGATAAAGCATTGATATTCTTCTCGTTCCCCTCTTTATTTCTTCAATTCATTACTAATTCTTCTACTCTGGATTGAACTTAAAGCGCGTTGACCAGCAAAGAAGGTGATGACAGTTAATCCACTCAAATAAGTCAAAGTTTGAAACAAGTTGAGTTGAGTCCAATAAAGGTAAAAGAGGTATTCGACAGCGAGTAATGATGTGACAAAGGCAGCGATGGATACTGCACGAACTGTTGGACCTGAGACGAGCTCTGAAATCACTTTGGCTGGTGTGATGCCAAGTTGGAGCCACTATCATAATACAGCTGAATAAAAACATGGCCTACAACCCTATTTCATTCATGATACTTACACCTCCAAGAAGAACGAGCCAAGGAGACAAGGTAATAAGTGTGAATAACTTGGAGAAACTGGCAGGAGGCATCTTTTCAGCTGCTCTAAAGACGTGGTGGATTTCAGGTTGTAATTCAAAGACATCCTCCTCTCCAGCAGCACTGACTAATGCTGTAAATGCAGTGGCCAGCACAAGACCTGTAATATACTTCATAGTACGTGACATTATTATACAAAGAGAAAGAGATGGATTCCAATTAAAATTTGCAATGTGTGGGTGGTTTTGGTGAAACGCGGTTGTTCAATACCTTCATTTGGCCTATCATCATCAGGCCAGCTTGATTTACTACTGCTCTGAGGGTATCTACCACTCTGATGAAATGCCATCTCTCGTGCCATGATTCTCAGTGAATGCCACGGTAATAAAAGAATGGTAAATTCCCATGTTTATTGAATGGCGAATGAATTATTATATGAAAGTCTATGTACAAAAGAGGAATAAAAGCAAAGATTAGAATGGCAAAGGAGAGGGGTGATGGAATAAATGTAGGCTTATTGGCATGCAGTGATGTAGCGCTTGGCTTTTTGGAATTGTCTGCAAAGCACAAATTTCTTGGTAGAGTCTTGCTCTGCTGCTGTTGATGATGGGAGGGTGTTTGTTGTACAGTAGTTAGCTGCAAATTCACAAAGATATCTGCAAATTCTGGTTTGAACCCACATAAGGGGACAGAAAGGGTTTACTGTGCTTGATTGTGTGGTTTGTGCCTTCCTGTCACTTGGTTGAATGGCCAGCTTTTCGTTTCTTGATTGCATCAATGTCAAAGGCTCCAAGAGATCCCACACAGCCTTGGCCTCTTTGTCGGTCATCATGGTAGAACCGTTGAAGGGATCCTTCTCATTGAATCCAAGATGTGTAGGAGGCAAAGGATTCAATTTAGCAGTAGCCAGTATTTCATCAGTGCTCATGGTCATTGTATGAGCCAGAACGATCGACATCAAAGCAGGAGCGAGGAGAGGATATTGTTGAATCAGATTAGCGGAAGGAGTAGTGATCATGGCAGTGGACGTCTCTTTTTCAAGGACATGATTAATGTTCCAGTTAGGCACAACAGCGTGGGACAAGTAAGTATCTCTGTTTTGATGGTCTTCGGCAGGAAGTACGAAATCCCAGTTGTCAGGAAAGTCGGTGAAGAGATTAGGTGGAGAGGAGAGCGTGGAGTCGGATGAAGAGGAGGAGGATGTGTTGGAGAGATTCAAGGTAGAGTTGAGGAGATTTGTGGAGTCAAACAGATAAGGAGATGTGTTTGTCGTGGCTACTGACATGGTGGTGGGCTGTGCTGGCGTGGTAGTAGCAGTAGGCAAATTGATGCCACCGAGCATTAATTCTACACGCAGCTTGTCGTTCTCCTTTTGCAATGTTTCCATCTTTTGCTTGGCCCACTTCAATTCCAATTTGAGTTGGCTGTTCTCCGCTTTTTGTTGATTAAGCTCATCTTCCAAGGTGCCGATGTATTCTATAACAAGTAATCATGGATTCGTCAGCTAATTTCCTTTTAAGGTTTGTAGCCATATTCTTTGCAAAATTTACCCTTTCGTCTATTTCTGAAGTTGCGAGCAGAGATCTTGTTTCTCAATTGTCTGCGTTCTTTGGATGTCATCGCCTTCAATTGAGATTCTGGGATATGATCATGGATGGGTCTAAAATCTAAGCGGCCTGTAGATGTAGCAGGAGGTCCATTTGAGCTCTTGGGTTTTCTAGTAGTGCTACTAGAAGTGGGCTTCTCTTTCATGGCAAGGTCTTCATTTGTCGATGAATCTTCATCCGTGTGGTGAGATACGGAATGAGTTTGAGTCATGGCTGCTTGATGAGCCTCTTCCCCGAGCAGAAATTGAAACAAATCAGCATCAGATAAGTTGACAATCTCTTGAGTTTGCTGTTGTTGTTGCTGTTGATTGATGCTGCATTCATTGTTATTCTGCTTGTTTGCTGAGGTATCTTCCAAAGCCCAAGTAAAAGTATTATTTATGAAATTGTTATCCATTTTATTATACAAAAGAGATAGATGCCAAAAGAAAAGAGAGGTGGGATTTCTTTTTATAGTTTCCTTTTCAATCGAAAACCAACCGAGTCGTGACGAGCTTAGCGTTATGATGTTACACTTACAACAGTTGTATTCCGCCAAGATCGAAGATGCATCATGCCGTAAATTTGTACAAGGACACTTATCAAATGTTACGGATACAGCAGTTACTAGTGGCAACAGCTTCATAAAGGCCAGTAAAATCATTTGATATAGTAGGTGTAAAAGTTCGTTTATACATGGATTTTGCAGCCAAGAAATTCACAAACATTGGCTCAGGAGGGAAACAAAACGCCTCAATGTTGTATTAAATGCTTGGTCCTTGCTTATTATTTACTTGTTGATCGAAGAGGGCAATTGTGTCATGACTTTTATTCGTTGGATACCCAAACCTGAACAACCAAGCTATTGCTTCGTCTCTGGAACAATCTTTAGGCATCCTGGTATCATCATTTGCACGATCTGATTGTGTGAACCATCCTATATTTTGAACTTCGTCTCCAAGTGCATCAAAATTTCAGCGACAACAAAGTTTGGTATATTCACTCGCTCTTTTCTTGATATTGATACTACCGTTATAGTTCTTTTATAGAAAATTGGGCTAAATTCTCTTCTCGATTCACATCTCTCTCAAATTGTTCGTTCGTGAGACGTTTGAAGTAATGTTCGTTTTCATGTATCTTAATCTTATGAATTCAACTGGTACATATTGCTATCTGTCAAAGAAATGCATAGAGGCTATTTCTACTTGGAGCTGACAACGAATCTCAAAAGTAGTTCAGAGATAGTTCATATAGTAACTATGGGCGATGCAACTAGTGATACCGTTATAAAATGTCGAGCCTCTCAAGGTACTATTTATTTATTTATTTTGACTATCCAACTATTTAATTAATATATAAATATGAGGCATCTAACTTTCTTATTGGAGTAATATGTCTAAATTATGATAATGATGATTTTGAGATACATTATATTATTGTTCATATGATCAACAAATGTATATTATCTGCCAAGTAAAGCTCTGTAAGCAATAGCACAATATATATCGGAGTTTTAAATATACGTTTCTCAAACATCCAAAATCGACTTGATTTGATACAAAAAAAATTTAATTTTATCGTTTTTAGCAAATTCTACTATAGAAACTACAATTTCCGTACCCTATTCTCTAATACATGTAGAGACAACTTTTGACGTTGCATCCAATGGTGCTAATCACAATAAACTTTTTGATCAAGAAAATTGAGCAATCATCCAAAATATATACTAGTGTTTTCTGCCCAAATTCTGAGATTTCATATAAAAAGGTCTTACAAAGGAGGTTTCACATGTTGCCCTGAATCGCTAGAATTCATTTGATCTTATATGTGCTATAGCAAAAGTCTTCATTTTTGGGGTCAAAAACGCAATGAACTAATTTTTAATGTTTCGGTAAAGGGATACCTCGTTCTTTTTGGGTGATTTTTAGCGATGATTTTTTGGTCCCAAAAATTTTGAAGAAATGTACCAGCAAGCAGCTGCTAGTCGAGAGGAATTGCCTGGTGTTACTCTCACAGTCCAAATCAGCTTCTAATTCGAGCAATTGCCCATCTAATGCATCCAATTTTGGCTGTGTTTTGGCATTCTATCGATCAATAAGAGGCAACACAAGTATATTATCTACTTTTATATGAGTTGTTTCCATGGATACATACCTGGAGCAGCTTAGCATAGTCACATTCACAATCACAGGTGAAGTTATCGAGATTTAGTGCTGCTTTTGATAGCTGATATCACGGTGCGATTACATTTCTGTGCGCTTTAAGTTCGGAATTTCCCATATGAATGATAGTGAAGAACACATTATACCATATTGACTATGACCCAGGATAAGCATTGTAAGAAGAACAACTGGTCAAAAGCTAAGCCTGTCAAAGTTTCTAATATGTAGACATCATACTGACTGTTTCTTGGATTCTTCTTTGTTAACTGACCAACAGTGCTACTAGCATAATGATGCTCTTTCTTAAATGTGTTTTTACATTAGATCAGTGGAAGAAGGTCTTCTCAGTTCCTGACGTCCGCATAATATCATTTCAAGCAAGTATGAGGACAACAATCAGTTACGAAATAGTAAAGCACTGATTGGAATATCAAATAAATCTTCCAGCTGATATAGCTCGTTTGTTGGACTTGGGATGGCTAGTCTGATAAAAGTTCAAATCCAAGGCAGCTCAAACACGCGAATGATTGTACATGAAACCAAGTTGAGCCAGTACCTTTATATGCACCTCGTTATGCACCATAATTTCGCTGATGTCCTGTCGTCTTTCCTGTTTATTTCTGGCATGTGTCACAAACACATCTGCCTCGACTTGTGTTTTGAAGATCCAAAGGGCATGAAAGAGCATTTGATGCCCATGGCAGAGAGGAATGGTATGGGGTCTCTTTGATTTGTGACATTACATAGAAAGTGATTTAGTTATACTCTGTTGTCTTTTTTTTTTTTAGTTTATAGCAAAGATGCGTTTGATCTTGATGAAATCAAGTTAAAGACTATGAATAGCAGCCTTCTCTGTAGTAGATTTACCCTTGACAAATCAAATTCAAAGACCATATTGCAAAGAAAGTGAATCAACTGCCTTTTTTTTTTAATGTTTGCTACCCCTTGAAGCATGAATACTAAAATCAAACATGTACATATTTCCAATATCTCCTGGAAACTAGAGGCTAAATAATGATGTTTCATGTACCTCTGAACTTGAAATGTATGTAACAGACATCATGAATAGTGTAAAGAAGGGGCAAGATAGGTTTGCTTGATGTGAAAAGAGTTAGCCTGTTGTATCCATCCAAGACATCACAATGAATGTGTTCTTTTCTCATCAAAAACCTCAGGTACCAAAGCATTTCAGTACTATTTTAATGGTCTTACATAGTATATTCATTGTGTAACTGAAAACAAAAACTTGCAATAATACGTCTAGTGTCGTATTAAAAGTAAATTTTCCTCGTTCTTGCAAATATGAATCCACATTGAGCTGGGAACTAAGATTTCATATTGAACATCAGATTTCATTTTAGAGTTTTATTTGGTATTAATAGTCTTTCCTATGGAGGGAAGGTAGGTAATCATCAAGCTATGATTTTATTCAAAGATATATAATAAGGAAAGAGAGGTATGGGATATATAGAATAAGATATAAATGAGAAGAAAGAGGTTATATTCAAGTGCATGATATCTGAGCAGTTTCCCAGAAAACTTGCATTTGCTTCAGCTTCTTTGTTGATTCTAAATCCAAATCATCCAAACCCCACATAATCTCTTTGACTCTTTCGGCTGCTTCACCTTTCTCTAGTACGATGGGATCCTCGTCATCCTTCTCTTCCAAGAATTTGTTGATCCTTCGCATGTCTTTTCTAACTTCGTGCACGGTTTTTGCAATAGATCGAAGTCGAGAGTTCAACTCTTGCACCTGTCGTTTATTCACATACATGATCTCTTTCAACTCTTCAAGCGATTCGGTTGCTGCACTGGTTTCAATAGTTAGATTTCTGATAGCTGGTAAAGGATTCTCATAGGAGTAGTTGCTGTCGTTGAGAGTTGTTTTGATCGATGCCAACAATGCCTCCAATTCTTTCAGTGCTTCGATCGACATCCAGCTTGTTTCTTTTCGGAGTGCACCATCCAGATTGCGCAGATAGCTTGTTTGTCTTTCACGGTCGCGAGATTTGCGTTCAACGAGGTTGATAACAGACTGAATAACGTATTCAAAGGGTGGAGCAAAGGTCACGAGGTCTTGGAGTGTTTCATCAACAGCTAATGTCTTCAATAAGCGCTTGTGAAGGGTTTTTGTTTCCCAAACTGCTGTATTTAAATCCTCTAATTGTCTTTTCAGTACCTCGAATGGATCATCATCTTCAGGATCGTTGATGGAGGACCATGAAGAGGAGAAGGAAGATCGTCTACTGCGAAGACCGGTAGAAGCAGACCATTGGAGTGGTGATAAAAGAGGGCTAGTGACTTCACAAGATAGAGACCGTCTGTCCATTGCCATGGAGGCTAATTTAGATGATGTTTCTGTTGAGTTCATAATGCTGTTGCTTGTCAATGTAGTTGTGGCTGCGTCTGTAGGCGCTGCATCCAAGGTATCATCCAGCAAGGGATCATTTGTAGCAGACTGGAGTTCAGCGGCCAGAGAAGAGCCTAATGGCACTTCGTTCAAATACCCTTTACCGAGAAGTTCGTCTTCAAGAGATTGTCCACCTCCCAAGTAGGTTTCATCTTCATACAATGATGTTTCTGTCATCATCTTGGCTCTGTTATCTTATCAGGTTTTTATTCTGGATCTAGGAAATCTATCAAGAGAAATGTCTGTCTACCACGACACAAATGGAAAGAGGGTTATAAATAAGTAAAAAAGAGGGGGGGGAGGAGAGAGAAAGGAAAAGAGAAAGAAAAAGAGAGAGAAATAAGAATTATTTTGTACACAAATAAAAAGCGCTGAGAAGCAATATATCAAGAGCAACCTGTGACTTTACCATGATTGTCTACTACTCATAGTTGTGTTCTCCAGTCTGTAGGCTCGAAGCTCTTTGGTATAGTCCTGCATTCGTTTGCCCCAATCCTTCAATCTGACAACCTAATGCTCAAAAAGTCTTAGTTTCACTGCTTGTTTTCATGCCAGTTTTAAAGAGCATCTTTACCACCGCTGTCGTATTATCATCACTTTGTAATTGATCTGCTGCATCTACTAATTTCTTTGCTGACATGCCAGGATCCTTATGCTGCTTCACCTAAAAAATACAATGTATTTGCATGTAAATTTTCCTCCTTTTTTCTACCAGCTTCTCGCGTGCTTACAAAATCAACTATTTCTTGATCAGACATGACTGAGGTAATACCATCCGTTACTAGCACCTATGCAATCAGTGGGCTATCAGCAAGCAATCCAGTCTATTTCCACCTGAATACTACTTACAATAAATGCCGCTGGGTTACTGACTCTAATCTTGTGTCTGACAATATCGGGCTCTGCTGATATTCCATATCGTTTCAGCTTGGCATCACCAAATGCACGACTCGTCGCCAGCATGCCCATCCAACGGTCATCTCCAAAAGAGTCTGTTGTCACAAATCCATACTTGTTCAACCGAGTTGATTCGATAGGGTTCCCTGGATGATGATCGCCAGTTGTCAATTGCACTGCTTCGCCAGTAGCCGAATCACATAATAAAATTCGAGTATCTCCAACATGGCCAATAATGATGTCATATTCATCACTCTCCCAGAAAGATCTTTTATCAATAGGTTCAAAGATAGCAATACTTCCTGTCGATCCTTCATTGTCCTCATGCGCATCGTCGAATCCGCCCCGTAGTTGCTTCAAGCAGGAAGTATCCGCACTCAAAAAGGCAAGTGTCAGTCGCTGCTCTACTGTCAAATCATTCACATCGACACCTGGTTTGGGATTGCCCTGATCATCTACGAAATCTCGAATAAGGCCTGGGATGGGGAATCTTTTGAAATATCCCCTGTAAGATCGCAGATACGCCAGTGTGCTGTGAAAGTCATCCAGACTGATGTTCTCAATGCGTTCATGCAAATGCTTGCTTAACCTAGAGCGTCTTTCGTTTTGAGTTTGTTCAGTATGGTTCTATCCATCCTTGTTTGACTTACCATTCTGATACCACAGATCCGCCATGTCTATCATGATAGATATAATTCAGCTTTATGCTGTTCTCTCCATTGATACACAGCACAAATATAATTACCCATCAAAGATGCCAAAGTAGGCACGATTGGCGTCCTTGTTCATTTCCAACAAGCTTTTACTTGAAGGCAGCTCTAACGATACAACGCTGTAATTATCCTCGTTGGATGTTCTTGTTCCTCGTGTTGTACATGTACCAACAAGCTGATTTGTTTTATCCAGGTTGATTCTCAATAAACTATCTACCATCCCATTGTGAGTACGATGCCATCTGCTGATATCGCACGTCCTATTTACCGTGCACGCCTTTTGTGAGGTAGTAGTTCTTGTAGTTTAGCTGTCTTGTTATTGAGAGTTGTCTTTTTGTGCACACGTTATGGCCTAGACGTATCCATCCCATTTTGTAGTCTCGTATTTCACTTGTGTGTGAAAGAAAGGGAAAAAAGAGCCCCCGCATTCTCCCTGAATTCAAACATGATTTCATTTGAAAGAGAGCTAGGAAAAAAATGGGTTTTCCAAAACTTTAAATGTGGGCAACAGCATGTAGTTTCATCATTGCTGCATGGCTACGAGGCCCATGCAAGCATTGGTTGTTGGCATGAATAAAGACTCATTGCAGTTAGGCTTCCTGGTCGCGTCTTTTTAATCGTGGAAAAAATCAAAGAGGCTCACTGTGATGCTATCCAGTAATTACAAAACGTGAAGATGGGGCATTGACACGTTTGTATAAACGTGTTTAATGCTGTGAAATAGAATGAATAACTTTGACAGCCTACATGTACATCAAAAAACTCGAGTCGTTTTAGGATGTACAGAATACAGCCTCTTGTCAGGCTGGCTCTCTGCAAGCAATCTAGTTTTACACTTCTCGCGTAGATCAATGCGCGCAGCTAAAAGTAGTGGCTTCCAATCTCTTCAGTGCCTGCAAGATACGGCAGATCGATTTCATAAAACCTGTTAAATGCACTCTACTCAGCATAGCGTTATTTCAGAGTTTGCGCTTGATGAACATCCAGTGACTGATATGCAAACATGATCGATATGTATATTTAGCTCAAAGCCCCAATGTTTTGTACGATTCAATCGTTGCTATTGTGGCACGGACATTGCTCATGAGTAAAATGAACGGGCACATATAAAAGAGCGATAGATAGACTGAAGGAGGACAAGATGCAACCTCCAAAGCCCTTACTGTTGGCTTTAAATGACAACTTGGTTTTCATTAACGGCATTACTGTTTGCTCTAATAATAGATCTGCTTTCGATATAAAAGAAGCAAAAGTTGAGGTACTCACATCAGCCTCCCGAATTTGTGGTATGAAAAATAACGCACATGGCTGAAGGCTTGTAGATCTATTCCTGATTTGAGTATATTTCGCAAACCAAGTGTTTATCGTTGCATGATTTGTAAAACATCGAGCACTTGATGAGTCTCGCTTCCATGCGCAAGTTCATTGCAACGCACCTAGGCGATTGTAAGCGCCATTAATAAGCAGGCTTTTGCTTCTTTAATCTATCTTGGGACCATATATTCTATCACGGATTTGGAGAGTAGGATAATGCAAGGGAAGGCTTATAAAGTAGAAAAAAAAAGAATGAAGCATCACACAAGTAGAGGCACATTGTACAAAATGGTGCTTTCGATTTAGAGAGTTTGAATCAAACATGTACGCTATCTGATACACATATAAACATTCATATAATCGTTATGTAATATTTTGTTTGAGCTAAATTTAGTGATCGAGCAGTTTGGTCTTGAAATTGTATCATTGAAGATAGTCTCAATTTGCAATTAACAGATTTGTTAACCCTTGGATAAATTAGATGTAAATAGGTGCCAGGATTCTTTATTAATATCTATTTAAAAGGAACCCAAAATTTAAGAAACTTATGTGATAATATATATATATATATATATATATATATAATGTAACGATTGTGCAAAAGAAGATGACAGGTGGATTTTAAAAAAGTATACAGTGTATCGTTTTCATTTAAGCAGTGGAAGCATCTAAATGGCATGTTAGGACAGAATTTTCTTGTGTTGTAACATTCAACTTACAGCCAATAACGCCACAGGCCGAGCGTTCACCAGAATTACCAGTGGTGTTGGACAAAGGAGAGTTTCCTAAGCCAAGATCATCTTCGCCAGAATGAAGGACTATACCACGACTATGCATTCAAATGTGAGCAACAGAGTTGATGTGGGGTCTGTCATATATCTTACCCAAGAACAGAGAAAGGACCGCTTAAATGAATTGTGTCAATGGTGAGGTTGAGAGTGGCAGTACCATCAGCATTAGCAATGATGTTGCCAAAATCACCAGCATGTCTTTGCTCGCCTTCAGGACCACCATGAGTGTGGTTAAAGGGATTGTAGTGGGGTCCGAGAGAGATACATCCTAAAGCATCATCGATCAGCTTTTTTGCTGATAGAATGAAATAAGATGTATGCACTTACCATTGGAGAGATCGCCAAATTGGTGTACATGGATACCATGCTTGCCTTCAGTTAAACCAGTGAGATTGGCAAAGATTTGAGTGGCACTTGAGGGATCAGCTTGATGGAAGCTCACAGTACCAGAGACGGTGGTATTAGGACCAGAAAGAAATGCAATGGCACTCATGGCTTCGTGTGCTGGTATTTCAGGAGTGGGCTTGCAGTGAGCAGGAGAGAAGGCAGAGGCGATGAGAGCAGCAGTAATGGCAACAACAGAGAATTTCATTTTGATAGTGGGAAAGTTGGTTTATGAAAGAAAAAGCACAAACGCAAATGTATTTATACTTGTTTGTCATTTACAGATTTAGATAGGTCTGTCTTTTTTTTTTTTTTTTTTTTCCTTCTCTCCCCCAAACAAACTGGTGATACAACAGTGATATGACAGCAGTAGATCATCCGCTTGCCCCCCAGCCATGATGCAAGGTAAAATGATGACCCTTTTGCCATCAACACATCTACCAGATTAACCTTAGTTCTATTAGATCTGATAATGAAAAACTGCAATTCATGTGGAGTTTCATTAACAGGGTTTTAGACTGAAAAATGCATCTGATAAAGATATTGTCAACTTTAATTTGTAAGTGGGGGGAATCTCTAGAAACATGATACATGAATTGATGAAAATAACTCGGCTATTTTTAAACAGGATCACACCAGTTGTTCACTGGTAGACAAGAAAGATATTTACAATTGGGACAAATCTAAGATTAGAAATAAGGGCAGAGTGTTAGTAAATGTGCCAAAAATGGTCAAAATAGTCAAAGGGTATGTGCAACTTACTTTGCTTGGATCCTCGGCTGAGTAAAACTCTCGAATAGAAACTGCAAATAGCACCACCAAGATAGCCAAAGCCACACATCTTACAATCCATGTGAATACAATCACTTTTTTCGAAGCCATGGGTCGCATAGGACAAATCATCATTCCCATGAAAATACCAACTGCAAATCCACCTAATCGTCGCATGTAAAGTGAGTCGTATATCCCTATAGCCCGGTCCATGGACTTACCAATGTGAGCAAAGTTATCTAGACCCGGTAGCAAACCTAAAACGAGTGAAATGATGGTGGAGATCAATAGACTCATCAAGTCCCTGACCGGGTGGGGTAGGACTTTCCAATTGACCAGCACATCAATAAACATGTAGCCAATCAGCCCAAACAGTGCACCCGAGCAACCTGTTGAGGCAGTTAAATTCTGTGATAACATGGCAGATAGCACAAAACCATAAATTCCAGCGGCGGCATACAACACTACATAACGAACGGTACCCAATGCTCGTTCTAAATCGACTCCCAATCTCAAATGAGTAAGCATGTTGAGCAAAAAGTGGACCACACCTGCATGCATGACGACGGGCAACGCTAATCTAAACGCTTGATCGGCAACTCCACTCTTGAATCCGCCAAATCCACACAGCTCTTCAATGGAGCAAGTATCTGTAGGATTTCTGTAGCAATCACTGATACTTGTTGATGCAGGTAAGCTTGGAACTGGACGAATACAGGGTGTAAAACGAGCACCTGTATTGACGAGTACCTGTTTAGAGAAATCAGCAAAGGGCGATATATCTTTGCATTGTGCAATATACCAACCTGGAAGCTGGGCCCAATCATGGGATTGAAGGGATTCGTTTCAATTACATCGCCTGTCAAATTATGCATACGCACAAATTCGTAAATCAGCATTGCCGTCATACCTAACGCTGAAATGTAACTGAAGTAAGGTGTTTGCACTGGACCGATGAAGAAGCGGATCAAGGGATGTCTATCATATCCATAAGGGAGGGATTCTTGGACTTGGATCAATGGATAGGCTTGATTCATGGGAGGTACTGGACCGCCGTAATACTGTCCTTGTGGTGGTGGAGGACCGTTGTAATAAGGTTGACCGTAGGGTGGCTGGCCTAGCGGAGGAGGCCCATTGTAATAGGGCTGCTGTCCTGGCGGTGGGGAGTAGTATCTTTCGTTCTCTGGCATAGGTGTTCCTGCGGGTGACGGATCATTTGAATTTAGCTTTTGGAATCCTACAGAGCGACGCTGGTGAAGTTCGAGTGATTCCCAAGCACTGCTGGTATTGTTGTTGGCGTTGTGATTTGGAATTGGAGGAGGTGAATTCGACATGATCAATTATATGTGTGTAACCGTTTTCTCTATCTAAAATGTCGTTAGCAATCAATCTCACTGCGAAAGTTATATGTTGACCAGAGGATAATATACTGTTTGATGACGAATAATACTTTGAGCTATTGAAAGTAGAGGTATAGATATCAAGAAGAAAAGGAGAACTCATTTTGCCAATCTATTTTTAACGTAACTCAGTTCATCCATCTGTGTGTGCCCTGTTTCTTGATACGCTGTGGAGTCACGCTGCCAAGAGTCAAATGTGTATTTGACGTATCACGGCTATTTGATTTCCTGGTTTTCTAAATATCGCAATATTCTGCAAACTACAACTTGCCATTGGCATGTAGTCTGCTTTCATTCAAGATGGTGTTCAGTGCAACAATCAATCAGTAATTGCTCCAATCACTTTTACCAATGCTTTGTTTCAACTTGCTTGCTCCTTAAATTACATAGCTCAGATGATTAGGCTCCGTTAGTTCTATATCTAGTAACCTCAATTTGCTTGATCATGTATGTTGATTGCTATTACTTGATTTGCAAAAAAGTGGTGTGCCTATATAATACTTGATTGTACAAATCAAACCAAGTATTTTGACTGTTCGCGTGATCGGATTAGATCAAGCACATTGTATCTGAGAAATATAATACTGAATACGTGGCAAATGCTGTGCTGAATCAACATGACCAACAACGGATCAGGCTGCATGTATTTCATTTTGATTAACGGAAAGATCAGAGATTTTGTTGTCAGTGATTGGATTGTGATTTGTGTGCTACTGGCATTTCTTAGATTCTCTAGAGACGCTTTCATCGTTCTGACGTCTTACACAGCGAATAGGCATGTGCCGATTCTCGGCCAAAGTTTGCAAAGTTGGCACCCTTGCTCAACGTAACATTTGAAAGAAAAGCTTCTGATCTGCAGATGTTTGCTCCGAAGTTCAGTGTTTATTTATATTGAGCAATCGCCGTACAGACTAGCTGGTTATGAGGGTTTAAAGTTGTCAAGCTACTTCGTGTTACTCTGGAAGAAGAAGTGTTCACGGGCTCCTGTGCACTTGTGTCTTGGGTCCTGGCATCAGATCAATCAGTGATATCCAATCATGGTAGTACTTTTTTTTTCTTCTTTATTTTCATGGTGATATAATGAATGTGCGAGGTATATTAGGCTGAGGAGGACAGCTTGAATTTCTATCTTGTAACTATGGTTACTTTACTTCCATAAGAGCTATGTATCGTATGTTCGGAAGGCGCTCTATTGTCAGTGTCAGTCAAATTTTTGCCGTTATCGTATTCAATATTTTCCTCTACATTGTATTGTTCTGATGACATGACATTGTTCCCGGACTTTCGTGTTGATAAGTTGATTGAAGTGTTGGGTAACTTTGAAGACAAGTAGTCAATGACAATCTTCGGTGGAGGCCAGGTGTACAGCAGATTTTGGACGAAACGAAGCGCGTAGTCTATTGCCAGGAGTGTACTAAAGTAGCTCCAGGAGTTCATGATAAAAAACCAGACGTAGAGGACACCGTATATGCAATACCACAAGTTTTGAATAAAAAAGAACCAAACCTAAAGCATATAAATGTTAGGCTAGATGTATTCAATGACAGGACTTCATATACCAACCCCTAATGCCGTAGTTCTTGAGTGGCCTTCGTTTAATCTCTTTTCCCTCCAATACAGCAAAGGCATAAATGTGTATGTAAACACACATGAACCAGCAATGATGGCGCAAATCACACCAGCGATGAATGCACCTTTGAGTGGATACTCTTCCATACCACTTGAATTAATTGCTAAAATGATAATCTCGGCGATTAACAGAGTACTTGTACATGCCGAGAAGGCGATGCCAGACAGCACCATAGGATGTCTCCAATTAGCTTCACCCATTCGCAAACGATATCCAACATCCAGCACCATAAAAAAGTGAGCGATGCACATTATAAATGTTGACACCAAATAGACTAATGAGTTGGCTCTTTGAGACACTATGTCCTCCAACGATAAAGTGGAGACAATTGATGCAGGCAAGGTCACTATGCTGTAGCCCAGGATTGAAAGTCGCACTTTATTAGGTCGCTTTACGACTTGATATGCGATTACTAATGACGATATAAAGCAGAAAGAGTTGCTCACTATATGTGCTGCTAGGACGTTTACCATGTTGCTATTGTTCGTATCGTCGTCGTACGATATAAGGATTTCGAAGCGCACTAGTATAAATTAAGATGGCAGATTCCACTTGAGAGATCAACGTGTTAAAAAAAACAGAGGTGGGGTGATAGAGGTTTGGTGGCTGATGTTGTATTGCGTGGATCAAATGTAAAGAAGAAGAGGAAGAGGGAAATGGAAAGAGAGAAAATCATGGTGCCTTTATTTAAAGGATGAGCAAACCGTATAGAAGATAACATTCACAAAAAGCTTGTATACCTTCCTGATAATTGGCTCGGATTTAAACACTCAAGTAACACTAAATGAGGTTGCAAAGGTGTAGATTGAGCAAAAGGAAATGTTCATCTCTACATATCTTTGAAAATATCCTCATTGACTCTCACACATTATTCCGTTTTGTAATACGGGCCACTGAGATTTGTCATGTACATTGTAGCAGGGTTCCATTGATTGATATTATTGCCACACCATGTGTTTTTCGTACAACATGCACTGAGTGAAAATGTCAAATGAAGTGCAGTAATAATGATACAATGTGATATCTACAGCTTCTCAATTGTTGAAGCGGGACTTGTTGGCTTTCAACCTAAGAACATTTATAGAAGAAAAGATGGGTCCTATCACGCACAATAGACTTTTTTGAATGATTTGTGCTTCCCATGCTTGTATCGATGGGATAATTATATATAATTTGTTAACATTTGTCAGACCATGTTTGGATATACAGCTATGAAAGTTATAATGATTTGTGGTTGTTACAAACAATGGCAAATCCAACATTTGAAAAGACAACTGGTTAATAGTACATATAAAATAAAGGGTATTCATTATAGTATCTAATCTATAAAGCTTCAAGGAGATACATTGCTTACATCCGAAAAGACGAACAAAGGATTGCAACAGGGATCAAAATTTTGGATCACTACACACACTACATCATGGACAGTAGGCAAAAAGATATCGTCGCCTGCAGGATTTGAACCTGCGCACGCAGAGCGTATATGATTTCTAGTCATACTCCTTAACCACTCGGACAAAGCGACTTTCTATATTTAGAAATTTTTTTAGTATAATATATTTCAAACTATAACTTTTGAGGCAAAACTTTGCTCCCTTGCTTACTTTCCAGTATCACCTTTATATCTTTGCAACTGTTACGTAATGAACTAGAACAGTAGGATTTGTAATGAAATAACCACCCAAACGCAACTTAATTGAAAACCAAAGTTCATCAAATAGCACTCATTCAAATTCATGCTATTTGGATCTATTAATGAAAGCGCTCAAATGTACATCAAAAACCCATTTAAAAATACTAAAGTAAAGATACACGCTTATATCGCACATCGTGTGAATGAATCACTCCTGATCACAGTGTATTCAATCACACCCATGATGGTCGTAATAAGAGATATTATCTTTATCCAAATAAAATCAAATTAATAACAAGCATATTCAAATATGACAACTATGCCCTGCTGCCATAGTTGCACAATATCCCAGATAATAAAGGATTCCATACTTCAATAACAAACATTCCACTTTAAACCATCAAGGTTACATTAAATCATGCTATGACGATAGCTCACCCAAGAAGCCCATCAAGGTTACTCAAATCGACCCTTATGGCCAGTGCTCTTGCATTGATTACCACTTTAAATCAAACATCAACAACATTTGCCAGATATCGCAATAGCAGAACCTATTGCTCTCTATCATCACTAATCCTACAAGCTAGATGCAAATGTATAAATACTCTTCTTTTTTTACTCAATTCCAGGATCTTCAGTTCATTTTACACACAAATAAAATACAGTTGATTTCTATTGTATTTTACCTTTGCTTTATTTTTTTTATGAAATCCATTAAACCCGATTTCACTGCAAGCATGTCTCATATATAGCACAAGTCTGTAGTACATAAAGTATCTGTAGCTAGTATCACGGATATAAGCATGTGTCGTATAGCGTGGATCATGAAGTGCATATCTGAAGCAACAAGCTCATATTGCATTAATTTTGGTGCGTATCCAGATATGGTAAACATCCGTAGTCAATGTCGGAATAATACAAGTATAAGTCTATAGCGTCATCCATGTCCGTGGTGCCATCTATAGCCTATATCTTATATAGTATGAATCTTATAGTACTAGCGTATCTGAAGTGATGAATTCGTAATAATAAGTCGATGATAATAATCAGTTGTCAACTGTATCTAAAACGAAAGCAAAGAGCTTCTTTATTACAGGGCATCTAGCTTGCTTAAATATGGTAGATCCCTGGTGGTCAATGACTACTACGTTGAGATGGTATATAAATAGCAGGCCACTGGGGCCTTATGGATTGTTGGTATCACGCTATAAGACACATGCTTATATCCGTGATACTAGCTACAGATACGTTATGTACTACAGACTTGTACTATATATGAGACATGCTATAGACATGCATACGATATGCTATAGACATGCCATATATCCAGATACATGCTAAAGATGTATGCTTAGCGATATACACTCAGATATGTACTATTAATATAGACTAAGAAGACTGTACCTATCGGATACATGCTACTAGATCGATATTAATTATCCTTATAGAAAGGATAGATCAGGGTACTTCGGATGAGAGTCTAATTATTCATCCAGACAGAGCTAAATCATGATTAGCTTGCTGGAGTTGTCTTTTAGCATGATTAGACATTAGTTGATCTGAGTTGACTTATTTGTCAATCTAATTAATAGAACTTTTATCCATTGTTATAGTATATAAGAAGGATCATCTACCTGGCCAGTAGAGAGACTTCAGTTTACTTTACACCTGTCAGTTTGATAATAAAATATACCTTTATCAAGTTGACATTACTGTTTTTTTTATTCTTTTTTTTCCCGTGAACTTTAGTCTATCAAGCCTCAAATTCCACAGTATCAACGCACCATCAAGAGATAACATACAGTTTTACAACAATTATATGAGTGTGTCAATGCACCAGAACACCGAACCAACGAGGAGTAACCCTTCATGTAAGACATAGTGGATAAGTTAGAGAATTATACCTTGAATCCACCACCTGGCGCCTTTCCCATATACGGTATAATGCCTTTTTAGGAAATAGAGATAGAGCCAAGTAACCAAGAGAAAGATACACACGTATCAAAATGTCGTGCCTAAATTTAGGTTTAAGCCAGATTTGAAGAAAGCGACTAAAAGGCGCCAGCGTATACTCGAAGAAGGTTCTGAAAACTGATAGCAGGCATTGATCTGATTATCAGTTGCTATATCAAGTACTATATCTGCTCGAAAGTTTCATTGATTAAGTAATTATCGATAGTAGAAATAGTATAAATATAAGTTGTAAATGCATTCAATAAACAGCATCTTCGAACATAATCTCAATCTATTAGTTACACTCTAAGTTATTTGTTAACTCCTACCATTGGATCTATCTATCAAGACGACATGTATTAGGAAGCGTAGGGTGATCATCACAACTTATATAATCGAATATCAATAAATGGATTAAAGAAGTCGACAGGAGTCAAAATTTGGCCAATCTTGAACAGAAGAAAAACGAACTGAGTTTGAATAATTTCTGGCATCTTTATAACCTGTATCATCATGATATTCACTAGGAATGATGGCTGCAATCTCGTTGACAGTTGGCAGGTTTTGAGTGCGCGTATTTTCGCGAACAATTAGCTCCAATCTCATGTGAGGGTTCAATCGAATACGGACATCCTTGTTGATAAAATTTCAGGTCTATCATCCTTCATCTTCAGTCAGAATCTCATGATCATGCTTGTAAATGCGAACAAAGACTTTTTCATATTATGCATCTGGTTGGCCACGACGACGCTATTTTCATTTGAGCCTGTTATACGATTTTGGAGTATAAAGGTTGCTTTGAAAAATAAAGAAGAATATGGCTTTATTGTTATTATAAAAAACAAGAAGATAAACCAAGACCAAAGGAGAGAAACTACTATCACTCCAATAGCAGTGATAGCAGTTCACCAGAGAGGGTCGCCAGGCCAGAGTAGGTATCGATAGCCCGACTATTTACAACCGAGTGAGTGAAAGGAGGGTTGACCGCGGCGCACACAAACGATGCCCCCCTAATCACCCACGCCCATCAATAAATTTAGGGCGTAAAGCAGTTTTAAGCAGAGAAACAATATTAGTAAAAGGAACCTTTTGCATTCATAAAAGATACGTACCAGTTTGTATATGACTGCATATGGCCGCTTTGACTCGATTTCACCTCCAGAAAGAATATCAAAGCAGCCATACAGAACAGTTTCCTTGAGGATTGCATTCCCTAGATTTGATTGCTTTCATACACAGGAGTTTTTTTAGGACCCTTCACTACCCTTATCCTCACGCATAGCGTATAGTCGTCTCTTGCCGCAGCCAAAACAAGAGGAACTTTTCCTTACTTTGGGCAGATAGCACACGAAGATTATCAGCTTGGTGAGCCGTTACCCCACCAACTACCTACTCTTCAATTACATGATATAGACCACATGCAAAAGAGCACATGATGTAACATGTATACGCGAGATCAACAGCTTGGTAGGCCGTCACCCTACCAACTACCCTATTCTCGTAAAGAACCAATACGGATAGCGTACATAGCAACACGAAAGTTACTAGGAGATGGCATGTATTCCGTAGTATATAAATGGACGCATTTGTGGCTAAATCCGGTTTGGGGAGAGTTCAGGCTAATACTCCATCATCGAATGATTGCCAAGATAGATCTGTATGAGAAGGCAAAGCAACCCAATCTCTTCGTAAAAAGCAGCATCTTTTCAGAGCCAAGACCAGTGGCAAGCCGGCCAAGGATATAAAGGCACCACTTGATACCGCCAAAGGACCAGATAGAAAGAGGCCAAGACCAGACAGAGAAGAAAACCAAAAAAGCATACAGAAAGGGGGAGAAAAACCAGAAGACCAGTGTGATTATGCATAAAAATACAACGCGTTTCAGAGTCACATTCCGAAACACTATTATGATGTTACTAACAGCACTACACTGCAAAATTTCCGAGTGGCGTAGAATTATAGGCTTCACTTGGGAGTCCTTTGAATAGAAATTTGGACACGTTTTGAGGGGCGGCGCTGCTGCTAGATAACCCAAATGCTTTTCTGATGATAACAATGATGATTATGACGCTAAGCAATTGTCCTTTTAACTCCATGATCCCCATTTGATCAGCATCGCAACCATCATTGTTATCATCAGCAACACCACCAGCAAAAATAATTCAAGCTCAGTTTGTTTTTCTTCTGTTCAAGATTGGCCAAATTTTGTCTCCTGTCGACTGATGAATTCGTAATAATAAGTCGATGATAATAATCAGTTGTCAACTGTATCTAAAACGAAAGCAAAGAGCTTCTTTATTACAGGGCATCTAGCTTGCTTAAATATAGTAGATCCCTGGTCAATGACTACTACGTTGAGATGGTATATAAATAGCAGGCCACTGGGGCCTTATGGATTGTTGGTATAGCTTGTTGAGAGGCCACCTAAGTCGATATGTTTCATGTAGTGTAGGTGGATCTCGATATCTTGACATTGGGGAGATTGAATTTATTGTAGTTCCTGAGGCACCTGTGCACACACAATTGACTGGACTTGTAAACATAGATGTGATGTGATACGACAAACATCATCTATGCTGCTACACTGTAAAAGGTGGCTTGAGGAGAAAGTGAATGTAGCCTAAGATGCATGCTTGTATGCAACATCGACTTCTTTAATCCATTTATTGATATTCGACTATATAAGTTGTGATGATCACCCTACGCTTCCTAATACATGTCGTCTTGATAGATAGATCCAATGGTAGGAGTTAACAAATAACTTAGAGTGTAACTAATACTGTAGGGGGAAAAACTGTCCCGTTCGTTTAAAATTTTGTCTTTTTGCACAAGTTTTTGGTCATTTCTTTGTATACAAAGTCGAAATATATATCGTTTGAATGAGAGAAAGTAGTGCTATCTATACATAATTATAACTTTTTCAAAAACTAAAATCCAATGATTTTATTGGTTAAAAAATAAATATAGAAAAATGTACATTTTATTATAAAATCATTAATAGTGAGTTGAACCACCTTTGCTCTTGATGACAGCCTTGATTCGGGCAGGCATACTATCAATATATTTCTGGCACTCTTTTTCTGTTATTTTTTACCACTGAATGTTAATACGCCGCTCTAATTCTTCTTTTGTTGAGGGCCTAGTGGGACACTTATTAAGACGAAGCTTTAGGAGATGCCAGACATGTTCAATGGGTTTAAGATTGGGACTTTGGGGTGGCCAATCCATGATTTCGTCTAAGTTAAACCCATTGTCGGTGAACCATTGTTTAGTAATGCCCGATGTATGCGGTGTTGCTCTGTCTTGTTGAAATCGGACATCAGATGGTGTCTTCCCAAAGTGCTCAAGAGTATCGTTCAATGATGTCTTCGAAATATCGACATACAAGCCCGAGTTTACTGAGCCTTCAATAATGACAGTACCATAACCAGGACTCTCCGCTGTTATGCAACTCTAGAACATGACCCCACCGTCATTTCTCTGCAACTGAGACTTGACTTGATACGACTGCATGATTCGGCCACCATTCGTCCAGTAAAAAGAATTACCATCTGAGCCCCAAAGGTTTATTCTTGTTTCATCCGAAGACACCCAACGACGCCAATTAGCAATAGTAAGATGCCTATGCTTTTTAGCCCACGCCAATCGAAGCCGCTTGTTTGTCTTGCTAACAAAATTGGTCTTTACTTTTCTACGAGATTTAAGTCCATTTCGTCTCAATGACTTGCGGATGCCATTAATTGATATATCATGGCCCATCAATCTTAAACTTTCTTGTGCTGCTCGGGGATCATCTAAAGCACCTGATCGAAGTCCTCTTGACACTAGGGACATAGTTTTAGCACCAAGTTTTTTCGGTCTTCCGCCAAGAGGTCTAGCTGGGTCAGGGCAATATAGTTTTCTGAGCCTTGTAAGAGTAGAGTTACCCACTCCTGGATAGAAATTTCTTATCTTTGAGAACGAAAGACCACGTTGGAGCAAAGATTGGAGAGTATTGCGCAAATCTTGTGTTAAACGAGCAGGCATAATGAAAGTTTTGAAAAAAATAAGAAAGCAAAGAAATAAAGAAAAAAACATGAAAAAACTAGCTTCTTTTATACTTTTAGAATGCTCCTAGGATATTAGATATCCTGAGCATACCGCGGGTAGTTTTTTAGATTTCTTCGATGTGTTTATTGGAAGTAAAGATATCAACCACTTTATATCATCTAGAATTACCCACCTGCAGTGAAATCGGGTTTAAATAGATTTCACAAAAAAATAAAGCAATAGTAAAATACAATAGAAATCAACTGTATTTTATTTTGTGTATAAAATAAACTGAAGATCCTGGAATTGAGTAAAAAAAGAAGAGTATTTATACATTTGCATCTAGCTTGTAAGATTAGTGATGATAGAGAGCAATAGGTTCTGCTATTGCGATATCTGGCAAATGTTGTTGATGTTTGATTTAAAGTGGTAATCAATGCAAGAGCACTGGCCATAGGGGGTCGATTTGAGTAACCTTGATGGGCTTGGGTGAGTTATCGTCATAGCATGATTTAATGTAACCTTGATGGTTTAAAGTGTGATGTTTGTTACTGAAGCATGGAATCCTTTATCTGGGATATTGTGCAACTATGGCAGCAGGGCATAGTTGTCATATTTGAATATGCTTGTTATTGATTTGATTCTTTTTGGATAAAGATACCATCACCTATTACGACCATCATGGGTGTGATTGAATACACTGTGATCAGGAGTGATTCATTCACACGATGTGCGATATAAGCATGCATCTTTACTTTAGTATTTTTAAATGGGTTTTTTGATGTACATTTGAGCGCTTACATTAATAGATCCAAATAGCATGAATTTGAATGAGTGCTATTTGATGAACTTTGGTTTTCAATTAAGTTGCGTTTGGGTGGCTATTTCATTATATTGCCCCCAGCCAAACTTTTTGTGGGGAAAAAGTTGACAGAGATATGAATTTAGACGACCAAAAGTGATTTGATTGGAACATGTAGAAGGAAGGAAGACATAGATATAAGCAAGAGCAGAGAAACAAGTGCCGAAGGCAGTGGAGGAAGGAAAGCTGGAAGCTACTAATGTTTGCGGCGAGTGTTTTCGCGGCTTGTGTGATCAGTGCCTGCTTTTTGCTTGTTACCAGCCTGTTTTGAGGGGCGTTTGTTTGTAGGTAGTGGTGCATGTCTTTGATGTTGCAGTTCCTTGTTGAGCTTGACCTTTTCCCAGTATTTTTTGATTGGAATGGGAGAGGAGAACAGATCAGCTGTAATGTATTCATTTTCACGTTCAGAATAACCAGCCCATTTAACTAGGTATTCGATCTCATCATCATCGCGGTAGCGATGATCGCGAATGTCCTCAACTTCAAAGATTTCGTCTTCAATGGTAGTTTCATCAATGTTGACAGGTTTGAGTTCAGAAGGAGTATATTCACGATGCATGAGAGAATTGGTTTCGTCTTTTAGAATGTAATTGCCAGCTTGAGTACGCTTGACAACGAAATATGGGCCAGCATAGAGAGGCGCGAGTTTGGATGAACGACCTTCTTCAAGGCTGACCATGACAGGAGAGTCAAAGGCTAGTTCAGGTAGGATGTATCGACGTTTATCCATACGCTTATTGTATTCCTCAGCAAGCCGTTGTGTACGCTCTTGGAGAGCAGGAAACACGATGGTATTCATGTGTTCGATACGCTGTTGGAGCTCTTGAATGGATAGTGCAGGACGTCCATTGAGGTTGAGTTTATTTGGATTGGGATTGACGTTAACCTGACGAGCAAACATGAGACTGAATGGGGTACTGGCAGTACGCTCTTTGACTTTCATGTTGAGTGCAAGTTGGACGATGGGTACGCGATCATCCCAGTTATGCGTGTCATTACCACACATTTTGCGTAGCGTATGCTCGAATTGTTTGATAGCGTTCTCAGCACTACCATTGGATTGTTTGTAGTAAGGAAGAGAATGTCGCTGCTTGATGCCAAGCGTTTTAGTGAAATGATCCATGAGATTGGATTTGAATTCCTTGCCATTGTCAGCTTGTTGGATGCTAATAGCAACACCATAATCACCATAGATGGATAGTATGGCTTGAGCGACTGTAGCGCCATTTTTGTTAGGAATTGGACGAGCTATAATGTAGCGAGTACAGAGATCAATCACAACCAGCACATAAACATTTCCCTTATCGGTGATCGACATAGGACCTAAGATATCCATAGCAATGTGATCAAAGGCATCAAAGCTGACGATGCTTTTAGCAGGGTTGAAACCTCGACGAGCGACGTTGTGCTTTGCACATTCAGGACATGCTTTAAGTATTTCCTTGCAATCAGCGTAGATGGTGTTCCAATGTAAACCCAAATACGTGTGGATATGTTGAACCACAGACTCAATGCCAAAATGGCCTATTTTATGTGCATCTTTGATGATTTGAGCCCGATCTGCTTCTGGAGGAGCAATGTAATCCGTTGTAGAATTCTGGAATTCTTTGCTATTTAGTTTCACAGCAAGTACGTTGAGATTGCGGTCCTGAGAATAGACTGTGCGTTGACGGTTTACTTCAATCTTTTTGTTGGTGTCCCTTTTGATCAGAATGAGCTTATGCAATTTTCTCATCTGTCGACCATTTTCATCTTCCAGCCATTTGTCTTCATCGATTATTGGATATACCCTTGAGAGAGCATCACAGAGAACATTTTCAATGCCTTTCACATGTGAAATTGTGAAGTGAAATTCTCCCAAGATTTCCAAGTAGCTCTGGAGCGTACTGTTTAGTGAAGTAGATGTGAACATGTAGGTCAATGCCAAATGATCGGTCAGGACCTCGATATCATTATGACCCCACAGTAGCGATCTAAATTTGATGAATCCAAATACAACAGCGGCACACTCTCTACGGTTTGTAGACCAGTTGCGCTCAGCTGAATTGAGAGATCTGCTAACAAATGCAATGTGCTTGATTCTACCCAGTTTATCCTTTTGATAAAGACAGGCAGCGATGCCATAGAGACTAGCATCGCATTGGAGGAACATTTTGTCGTCCAACACTGGAGCATGCAGTATTTGGTTTGAGAGCAGTATTTGCTTGATGGTATTGAACCGATCAGTATGCAATTGTGTCCAATTCTTTTTTACGTCACTGTCATTTCGAAGACTATCGATGGGCTCAGCAACCTTGGACAGCATGGGACAAAAGTTTCGCAGATGGGAAACGACACCCATAAGCGAGCGAACTTGTTTTGCAGTTTTGGGAATGGGCCATTCGTCTATGTCAGATAAACGACGCATATCAATCTTTTGTATGCCAGGTCCAACCACAAAGCCTAGTAAAAAGACTGATGTCTGGAACCATGAACATTTTTTCACATTGATGCGCAGGTTGACGGATGTCAAGCGATTAACGGCAAGATTGATAAGCTTGATGTGGCTTTTCTCGCAGATACTATGCAGGACACAGTCATCTATGTAGTGTTCAATGCCACCCCATACTTTGGTTGGATCAACTTGGGAAGGATCCATGTTCTTTTCCATTTCGAATTTTAGTTCGTCGGATAAACCAGTGAATAAAATTGACATGCATTTTACGAACAGAGAGCTCATAAATTTTAGGCCAAAAGGGGCCCTACACCATCTGTAAAAAATGCCATTATGCGAGAATATAAGGGCATTGCGAGATGCTTCATGCACACCATACGAATAGTATGCTTGGTGTAAGTCAATTTTACTTATTATGCGTGCGCTAGAGGACACTCGTTCAAAGATTTCGTGAATCTTGGGAACCGCATAATTTTCATGGTAATTGTCATCAATGGACGCATTGATGCGACCAAGATCACAACACACTCTCAATTTGGTGGGTTGATCGTTCTCATCCTTCTTTGTCACCGTAATCAGAGGTGAATGGAACACTGATGAGGGTTTGCAGCGTTCAACAATCTTATTTTGAAGCCATTCTTTGATTTGTTTGTCAATCTCGGCATGCGAGTTGATGGATAATGGATACTGGCGAATGAAGCAATCCTTGGGATTGGATATAGGAACATGCACTACACTTTCAGGCATGGAACATACTGCGTCAGCAGGGATGTTCTTGTTGGCATTCAGAGATTGTTCGATCTGTTGTAGAAGGATTTGACGTTTCTGAGAAGTACCATAATCAGCATTTTCTGGATTATAGACGTTTTCAGTGTCATAGTTTATATTCTTGAATTGAGCAATTTCGTTTTCGGTGTCAGGAAAGCAATGAGCTACTCCACTAAGATAGATGTTGAGGCGAGGCAAGATGTCGACTCCTAGGAGTACATCAAACTCTTCAGCCATGGAATCATTGAAGTCAATGATTTCAAAGGAATGTTCAAATGTGATTCCATTCATATAAGTTACTTTGATGGGTTCGGTGCTTCCAATGCGTTCAGCTTTAGATGCACTACCATCTTTGTTCATGCCCAAAAAGGTTAAATAACCACCCAATGCTTTGACATTTTTGATAGTAGAGAATTTTTTATTCAAAACGGATTTGTTAATGATGCTAACATCTGAGCCAGGATCCACCTTTCCGATGATTCTAATGTCATTGAGAAGCAATGGTGTTATTAAATTGAAAGTGTTTTTGTTTGATGTGGAAGACTTACATTCTTTGTCTTCCATAGCCTCGCGGAAGAGGTCACTTTCGCTGGACCCGGAGTCCTTTTGCTTTCCTTTGCCATTACGGGAATGACGCTTTTGTTTCTGACTACTGGAGCCAGTTGTATAGGGTCGATGACCGCTATTTTCTCTTCTCACGCTCAACACCTTGAACGAACCCTTCATAGCTTGGTATTCAGGGCAAGAGTGACCGTGGAACCAAGTTTTGCCACACCACTTGCAGAAAGTGTTTCCGCTGGCCTTCTTGGGTACGTTTGCATTTTCAACTACACGTCTTGATGAAGAACCACCTTTGTTCAGACGACAGTCCTTCTCGTGATGTCTGGCCTGAGAGCCTCCATTATAGCTTGTTGAGAGGCCACCTAAGTCGATATGTTTCATGTAGTGTAGGTGGATCTCGATATCTTGACATTGGGGAGATTGAATGTATTGTAGTTCCTGAGGCACCTGTGCACACACAATTGACTGGACTTGTAAACATAGATGTGATGTGATACGATAAACATCATCTATGCTGCTACACTGTAAAAGGTGGCTTGAGGAGAAAGTGAATGTAGCCTAAGATGCATGCTTGTATGCAACATTGATGGGCTTGGGTGAGCTATCGTCATAGCATGATTTAATGTAACCTTGATGGTTTAAAGTGTGATGTTTGTTACTGAAGCATGGAATCCTTTATCTGGGATATTGTGCAACTATGGCAGCAGGGCATAGTTGTCATATTTGAATATGCTTGTTATTGATTTGATTCTTTTTGGATAAAGATACCATCACCTATTACGACCATCATGGGTGTGATTGAATACACTGTGATCAGGAGTGATTCATTCACACGATGTGCGATATAAGCGTGTATCTTTACTTTAGTATTTTTAAATGGGTTTTTGATGTACATTTGAGCGCTTTCATTAATAGATCCAAATAGCATGAATTTGAATGAGTGCTATTTGATGAACTTCGGTTTTCAATTAAGTTGCGTTTGGGTGGCTATTTCATTACACCATGTGAGCACATTCATATTTTTATATGAGCACATCGATTTTCAGAAATTTGAAAAAAAGAATGCTTCTACCGCGGTCGTACCCACAACCTATCGGTTGTGGATCTGTCGTTCTTCCCACTAAACTACCCGAATATCTTATTGAAATATATTCTTTTACTTTAATAAGTAGTTATTAGGTAATTTTAAATTGCCATTTTCTCGTGCAATTTATAATACGTTTAGTAATTTTATGAATCTTACAGATAATAAAAGTCTCTCTGTTGCCTACAGTATTATAGTTTAGCTATTCAAACCATTTTATTCATGTGGAAAACTACACCTTCTCAAATGAGAACATCGATGTTCCCAAAAGAGCACATCCATGTTCTGTGAGAACATCAGCTGGGCAGTAGTGATCTAATCCAGCGTACATACAGTTTATATCTAAACCTGGTAACTGGATGAACTGTCGGAATGCAGATCATAGTGGATGTATTCCACATACCCATCAAGAATAACGTAAGCCTTATAGACACTTGTAACCTTTCCAGCACAACAGCAGCTCATGAAATTGAATGTTGGGAGTCAATCTTAAACGATGTATGTTTAGCAAGGCATACGGCATTGGGATTATACTTGGTACCTAGTATACTGCAGCAGCTATATAACTTTCCTCACATACTGCAGTGAACTTATTTAAAGAATATCCCTCGCATAAAACCGTGCGATAGATGCCAGATCCAGTAATTGCACCTTATCTTGCTTTTGAATAAAGGATTTTAATTTTATCAATATTTGAATATATTTTTATTACAAACACAAAATTATAGTACATGGCATCAAGCGGAAATTAACTAGTTGTAGACCTTCGTTGCTTCAACCTCTTAGCCAATCAAATTGCTTGAAAACTCCGCTGAACTAAAAAAAAATTTGCGAGGGTTTCCCCCTGTTTTGATGTGAGGCAAAATTTTAAGCTCCGCTATATAGCAGTATAGCAGATGCTATCATCAAACTTCCCCCAGGTGCTAGAGCATGCCTTACTTACACCACCTAGCTTTTAAATTCTGGCATTGAGACTCTCAATCATCACTAAAGTAAGTAGCGATAACCAAGTAGAGGCGGCCTATCTACCTCCTAGCCTCGGATAAAGTCTTGTTGAGCTTCAGGGATAGGCACATCCACACAACGTAAAAAAGATATGCTTCAAAAGAAACATAATAATAATAAAAGAAAAAAAGAAAAGAATATAATACTATACGAGTATAGTAGTATGTAGGCAAAAAAAGAGACACTCACACAAAGTGGGTCAAAGAAAAGCATAACAAACACAACATCAAAGATGTTTGTTGTGCCAGAAGGGCTACAACTGTCTATAAAGATTAAGGTATTCTTGATGGGTAGATATGTCTGTGTTGTGCAACAACATGGACAAGCTATGATAAGTGAAGTGCATCTCAGCTATCTAAATACTGAGGTTCACCAGATGTGATAAGCGTTGTACAAGATAAATTGCTACTTTGGCATTCAGAACTTAGTATAAATAGAATAACTCTTGTCTTTATCAATAAATCTTTAGTTTTTGTGTCTGATCTTATTCAAATAAGTCTTTTCTTGTTTTTATAATATCGAACATTTTTTATAAGCTACAAATAATAATCCTTTTATTCTTCGTGCTTAACATTTTTTAAGATCGTGTAAATCAGAATCTTCCAGATTTTAACCTACCTATCTAATTTAAACCGAAAATATGACTATGAATGATTTTACTGTGTCTCCTGCAGAACAGAACAAGAGTTCAGATGTTCAAGCTGTTGGAAGCGAGCTTTCGTACGGAGGAGCTGTAGAGCGACTTCGTCAGGAGGTTCATGGGTTGATCGCTGAAGTTGCGAACAGTGGGGACAAGTCGGACGAAGAGGTCGACGCTTTGAAGGCTGCCCTGTCAAAGAAGTGCTCTAACTTGGAGGCTATAGAGAAAGCTCTCTATATGGTCACACCTAACCAGAGTCCTTCCCAAGTAACAGTGGTTAGTCAAGGTGCGGCTAATAGTTCAACTGTACCTGATGATCTTCCTTTGTTCCAATGGTTTGGACGTGTCAAAGATGAAAAAAAAAGAAGTTTTTGCCAACATTGAGGAGTGTTGTCGCCGGTTTTCCGATAAGTTGAGCAGTTGCACGCTTGATCTTGATGAACACTGGTATCGTTTGCTTCCTCCTTGTCTTCCCGGCGATCTTCGCAATTGGCTTGATGAGTTTGTGAAAGCATCTGGCTCCACTGTGTCTTGGGCTACCTTGAAGGGAGCTATCATCGGTCGTTTTGGTACACCAAAAGAACAGCTCAGATTCGAAAGAATTAGGGAGTTTCTTCGTTGTACTAAAGGAAACGAAGAATCCGTTGATGGTTTCGTAGAGCGGTTTAAGACGTTGAGAAATAGAGCTGACATCAGTGATAAGGGTGTCGTAGCGATGGTGTTTTTTGACGCTTTCCCCAAGGTTACCGCTAGGTTGCTAATGGTTGCTATGAGTCAGGCACCAGAATCGTCATTTTATGACATTGATTATGTGTCCTCTCTCGTGCGCAAGATGGATATGATGGCTATTGAGACGGGTCAAGAATCTTTGGGCTCTGTTTTTGATGGAAGAAAACGCGCTGCTGACATACCTGTTTCGAACGAAGCAAAGAAGTCTCGGTACGCACCTTCTTCTAGTGGAAACGCTTTTCAAAGTAGCTCTTCGTCGAGATCCAATGGTCCCTCGTCCAACTCTCCACGTTCTAGTGCTAATCGTTTTGGCAAAACATTTGCTGAACATGTTGCTGAAGGGACTTGCTCCAAATGTAACGGTCCTCGACCAAAGGGGCAGATGCATCACTGCAACACTGCTATTCGTACTGGTGGTGGTAACACCCATCAGGGCAATGGTGGTAAAAAAGTTTTGCGTGCCATGACTAAGAAACGTGGTGGCAAACATTCGATGGATGCTGCAATCCAAGCTGCTTTTCTCTCTGCTCGTGTCGATCGTGCGTTAGCTGAGAAAGGTGCTTCTTCCCCTGCTGTCTCCTCTGCTGAACAATCGGTGGATGATGTTGTCCTTGCTCCTTCTTCTGGTGATAGTGACAATGTTGATGTTGACCAAGATGCTGTGATGAGTGAAGCTCATGGTATCTTTGAGGATACTGATCTGGTGAATCGTGCCCAGTCTATTCTTCTTGAAAAAGAGATGAGTAGCATGTCTGTGGACGACGATACGCTACAAAATATATTTGCTCAGCAATGTAAGTTCGATGCTAGATTTAGTGCTCCACCTACTATGACCACCAATGCTATTTGTGTTCCTATTGTGGTTCAAAATGTCATTTGCTTTGGCTTAGTGGATACGGGTGCTACGTTTTCGTGCGTCACTGACAAGTTCTTTCAATTCTTAGGAGGAACCTCTCTTGCTGGATTTGAGGCTAATGATGATGATGAGAGCTTTGTTCAAATGGCTCATGAAGTAACGACTGTGCCTAGAATAGGTGCGGTACGTTTGCACATTAGCTACAATAAATCAAATAAAAACCATTTGTTTGAAGTATTTCCATTCTATTCTGAGGAAAACGTACCTGTATTGCTTGGTATGGATATTTTGTCCAAGCTTGGCATTGGTCTTACGGGCTTGGTGAGTCAACATGGCTTTCAATCAGGTCCTCGTGTACCAGATCCTATTGATGATGGTATTACTCCAAACGCACATCCTTTTGGTAGTGAGGAAGAGAGACAACCGTTTCTACTTGCACTAAAGGGGTTATTAGAAGAGAATTCGCGCATTGATATGAAGAATACTCAGTGTAATCTGCCGGATTCGATTATTAAGCTTGATACTAAACCAGGTGCTGTCGCTTGGCGAGCTCAATATCCTTTGCCTGAAGCTTATCGTGATGCTGTTGCCAAACAAATTCAGATATGGCTTGATGAGGGTGTTGTTGAAAGATCTGCTAGTCATACACGTTTCAATCATCCATTGTTGGTTGTAAAGAAAAAGGACGCTGATGGTAATTACACAATGTCTAAGCCTAGAGTGGTGTGTGACGTTCGTAAGTTGAATGCTATCTTGGAAGTGGATGACAAACAGCAGTTACCTTTGATCTCTCATATCCATCAGAGCATTGGTACGAAAATGATTCATACTTGTCTCGATATCCATGCTTGCTTTACTAGCTTTGGTTTGGATCCAGAGCAAGCTCATAAAGTTTCATTTACTTGTCCCTTCACGAATATCCAATACACCCATAAAAAGGCTGCTTATGGAATTCGCCATGTCGGATCGGTGGTTGTACGCACATTGCAAACACTGCTCTCTGATTTGAATACAAGCTCTAGCTCTACTTCGTTTCCTACTGATGGTGATCACTCGGTTTCCTGCTA